AGTCAGGCTCTGGAGACAGCTGGCCTTGGGGTTCATGTCCCGGTCTATCCTATATATTCCCTAGGAACATGCCTGTATGGCACAGTCTGTCCTGCATATTCACTAGAAACATCCCTGTATAGCACAGCCTGTCTCTATATTCTCTAGAACATCCCTGTATCGCACATCCTGTCGACTGTCCGGCACAGCAGTTATCAGCTTCACACCTTCACTGAAAGTAATGATGAAAGTCAGTGTGGACGTCTGCTGAGTGGACGATTGACCGCTACAGATGAAAGTCTTGGGTGACAGCATGATCTTTATTGATATATCTGCATTTCCTGAACAACAATGCCCATCAGTATGAATGATAGCCCTCAAGACCATGTGAACTGCAGGGAAATCTTACGTCTAATATCTTATAGAGCACTTCTCCTGGGTTTGAATGAAGGCCTTTGAAAGCCATATGATACACAGGGAACATCTTATACTTATGTGTGTACATATCCAATAGAGCCATGTCCTAGGGTTGGAATGAAGGTTTTTGAAAACCACATGATATACAGAGAACACTTGTACTACGGTGTCTTCATGTCTTGTAGACCCGAGGTGTAGATGATATAACATGTTTATTATGCTGTAAGGCTTAAATAATCCACCGTCTCAACTCACTGATAGGAAACACAATATGCTTCATTCTGTATCAGTTATCTGAATCAGATGTAATCACTGACATTCTAGCATTATTAAGTGGGGTCCATTCTGATCCAGTTTCATGAATAATTGTTTAAACTTGATAAAAGATTATTTCCCTTATTCTCTGCTTTATGAACATTATGAAACCTTGTCTCAACCTGTCCATGTGAATAAGAATCTAGGACTGCTTTCATGAAGCAATCTTTACTAAGGTTAATCTTAACTCCCATTCTTTAACATTGCACTAAGGTTACCTTAGTGACTTACGATCACCCTAGTGCTTTGTGAAAGGAGGCCCTGGACAATTAACCACGTGATGTTTGGCCATGTTTTCTAGGCACATGGTCATGTTGAAGAAGTCATCTACGTAGTTATGGTACAAACTGACAATGTGTTTAGTAGACATACACAATTTTTTTATTATTTTGAGTATGTCCAATGAGTAGATTCCTCCTTAGAAATAAATATGTGACCCATGGTAAAACATTTAGTAAAGATGATGTTTTCCGTAAGATGTTCTACGATTAGTTTTGCTTCTGGAAGCATCTTGTGTTTATGCTGTGTCAGATGGGCAACTCCCATGCAGTGGCCTGTACTCTACAGGAATAATCAATGTCGATCCATGTTTCTCTGCTCTATCTGTGTATTGAGGATTCCTGGGTATTTCGGTGCCCTCCGCATCGTGTGTACAACATCCTTCTCCAGGTTGTTACAGTGTGGCAGACGACAAACATGACTGACACTCGTCAAACAGCAAGCATACTTTGCGAGAAACTTATCGATTAGCTGCATGGAAACATTTCTACTAAACAAGATGTTTTAGACATTTTCTCAATATAAAAAGCACAAAACATTTGACAGTTGAATTAGTTCTTATCACTTAGGTGTTAATTTAATTTCTAGCAATGAATTCATCATTTAGATAGCATTACAGGTATACAATATCAAGTATGAATACTGTAGGGTATGATCAACTCATTGGAAAATTTAGATTCAATATGCAAAATATTTACAGTTCAGAACATTTCTCAGGGATCAAATGTGTATTCATATTATATAGAGTTCACATTAGTTGTTTATACTGTAAGGGGTGGTGGGGTAACCTAATGGTCAAAGCGTTGGCTCGTCATGCCGAAGACCCGGGTTCGAATCCCCACATGGGTATAATGTGTGAAGCCCATTTCTGGTGTTCCCCCGCCGTGATATTGCTGGAATATTGCTACAAGCTGCGTAAAACCAAACTCAGTCAGTCAGTCAGTTTATACTGTCTTCAAAATCATCAACACCAAGACCTGTGAAGTTCCAGGTTAGAATTGGTCTTCATTAACAAATGCTTGTCGTAAGAGGTGACTAATGGGATCGGGTTGTCAGGCTTGCTGACTTGGTTGACACATGTCATTGTATCCCAACTGTGGAGATTGATGCTTGTGCTGTTGATCACTGGATTGTGTGGTCCAGGCTCGATTATTTGCAGACCGCCGCCATATAGCTGGAATATTGGTGAGTGTTGTGTTAAGCAACAAACCAACAAACCGAAATTAACACAAAATTATCTCTTTATGATCAAGATAAAAAGGTTGTTTTTCTCTGCAAACAAAACTGCACTCTAATTGTTCCCAATAATCAAAGTGGAACTCCACGTTCTCCAATTCCTGAACACTTTCAAGTAAAATATTCAAGTGAAAACAGAGCGGACAGTAAAGTAAACATCAAAGCCCATGCTAACCCTTTATCTATAATCAGAAATACTTATCAGAAATACTTAACATAGGCTGACAAAGTAGTCAGGCTGCTTCTCAACCATTGCAGCTCACTGGATCATATGACATATGTCATGTGATCTTGTCTTGTCATGCTGTGTCATGATAAGAAACAATTGATTGGTTGTTAATTATGTGCTCTCCCTGCAAGCATTGTCTGGACTTTGCAAAACCGAAATACAAACTTCTGTTACTGATATGTATTGAATAACACACCTTTGTTAACATTCTCACTGCATTTTTTATGCACTCACTATACGTTTGGGGCGATGGAGTAGCCTAACAGTTAAAGCGTCTGCTGAAGACCCGGGTTCGATTCCCCACGAGTACAATATGTGAAGCCCATTTCTGGTGTCCCCTGCCGTGATATTGCTAAAACCGGCGTAAGACCATACTTACTCACTTAGTACGTTTATGCTTTTGAATGTTCAAAAAAGACTGACCCTAGTTTGAATATTGATTCAAAGTTTGTGATGCTTTGAAATTGAATGTCACAGTGAATTGATGTGGGTCCTTGTAAGGTTGCACATGACTGACTATTATTGTCATGTGATCAATCGTTGACATTCTGTGATAGCTGGAGCAACCCGAAACTCGCCAGAACCACTCAGCTGTTTTATGGCACCTTCACATCAATATTTTATATACACATAATAACAGATGTTGGAATGATGGCTGTCTGTAGTCAAGGCTAACATGGTTGTCTTTGAGTTACCAATGTATACCCTAACTGATAAGTTAACGTCTGCTCCTGTAGGAATTGGTGAGGCATAAGCTGCTGATGCTTGGCTGACAGTTGTTTGCATCCAATCACGGTTGTTGATTGAGATGGTAAAATATACCGTATTTGATCTATTTTGTATCATTCCGTTGGGCTGCCTGTGAAATTCAAGAGCATAAGCTGAATTCATGTGAAGTGACATGATTGTCTGAAGAGATGGTAAAACATGGAGTATTTAGCATCTCTCATATTGGCAGCCTGTAGGCATTTCCAATAATGGTGTTGTATTGCTACACATTGAGAACCTAGAAATGTACAATATGTAGCCTGTAGGCATTTCCAATAATGGTGTTGTATTGCTACACATTGAGAACCTAGAAATGTACAAGATGTAGCCTGTAGGCATTTCCAATAATGGTGTTGTATTGCTACACATTGAGAACCTAGAAATGTACAAGATGCAGTCTGTGGGCATTTCCAATAATGGTGTTTTATTGCTACACATTGAGAACCTAGAAATGTACCAGATGCAGCCTGTGGGCATTTCCAATAATGGTGTTTTATTGCTACACATTGAGAACCTAGAAATGTACAAGATGTAGTCTGTAGGCATTTCCAATAATGGTGTTTTATTGCTACACATTGAGAACCTAGAAATGTACCAGATGCAGCCTGTGGGCATTTCCAATAATGGTGTTGTATTGCTACACATTGAGAACCTAGAAATGTACAAGATGTAGTCTGTAGGCATTTCCAATAATGGTGTTGTATTGCTACACATTGAGAACCTAGAAATGTACAATATGTACTGATCAGTGACTTGTGAATGGGTTTATCTTCTCTCCATACAAAATTAGAAGTAATCATGGCCACAGGCTCTGAGGTTCATTTTGGCAAAAGGGCGGTGGGGTAGCCTAGTGGTTAAAGCGTTGGCTCGTCACGCCGAACACCCGGGTTCGAATCCCCACATGGGTACAATGTGTGAAGCCCATTTCTGGTGTCCCCCGCCTTAATATTGCTGGAATATTGCTAAAAGTGGCGTAAAACCAAACTCAGTCAGTCAGTCATTTTGGCAAATATGTTTGTAACAATAGGGAGAATTTATTGTGAAATCTATTTAATACGGTAGGTCTATTAAGTGTGTGGGAGACATGTTATCCGTTGGTTAAAGTTCAGTTCCAGATTGTCAATCAATTATGTGAAGTGGATGTTGAACATCGATCAGGAGGGTTATGAAACGACAGTTGTTGTGATGATTGTTTGCTTGTACTAAGTTGATAAGATCATCTCCACCCAGTATAGGTATTTGTCAATTACTCACATTGTGTGAGTGAATTCACGTCAGAGACAGTGATGGTAGGACAACTGATGGAAAAACAAACAGGGAAAAAATACCTTTATTGTTATCTTGTTTCCACATCATTACTCATATCGTCATCAAAGAAAGCTGTATCATACTGCCCCAAGAACCTTTTAGTGCTCAGGCTTCAGTTATACAAGCTGGTGGTAATGTCTTGCTTTTCACAGATCGTTCTGGTCTGAATATCATAGAGTTCAATAGGCTTATGAGGTCGATGTGATTTTCATGTGAGTGGTAGTTTGAATTTCTTATTAAGTTGTACAGATTTTTTAACAAAACAATTATGGACATTGAAGTCTAGTGTTCTAAGGAAGGATAACAATGTATGGATGAAATAATTCTTTGTTAAGAATGAGAGCGATGTTTCAGTATAGGTTCTAATAACGTTAACAATTAATAATCAAGTGATATATTGTTATCCTTCCTTACTGCTTCAACTTCTAAATGCCTCTCAAAGTAGTCATGATGTTCTGTTTGTTTTCAGGGTATCAATGGCCCCGGGTTCCACTTCAATGGTCACTTCAACCTCTCAGCCCTTGAGGAGTCCCAAAGCAGTGAGAATGGCAGCAGACAGGATGTGAGCAGCATTCTGGGAGATAGTGAGGACGACAGTCTTCCTTACCTGGGTGGACGCCCGGAGAAGTTGACGGAAACCCCACACCGGCTGGACATCACAGATCGCAGTCTGTCCTGCAAACTATCCTTCCTGGACAAGAGCAGCGGAGACAGTGCCAACATCAGTGAGGCGGAGTCCAAGATGGAGGACTCTCTGGCCTCTCCTGACAGCTTGGAGTTGCCACAGAGCAGCGATGGTGAGCTGGATCCAGCTATTCGCTTCATCTGCAAGCAGGAAAACAAGGATATTGGATACAGTAGTGAGAGTTACTCCAATGATGAGATTGAGCTGATGCGACTGCAGAGTCTCATGGAGGATAAGTTCCCAGGAAAGTGTGAGGTTGCTAGTGATTCCCCCTTCCTGAGTGATGTGACCACCAGAGGGCGTCCCAAGAAGGAGTATTACCGTATGGTGTCTGTGGATGTAGACACTACGGATAAGACTGATAATGATGATGGAACCGACACCGGTAACCATGATGTCACTGAAAGAGCTGCTGGGAGTGATGACTTGTTTGTTGTTGAAATGACCAAGCAGATCTTGGTTGAAACTACAGAGAAGTACACGAGATCTACAGAAAAATTTGAGATTGATCGTCATAATTGTAATGCTTTGCTGCAGCCGAGTCAGTCAACAAGTGAACAGTCTGAGTTTGAGAACAACGGTGAGACCAAAGACAAGATTCAGTATCTGATTGACAAGGCAGAAGATTTGGTCCGATCTAGTCCAAAAGTGATCCATACTTCTACACCCAAGGTACATGAGCGGAAAACACCAGAGAAACAGGTCAGATCTATTGGTTGTAATACAGTGATAATCAGCTCTTGTGACGCAAGTGCCGAAGATACAGACAATGAAAGTTCTACGGAAGAGTTCTCGACAGCAACGGATGAAGCTAGTGAGAAACAGTTCGATAGTGTAATCTGTCTGGATTATACTTCAGACTCTAAAAACACCAGCCGTGAAAATGTGGCTCTTTCCCCCATCAACTCCTCCCCATTGTTTGAAAATGTCCGACTACGCAAGCAGCAGTCTGGTCCCCGCAGACTCAAAGACCGTCCATGGAGTGTTGTGGAAATGCAGGAGTTCTCTCGGAACTTGGAGTCTCAGCCATTTTCCACTTCTGAGAGTGCCATTGATCGTATGATACTCAGTAAAACTGACAGCCCCAGCTCCCCTTCCCCTTCTTTCCTCTCCCAAAGGCAAGCCGCTACATTCCCGCGTGAGAAGAAAACCAGTCGTGAGATGCGACGATCATTCTCTACCTCAGAGCAAAGTTCCCCTCGAGGTGCTAAGCGGAAACTACGCTATTCCTCCCAGAATGACACCCTCCTATCTTCCAGAGCAGCTAACATGAACAACTTGGTGCCTTCCACAGACTCTGAAGATGACGTCACAAAGCATATTAGTGAAACTGATGACATGGTGGACCAGTTTGAACTGGCCCGTGTCCGATCTAGTGGCAGCAGTGCTGATTCCGATTCAGACACATCAGGTAAGATGGTCACTTGTTTGCACTTGTGTGAAGCCCATTTCTGGTGCCTGCCGCCATGATATTGCTGGAATATTGCTAAAAGAGGCGTAAAACTAAACTGACTCACTACACTTAGTAATTTAATTCGTGAGCAGGTTTGAGGTCCAAGCTACTTTCCCTGGTTGTTCTTTGACGACCTGGGTTTGATTCTGCACATGGGTACAATGTGTGAAGCCCATTTATGGTTTCCCCCGCTGTGATATTGCTGGCATATTGCTAAAATCTGCATATATAAGTACTCGTTCACTCACTTGAGGTAGAACATGTACCCTGTACTAGTGGTTCTTGTAACAGCTGAATAATGAAAATCTAGGAGTTACAATATGGCCAGTCCGATGGTGTCAAAATACCTTCATGACATGGAGCAATGATCTTGCTATCAACAGTTGGGTTGTATGGCTGAGATTGTGGTCTTTGTGCTTTGGCAATTGTATCTCTCATACTTTAAAATAGACATACAATTGCTGAATGGCTTGATTTCATTATGGAAAGAGGCCCTAGAATGTTGCTGATTGTGGTTGATTGGTTGGTTGGTTAACTCCGCACTCAGAAATATTCCAGCTATATGGCGGCAGTCTTCAAATAATTGCGTCTGGACTAGACAATCCAGTCATCAACAGCATGAGCATCGATCTGGGCAATTGGGATACAATGACATGCTGATGGTGGAGTTGTTAACACATCAACACATCCAATTCAGTAAGGTGGACCAATGAAGAACATGAGACACTTTAAGCTTATTCAGATGGAAAATATTTGCAGAGAATGACCAAACAATAAGCGTCATATGTCATCATGTTTGGACACTAATGTTGTGTTATGTTATCCCAGATGCCTATCTGACCCCTTTGGTTGAACCCCTGACGTCTGATAACGAGGATGTCCTGAACAGCACCGGCTCCTTCTCAGAAAATGCATGGGACAACTATCAGGTAGGTGAAGTCTAAATCCATAGAATAGAAATTATAGGTGTAACGATTCATCGATAGTATCAATGTTTACATCGTCAACTACGTAATACAAGTGCATCGATACAAAACACATTTAGGCAATATATCAGGATATTTATATCGCGAGGATCCATGATACATTGATGTATCGCCACAAGAGACGATATATCCCGATACAACTTAAATACTACTTAAAGTTGTAAGGAGTATTGCATTAGGATGGGAAGGGAGTCTCTTTGAAATGCTTCTGAATTTTAAAAAACAAATTGAATTTTAAAGGAATTTGTTTGTGTCTGTTATCTTTGGTACATGAACAAAGGAGTTGGTGTATAAGTCAAAGTGTGTGAACATTTTACAAACTCTGTGAACTGTAGAATACTTGTCTTCAAGTAATTGAAATATGCAGATATGTTTTAGTTGTTTGACAAATAACACCATTTATTAACAACTATGAACAATGTCTTAGCTTTGTTAAGAAAGAGAACAAAGAGAAGATAAAATCTAGAAAGCAGACTTAAGAGGTTTTTTTCAGTGATTCTGAATTCTGATATAAATTACATTGAGTTGTTTGTGAAAGGGAAACTTCACTTTCAAATTTATATATATATTAGATCAAGGTATACTGAATATGTTTGATTGTACTTCCTTAAGCATTAAATGCTGAAACTTTTTTAAGTGTGTGTGAATGTAACACAAGTTCTGCTGTATAACCTGAAGTCATTTTATCTATCATATATATTCTGTTAATGGAAACTGTAAAGTATCAGGATACGTATCATATCGCCACCATTGCATCGTGATGATAATCGTCTCGCAGGTTCCTTGCCAATACTTTCATGATATATAGCTGGCCTCATTAAACTGGTATCAGGATATATCGTCTGCCACTTAGGCCACGATACACAGCTCTAGTAGAAATCATATGTGAAACCTTCTGCTTAGTTAGGTCAAATTGTAGATACAGGTTTGGAGTGGTAAAATCTTACGTTAACAGAATATGTAGTAAAACAGGTTAGAAGAAGTGTTAGATTTAGGAGCATTAAAGATGCTTACTTAGATAATACAATACATTGTATCAAAAGAAGCTCTGCATTATGGGTTTCGGGTCATGCATATGTTCAAAGGGAGATAACTACATTGCACCAAAACAAATCATCAGCCATCATCAGTAAACCTTTTGTTGTCCACCACTGCCACTAATGTGTATTTGAGGACATGGATGTGTAGGAAAAAAACATCCCATGAGGTTGTCTCCATGTTGCAAAGTTGCTGTGTGCTGAATGGGTTAACATTGTCGTCTGCCTGCAAGTATTGGACATGTTGTTGACAAGAAAAACATTCAGTCATTGCCCGACTTTTCCAGTCCCCTCTGTACCCAGCGGTGTCTGATGACCCAATGGAGGAGAAGCTGCACTGGGAGCCCAGCGACGAAATGGAGTTTGATGACGACTTCCTGTTGCCAAACAACAGATCTGCTGCCAAAGCTGCTGCTGCTGCTGCTGAGAAGAAAAAAGCTAAAAATAAAATCATGGTGAGAATCTTCTGACAATAGACAAACTAATTATTCTACCAAACGTTTTTAAATCATTCCAGATTGTTTTGGTATTCCCAAAAATAGAAACTGATCCAAGTGTAGGTCGAGGCAGCTAATGATTCATTAACAGTTACACTAGATCATTGTGCATTAGGAGTAAGTCGGTGCCACGTGGACAGTATTTTAGTATTTCAGTTATTTCAAGATATGTTTTAACTAAAGGTGATAATACTCAATATCTTACACCATGCCCACTTCAGGGAAACCCACAAGAATAGGTATGTGCTGAAATACTTTACCAAAGAGTAAATCTGAGATTCAAGCTCTCAGTAAGTGGATCATGGTGCAGTTAAGAAACCACAACTCTGCATAGTAAAGATGCTGATACCTTATACGTTATGATGAATTCAGTATCTGACAAGATAATGCATTTTGTGTCTAGATCCCTGCCCCTGCCCAGTACGATGATAGTGACTCGGACATAGAAGACTTCCACTACGTGTTGGACCAGTCAGCTGACCAGATGAGGCTGGCTGACCAATCACTGAAGAAGAAGAGGAAGGACCCGATGGGAACTGGCATCTACCTCAAACCTGCTAAATATGTAAGTTCAGGCTCATTATGTATCATGAGGTGCCATAATGTATAGTTTAATTAGATTCAATACCATCAGTTGTCTAATGGCCTAATATGTAATCATTTAGAGTGTTTCATGTGAAAACCTGTGTCACTAGATTGAAGTACTAGTCAGTCGGGGCGGTGGGGTGGCCTAGTGGTTAAGGGTTTGCTCGTCAATTCCGAAGACCCAGGCTCGATTCCCCACATGGGTACAATGTGTGAGGCCCATTTTGGTGTCCCCCGACGTGATATTGCTGGAATATTGCTAAAAGCTGCATAAAATTAAACTTACTCTCTCACTAGTCGGTCAGTACTGTTTGCTTGTGATAGCTTATCTGATAGTCAAAAATGTTTTAGTAGTTTAATTGAGTTAATATGAAATAGAACATGCATTTATCCTACATTTTTTGCTTAGCATGTATTTATCCTATTTCTGATGTATATATGTTATCCTACAAGTGAAACATATCTTTATCCTGCCTCTGAAGTACATGTATTCTGTCATTCATGTGTTGCGTTGTGTTGCAGGCTGAGATCATGGCAACCTGTGTGACCAACATCCGCTGTCTGGAGAGCATCAGTCAACACCTGGATCCCACAGATGTCACCATGGATGACTGTCAGCGCATGCAAGGTACAGACCTAATAGAAGCCATGTACAGAAAACATTTAGTGAATTAACTTAAGTTTCATAATTATTAGCAAATGTACAGACACACAATACCTTATCCATGATGGCGTAGCTCTGTGAGCAGAGTTGCTTCCCTTGGGAACCAGCATTCACTTGTAGGTTCACTGTGATCAGTGGTCCTTGCATTCACTTGTAGGTTCACTGTGATCATGGTCCTTGGTGTGTTAAACTTGTTTCACTTTTGACTTTCCTCCTATATTATGGTGACACAGCAAGATACATGCTGAAATACTATTTAATAGAAACATTCAATCACTGACTCCATATTTCAGACATCCTTTATCAGTGGGAGAAGCTGCGAGCACTGGCGTCGGAGCGGCAGTCTCAGTCAACGCAGCTGGCCGGCGTCTACTCCAGCATCAATGAGATGAAGAAGAAGCATGAGGAGATAGAAAGTCTGATGCACACGGATAAGTTTGGCTCTGCTCAGGAACTGGAGGCAGCCATTAATTTACTCAAGGTGAGGTATTTAAATGGGCACACTTCAGTCTCCTGTGTCAGTGCAAACTGTTTTATCTGGAGCAGTTGTTGAAACTGTACATTATGTCTTCCCAAAAACATGATATATTGATAGGTCTAGTGCTGTACTGGTGCCTTTTGTTAATTCAGGGTTTTTTAAAAATTGGTTTTATGAGTTAGCAGCAACTTTGACTTGAACTAAACATTGCAGTAATGCTTGTTTCCGGGACAGATTTTCAAAACCAGACAGTATTGTTTCACCAAACTTGGCACACTGATAGGCTAAGTAGTGAATTGGTGCCTCTTGATATTTTGGAATATTTTATGCAGATATTTTTCAACATTCCATGGCAACAAGTTTCATACATTTATTCACAACTTTTGCCTTATCAATGACTTTTTCCCTGTTGTTTGGGCATCGAACTCCAAAGTTCACAATTACTTTCTTGCTCAATCACTGTCTTACTGAAAATATATGAATGAGACTCACTTCAACAGATGCTGACATGCTCAATCCCTTGTTTTACTCTTGTTAACTCTGATTGTTCCACTGATCCTGTAGGAGCAGCAACGAAGTCTCCAGGCACAGAGGGCGGAGGTGGGCGACCTGGAGAAGGCAATGGACATGTTTAATGAGCAGTATCCTGCAATCCCTATCATCAAATTCTATACTGAGATCGCCGACATCCAGGAGACGAACATTGAACTGCAGCACAGGTAGGTTGTTCAGAACCGCTTAATCCTACTCACGTTGTGGAAGCTTTTTATAAACATGTGTGTGATTATAAACAATGATGTTAAAAACTCATTAGTAGTTTTAATTATTGTCTGAAAGTAGGTGAAACACAAAGTGTTGACTGCAGGAATAAGGTTCTTCAGTTTTGAGAAATCTGCATTACTTTTAACCCCCAAAGGACCATGGGTAAGAATAGGGCCCATGTTCCATGTTTCTTGTTCCAAGAGTCAACTATAATTGTCAGTGGTCAGGCTCGGTTATCTAGTTATGGGTTATCATTGTAACATGACTTTTTCTGGCCCTGACTATAATCTGCAAAATATAAAGTATCCTTGTCTGTTTTGTCCGCTTCCAGCCTGCAGCAGCATGTATCAAAGCAGGAGCACACACTGGCGATATGGTTCGAGTACCTGGAGAGCTGCAGGGAGATGGACCAGCTGCTGTCTCAGGACCGCGACCGTCTGCAGAAGCTGCTGCGTCAGCGTGATAATGGGATCGTTGTGTTGAGGAAGGACCTGGTGAACGAGGTGGCGGTAAGGACACATGCTCACACTCTACTGGTCATGTCTTGAGGAAATGTAAAAAAAAGTCACGATTTTACAGCAGTCTCTGATCTATTGAAAGCATCTGTCAAACTTGAAACAGGGGTGCTGAAGGTGTATTCAAATTGGCTGAAGAGCTTTCATCTTTCTTCCTCACTTACACTAATTTGTGACTAAAGGAGCAAGGGGGTAGCCCAGTGGTTAAAGTGTTTCCCTGTTATGGCAACAGTCAAGTTTCAGTTTCCACATGAATAGTGTATAAAGCCTAGTTGTGGTGTCCCCCAGCATGATATTGCTGAAATATTCTCACTTAGTTAGATGGTTTATTCAATATTTGATCTAACCCATTCTCTGTCTATGTTGCAGACCCTCCAGTCTAGCTTGTCCGTGTACGAGTCTAAACTGTCCCACCTTCAGAGTCTCCGCAAGGAGCTCCACGGATCATCTGATGAGGACACACAGACAGAGTTCCTGGCCTCCCTGGCCGACATCCGCAACCAGCTGCTGGTGTATGAACAGAACTGTCGCCAGATTCAGCGCAACATCCACGACGAGGAGGATGAGGAGATGGCCATTGAGGCGTCACAGCTTGGACAGCTTGCAGTATCTGCTGCAGCCCTGCACGAGCATATTGCACGCAGTCGGCGGGAATCGTAAGTCACATTCAAATGCATTACTTACTACCAGCAATGGCTTCTAACTATGTCGTCTTCATAAAATCAAACTAATAATTGTTTTGGTGCAAATATTTATGTCTGATGTAGGTATGGTATTAACTTTATTCAGAACCTGATTTGGGTTCATTTCAAAGAATTCTAGGAAGAAAAAGTCTCCAGTGTAGTGATAGTCATACAAATTCAACTAAAACTTGAATCAGATGGTCTCAGGATGTCATGTGTAAATAGTACCCAGATGTTTGATGATCAGTTTAACTGTCAGCTGTGGCTTGTTTGAGTGTTTCAATACTGACTTATGGAAGCAAACTAAGTTGAGCCCTGTGTTTGTTACAGTGAGAGCGATGAAGTGGACGCAACTGAAGAAGCCAAAGCTGTCGGCACCAGCAGCTGGTTGTCATCGTGCCCAGTTCAGGTTGCCGCAGTGATGCTGCTGGCCGGGATCGTGTACTTGTTTGATCCCAGCATCCTTCAGGACATGGCTAACTTCTCTATCAGGATCTCACCAGAGCTGAAATATGTTAACGGTCCTCCCCCCAGTCTGAGTAAATCAGTGAGCCAATCAGAGATCAGAATGCTCGATCCGATCTAGCTCCCGCTCAGGTCCCTGTCGGACCAGTGTACAGTTACAACGCCCTCTAGTAGCAGATTAAGACACAGTCTAAATCTGCGGCGTGTCACACAGCGGCCTGGATGTACATAAGACCATATCAGGCAGATAAGTAGAGCAAACAGGGCCAGGCCCCACACAAATGCACACCAAGATTCAATAAAATATATCCGAATTAAATAAAAAATATCCAAGAAAACATATCAGGAACAAATTAAATTCATGTTATTAAACACAATATCCATGACATATTTGGTATTAAGACTAATAGTGATATATCTATATAGTGCATATTGTTGGGGCCTGGATGGATAGATGCGTACAAAGATGTACATACAAATCATACAGCCAGGGGCTGAAAACACTGAATTGTACATACAGTTATCCATGATCACAGCAGCCAGCACGACCAGCAGTTGAACGAACGTTCAGGAGTGTAGATATGGAGCTGGTAGTGAGTTGGTCACAGTCTGACATTGGTTGCTTCAAAGTTTTTCCTCAGTGGATTCTGTTCATACTACTGTACATTCAGTCAAGTCAGAAGTAATTCGCTACAGGTCTCCGATCTGTGGCTAATGAAACTAGGCTCAGAACCAAAATCCACTCACAGTGGTACAGTACCCGATGGTACTTGGGTATCGAAATGGTACCTCCATAACTTGCAATAATAGCTGCTTGAACAGCAATAGTCTATACACAAAAAGTTTAATATATGTATACTGTCTTAATATTTATACAAACATATTGTTTCTCTTTCAAGTACTTGTAAATAAGTAGATTATATCTATCAAGATAGGTATAAACCTATTATTGGGTATGAAACCACACATAATTGAATTGATGAGATAATATGTAAAATAATGTATATTTGGTAGGAATAAAACTATGGTTAAGGAAGTGATGTTTAATTTCCAAAAGTGTATATAAATCATGTTTAGTGCAAGAAGTGAAAACATTTCTTCATAAATATTTTCACTTTATCATGAACAATTGGCCTCGTACAGCATAACAATAAATCCTTTCAATAAATATGCACTTTTTGATAAATGGTGTCTTAACAGTTCTTCATGCAGTATGATCCTGTCATCAAGATATATGCTGTATTCTATCCAATGTTGGATACTATGTACATGAAGCTGAGAGGGCAGTTAATAGTGCTATGATTTCTACGTCCTAATCCAGTGTGTACCTGTCTAGTCAGTATCCGTAATCAAATTTTGGACTTGAAATGTACTTGTGAATAGGCAGCAAACTTTTTATGTGTTTCTGAAATTTTATCAAAATTGTTATTTTGATTTTGATAATTAGATTTGTCTTGACTTTTAAAAAACTGTTACTGCCATCAAATGGATGAATCATTGCTGAAATATTAAACTCCAGTGTGTTTTGTATTCTTTGCATGAGACACTTTGGTTAATATCATAATTTCATCTATGCTAAATATCAGCATGTGTATACTATCATCATGATCAGGAAATCTTTGTGTTATCACCTTAGTTCTGGTTGATAACATCTTATCACTGTTATGATATCAGAGAATGTGGGTATCAACAAAAATATTATTGTTAATATCATTCTTAAGAATAATGACAGTCATTCTTCTTAGACAAGTTACACATTGATAAAAACGAACACAACTGATATTAATTACGAAATATATTGGGAAGAATATATAACGATATCAACCTACTTAGAAGTTTGTATTGGTGATAACAAGCCACAAATGAGATTTCACTTTAGATTCTCATATTGGTATTGTTTTCAGGAAATAAGAACATAACCGGAATATGTGGATATTAAAATACATATATCGGTTTATTGCTATGACTAAATAGCAAATGTTTCTACAGACAGTAATCCTGTCAATGTAGGAAACGGGCTATCAAGGCGAAATGTTACCATCGTCAGTATACTGTGGCTGTCAATCAGGAAGTGTACAAGATACCAGCAGGTGCTTGTTTGATGTACACTGACAGCGAAATGTACACATGTATATAGGGTATTTTGTTGTAATCAACACCTGTCTTTTACACTATAATTCTTGGCAGCAGGGAAATAGATTTGTAATCAAGGAAACACAAACCACACATAGTATATTCACAAACACAATGATTATGTCATCAATGAATTGCCACAACTAGGTCTATTTTTAGGACAATCGGCTCGGACTAATTCATATCGTGATGTTTGTCAATTTCTACAACAACTCTGGGAGTGGCTTAGTTAATGTGATAAGACCTGTGGTGATTTGTCCACCACATATTAGTATAATGATTCTCACTAAATGTTACAGCTCTGGTGAAGTATTGATGGGAGGAATGCAGTGTTGTGACTTTTAGCTGTTGTTTACACTGTGCGTGTGCGTGTTGCATTGTTAATTGCTTTGTTTGTTGTCTTGCATTGTGATGCTAACACATAGTCAATACAATTATTATTTACAGATTTTTGATATTTTGTTAAAGCTTTGAAAATTGAAGCAGCATAAATGGTTTTGCTTCTAAATTTCATATTTCCAGTGTTGATATGATTTTGTTAAACAATCTTGATTAATTTAATTTGATACCGGTTTTCATGAACTTACAATAGTTTTGTAAACTTTGCTTGTTAGATAAGTGAATATTGTGAGGAAATACTGCCATTTTGACTACCCAGATTTCTTGATGTCTTGTTAATGAACTTTTTCAGTGAATTGCATTTGCATTTTTACAACACATTGATCATTGATATATATTTTCTTTGTAGACAACTTTTGTACCTCTTGATTAAGTGCCTGTTGAGTTACTCAATTTTGTACCTTATTTCCTGTTCTAGTTGACAGTTTATTACAGTGTTCATTTTGTCTTAATCACTTTTTATATTGTAGTGCAGAAAAACAGAATATTTCAGGTAGAACTTTCTAACATCTGTATGAGGGCATAAATGGGAATATCTTCCATCTTGTTTCTTATTTTGTAAATATTTTCAGAGTACTAGATTGGGAATATTTTTTATAGTATAACTCAATATTTACAGAAACTCCTAAATATGCTTTGGGAACAAAAATATATGCATGTCACTACTGATGTTATGGTTTGTAATTGAGGCAGTTTTAACAGGTAAGTGATTTTGTTTCCTGACAAAAATATCACACTAAATGGTGCTATCCCAAGCAGATGTAGCAGTACACTGCATTGTAATGCTAACCCAATTGTTTGTTCATTCCCTGTCTGGTGCAGTGAATTTGAGATGATATTCTCTCTTGAAATTTTTGAGTATTCTGAAGTCTCAAACACATTTGATGGGTAATAAATAATTTAACCTCTACCACTTGTCTTGTTGTTTATCATCATTGTGAGAGTGGTTTGGTTTGGTTGAGAGACAGATGGAGCAACAAATGTTTACATGACTTTCGGAAATAATAAATAGTTCATAGTGATTAAGTGAGGGTTGAAATAATTCATGGGAAAATGATCTCATGTGTCATAGTGAATTACTTTGGTGTTGGTTTAAACATATATTTATTCATGAAAGAATCTGGTTTGGTAAACAAGCAAAGCTTTGCTTTTGTGAATACCTCACCAGTACAAATATAACACAAACAGAACACACAAGAACTAGACAAAAGACAGCATGAAATAGACAAATGAAAATCTAAAATCGGAACATCGTATGTGCATTGAGAATTGTAATTAACAACGTGCTCACAGTTACGTTTCATTACTTTTTGTTAAGATAATTGTTATTTATTATTTCCTTTAGACCGTTTTATCGAAACGTTTAGTCTTGCAAATGAATTGGTGGAAAGACTCCATAATGGTGTTACACTCCTTTTAGCAATATACCAGCAATATCATAGCATAGACACCAGAAATGGGCTTCAAAACATTGTACCTATGTGGGGAATCAAACGCAGGTCTTTGGTATGAGCGAACACTTTCACCACTAGGCTACTGTAACGACCCCCCCCCCCGACACAGGTGGGGGCTTACTGAAAACCATAAACAAAGAATCAAAGTGTTGTCAGATTGAACATTAGTGAACAAACTCAGTTCAAACATCCATGTAACTAAAACATACTAAATATGATCGTTAATTGGTAATGAGTGTGTTCATCCATTCTTCAGTGGATGCTTTCTGTTAAAGTAAACATACACACATGGTGGTAAGTGTGTGCTCTTTGGAGGGAGTGCTTACATATCAATCAAGATGACTTATATACTGGTCAAGAAGCTGGAGGAAATATTTCGGCCATTTCAGTTCAAGATATAAAGAAAACAAAACAAGTCTGTAAAATAATGTCTGAAATCTAATATTGCACAAGCAGAAATAATGAAAATGTTCCCGAAACTATTAAGCCAAATTCCCAAACTACACTATTCCTGAAAACTAATTTTCTTCCTGATAATGGAAAACTCGGCCAACTGGACTACTTTTGATGTTTTCATCCAATGACAACACGTCTCATGAGATTCAGAGCATGTGAAAATTAACAACTGAAAAACAAACAAATATGCTGCAAGATGTCTAGCGATGGGTCCATTTGTACGAGTCGTTATAAGACCTGGAACAAATATTCCTTTTTGATAGGCAGCTTCCCAACGCAAGGGAGATACCTGCTTTAGAAGTGGAAACAGGGCTTTTTATCAATTATCTCCCTTGGCTCGGAAGACGCCCCACGGAATGATCGAATCTAGCACGGGTGCAGCACGATGTGAAATCAGCAGAAACACGCATTTGGCTACATAATTGATCCTCTTTTCTCTTTTCACCAATCTTACATACCTCCAGCTTTCCATCCTTGTTCTGTGAATACTTCAGCCTGTTCAAGCGTCACCTATTTGGATATTTTAAGGTAGATCACTCTTCTGATCTCTACTGTAGCCCAAACCCAGTCTAATCAACTGTATACACACTCCCCCCATGCTCGTGTATGAACCTCTCAGCCACACCCTGCCGTGTGCACAATACGCCCCAAATCATGTGCATTATCATGAACATCACTTGCTCGACATCAGTGTTGGAACCTATAAACAAAAGGTTCATTACTGAAGTTGTTCCATTATATATGCACATGAGCATAAATTACGCACCACCTAAATCTGAGATAAAATGATAAATTTGATCCAAACAGGCCATCATATCCTAGCATACTGGAATGCACATATAAAGCACGTGCGTGCTATCACGTTCACCTGCTGATAAGGCACCAAGCACATTGAGGTATATACATTTCTTAATTGCAGTATGTGCACTACATTTTTCTGAACTGATATAAAAGACGACAGAACTACAAATTAACTTCAATAGACATGGCAAGACGTAGACTTTCAGAAAATATTAAGTTAATGACATGTAAAACGCAGGGATCAACACACGGTTTTTAGTCGACTTGTGAGGATGCACGTGGCCATCCGTGAAGGAAACAATTGTCCAAGATCTGGAATCCTAATTCGTCCAGCAAGATATGCAATCTCATGACCCATGCTTAAGAACTGCGCCGGCAATGGAGAATGGTGAGCGAGTGAGGGAGTTTAGTTTTACGCCGCACTCAGCAATATTCCAGCTATATGGCGGCGGTCTGTAAATAATCGGATCTGGACCAGACAATCCAGAGATCAACAGCATGAACATCGATCTATGCAAATGGGATGCGATGACATGTGTCAACCAAGTCAGCGAGCCTGACCCCCGATCCCGTTAGTCGCCTCTTACGACAAGCATGGGTTGCTGAAGATCAATTCTAACCCGGATCGATGGAGAATGGGAGTCCGACTCTCCACCAGTACCATCAGAAGGGCGCTGTGGGCTGCTGGTCTGGGGGTACGTCGTCCGATAAAACGTCCCTTCCTCACACACAGGAACGTTCAGGGCGTGGTGCAGGCTCCGAGAAAACCTCAACTTTAGTACATGGCGAAGGGTTCGTTGGTCAGATGAAATTCGCTATCTTCACCACGTTAACGGCGCCTGTTGTCGTCGTGACGAGACTTATAAAAATGAGATGCTCTGTGTAGCTGAGCAGTTTGATGGGGGATCAGTGATGATGCGGGGTTGCGTTTTCCTCGACATTAAGCTGGATCATTATAGTACCTTGGACACTCAGTAGTCACCCTTATCAACAGGAAGTACTGGATACCGCCGTCGTACCACATCTTAATACCCATCCCCTTGCCAGTCGTCCCATATACATGAATGAGAACGCTGGACTTCACCGTTTTAAAACTGTCATCGCCCATTTTCAGAGCAATGCCATTGAAACATTACCACGCCCAACAAGGACCCCTGGTTTGGACACCACTGAACCTCTTTGGAACTTTCACGGACGTCAAGTTCGAGCTGGAGACCCTCCTGTTCAAAATCTGCCGGAATTTTCGAAGGCACTCCATGAGGAATGATAGAAGATTTTGATGCTGAGAATTCGACGCATGGTTGTCAGTATGAGGAGGAGACTGGCAGGTTTTATCTGAGACTGGTGGCTACACCAGGTACTGATGTGGTCGCCAATGGTGGCTCATACAATCACAGCAATCATTATGTGTCAACAGTGTGACAGTCAGATTGGTGACGTAGTCATGATGACTATACCTTGCTGATATTCACATTTTTGTGTATTTTTCTCAGATTGCAAGTAAATAAATTATTGTCACAAAATTGTTGTGTGTGTTTAAACGAGAGTACAATACAGGTTAAATGTAGGTTACCTTTACTATTTTAATACGCTGAATTTGCTTTTGAAATCATGTGCAACAACATGCAGTGTTTTCGTACTTATATAAACAAGAAGTGTGCGGTGCTTGATTTATGCTCATGTGTTCATCTTTTCCTTGCTCTCCTCTTGTCCTATCTGAAAGATGTATATGCTGTAGAAATCCATGACAAAATCTAAAGTAATAGCCATAAAAACTGAAACCAGCAATAAGTCAACATTGCCGTCGCTCCAGGCACTAATCGGAACCAACTGGAACGTTACGACGTGTCACAGAAATATGCAAGTGGTCACGAATATCCCGAGAGAATCATGCATATATTACAGACGCTTCGATGAGTGATAGGACTGTTCGACGTGAGGGCGAAAACTGAAACGTTAGCAGAAATGAACTTCCTTAAGTGGCATTTAGAAGCTGGTATGATGAAGTGGAAGACATTTTATGGATAAACAACTTCTTTGTCGTAGTAGTAGTTGCGACGTTTCGGTGTAGATCCTAACACCGTTATCATTTGCTTTGCTACCAATTTAGAAACCCGAGTCACACTGAAGCAAGCCCTAATGTAGCAAAGATATTCATTCCATAAAAGTCTTTTACGCAGGCTATAATGGCCCCATGAACTAAAATTCATAGTCATATATGATTCAATAGAGAAGAAACCCATTAAATGTACTCGAAATTAAGTTTATAACGTAAATACAAAACAAATATAGGTGAAATATATGCAAAAATAACCCCAAAATAGTCAATCAGCGGTTTTTGCCAGTGTAGGTAGACATGACCCCAATCAGTTAATCTATAATAGATGAGGTGGTGCGTTGTTGAATGGCTGATCACTTGATTCAGATACACGAACCATTTGGCTGGAGAAGGCCTTGTCATCAATAACGAATGTTAAAGCGGTTTCAACAAAATGGGAGAAGCAAGACATGCCCCTTCTGCATTGATCAGAATGTATAGTTGATACATTTATGAATCTCTAAATTAGTATGTTTTGGTTCGGGTAACACATCGCCCTTGTGGTAATCCCACACCAGTGTTCACCAGGAAATGGGTTCGTGCAGGTTTGGTAATGGGTATGGGAAACTGTATTTTCTATCCAATTAGCAGTGGATAAGATGAGCCTCAGGAGTATGGTGTCTTCCCATTCTGCCTACACGTTAAAACAAAATGATACGGTTCAGTGATCAGGAAGTAAGGTTAATGTGATGACCTATTCTACCTTTACTAAAATGAACTTGACCAAAAGTCAACTGTAGGCAATACGGGAAAAATGACAAAATAGCGTTTCAAGGTTTAAGGTATCTATATTCTTTCTGAATGCATTTCATTCATTGGAATTGACAAAATGTCATGGAATATAATTCTCACATCAGGCAACTTATGATGCCACTCCTCAAGATGGTTATTCGTCCTGGGCCCAATATTGCCGAACTGTGTTCAGATTCCCACAGGAAAGCGTGCCTCATAGTCCACCCATGTGCTTGTATGCGGAATGCTAGTCTGTCTCACAGTCCATGAACCACATTAATTTCCCTACTGCCAAGCCCTCTCTGCAGTGCTAAAGCCCTAAATAAAGCAAGTCTAGATTTCCTCAGTCTGAATCTCTGGTCTCCCTAGGGCTCCTTTTCAATATAAATGGGCTTGCTTGTTACTATCAAAATTATATATATTCAGAGACTAAGCCTTAGTCTAGCGGAATGCACACACATCCAATTAGAACATAAACATACTGTGTTAGAAAATCATAGGTCAAAAATTATTTCCCGTTCTGCCTACAGTAATATTTGTAGGCAAACTGGGATGTAGGCAAATTGGGACTGTAGGCATAATAGGATGTAACCTATTATATATCGGACACAAAATGGTTAGATCGTTTTACATTTTACTGCAACTCATCAAACCATCAAGGTTGAACAAGCAGGATGTGATCACTGATCACCGCTTCGCTTTACGACCGACAGTCCATACAACTTAATGTTTCCGGGTCAAATAGTTGAAGTACAAAAGAATTCACATGAGAAAATATTCCAGAAATGTCCCGTCTTGTCGTTTTTCATTTTAACACAAACATTTTGAATCGACTTTAACTTTTAACAAATATTTCCACTATGAATATTAAGTCCACCAAGTTTCAGGCAATGTTCAACAGCATCAAGGAATATAAAAAAGTGCTGCTCGCTCTTGGCATTGTCGTAGCACTGTGGGTCCGGAGTGGCAAGTGTGGTATTTAGCCTGCTGAATTGTTGTCACACTTCTTACCCCTGTCAACTCGTGAAGATCCAGGTTAGAATTGGTCTTCAGCAACCCATGCATGCTTTTCCTAAAAGGCGCTAAACGGTTCGGGTGGTCAGGCTCGTTGACTTGGTTGACACATGTCATCGGATCCCAATTGCGTAGATCGATGCTCATGCTGTTGATCACAGGATTGTCTGGTCCAGATTCGATTATTTACAGACCGCCCGCCATGTAGCTGGAATATTGCTGAGTGCGGCGTTAAACGACTAACCAACCAATCTTATCCCTGTCCGATGGATGCACTTCAGCGTATGTTCTGTATGGAGGGTGGGCGTTTTAAAACCGTAGAGGTTGAATTAAACATGGAGCGGATCAACCAATGTTTCCAACATTCATTCCTGATGGACAAGTTCACGTTATTATCGAAACATAACATCACATGTCTAAACATATGGAGGTTAAGACCAGCGGATATAGCTTTGTAACTTTTCTTGAACCTACCAGGATTAAGTGTATGAATGTGTAATACTTTTCACATTGGTATCCGCTTTAAATCGTCAGAATGTTCCAAACTGATTTCATTAACCATGTCTCCGATGTTTTAAATATAACCGTGTATATAATCGTATATTCTTATTCATCGGCAAACATCGCGATGGTAAATTCAAACTTCAAAAATGGTTTGAACATATGAGATATTGTTTTACAAAGATGTGTACATCTATGTAAATAATTCTAGACCATTAAGTAAGATATGATAAAGGAATTTTCTCAGTGTTTCAGAACCACGTTGCCATGATCGTGTCCGTTTTATTATGGAAAGATTTTTGTTAGTAATCATATGCAATCATTCCTTTTAATTTGTCATTTAAAGTGGCAATTTGGCGTATGTGTATGGACATATTGATGGGTTTACAACGACCCACCAAACACAGTGCCCCTTTAAAGTCAGAGCTTAGTGATCTCCTTTATTGATTAGATTTTAATGACATTGACCAAACCATCAAAAACCCGATACTAAGTATTAATGAAAGACCTAGCGTCCTTTCTAACCCACTTTCATCACAATAAACAAATCAAATTAATTCAATAAAAGAATACATAAAATATGTTTCCTATTGAAGGCAAAATATATAACAATTTGGTTCATCTCGGCTGCATGTAGTCTGAGCTAAGTCAGCTTCAGTGTGTTAGCGGTTAACGACTGTAACGCTTACCACATTATTACTTCCCCTGTTTAACCAATGAAAACGCCTCTTTCATTCTGTATCTAGGACGCTTGTTGCTACATGCCCAAGCAAGGTGTTCGGTTCGATTTGACAGGTAATTTATCGAATATTTTCTTAAAGATAAGCTCTCGATTAAATTTTAACATATTGATATATGAGCTTTTGTCACTTTAAATGCTGGAAAGCGGTTTATATGCTGTATAATATCCAATTTATCTTCGCACGAAGTTTTGGAGAGAGTGTTGTTGCAGGTGTGTGTTCCCGGTTGTCCGCGTTTGTTGTCGCGTTGATGGCCGCTCATCAGCATCGCGTTAACACGTTTGTCATGCTTCATTAATTTGGCAAGAAAGTAATAAGAACATTCTCTGTAGTTTGGGTTATGTCTGGATGTATGTTGATGAATAGCAAATCTTGTCACCTAAGAGACGGTAGATCTATATCACTTTCATCAATATCAATAAAGACCTATGCGTGAACAGATTAACGATGTTGACCCCAAACAAATGTAAACAAAGGATGTGGTTGACAAGTATATTTCACAATATACATATCCGGACAAGGGCAGCCACTGAATGACAATGTAGATTGTCCTATTTATTTCATGCTATAGGGTGTTAATGCATTTACATATTATCATTTAGGGGTGCTATTTAAGAAATTCAGTTTTCTGTACCCCCATATATAATGTAATAAAATACAGTTTTGCCCAGAACTGTTAAAGGATGCATGTGTCAGAGTGCCTTAATGTTATGATAGTTATTTATACTATATGTGGGGTACAGAAATAGGTATTTCTTTTCTAAGATGCCAAATTTGATATCCCAGTGTCAGTTTTTTTTGATGATGTACGACAATAGCGTAATTTTTATCTTTAATATTATTTAAAGTTTTTATTTTACTAACCTTGAGTGATAAAGCATATATTCATCTATTTTACACAAAGATATCAAGTGTATACTTCAAAACTAGCGTTGATGACATCGTACTGGCACAACTGTTGCCGCTCTCAACATCCAGGGATTTTGTATGCGTTTTCGATGATGAGCCATACTTTTTTCTCCGCACTGCGAGGGAGTGTTGTGATCATGTGGCTTCCTATTTATATACTGCCTGTCACTAGCAGACGACTGATTTTACTGAATTTGCGCTTGCTATTCAGTGTTCACGAATAGCGTCTGACCCTCTGACAAATCTGGTAGATTCGCCAACGGTCCGATAGAAGTCTACAACCCACCGGCCCCAGTGTCCGACTATATTTCACAATGACTTTGACTGAAGTTGTTATATGTGACATGTGACAGTTGTTTGCTGTTTATAAATCTTATGCTTGTTAATAATTTCAATGCCAATTATAAGAAAAGTTAAATCTGAAATGTGTGTCTAATTATATTCTATGGGTCCTGTGAATTTTCAATGGGTCAGACAGACATCTGAAACTTTCAGGACCCAATGTCCTGTTACTTTGAAACACCATTCGTGAACACTGGCTATTTTTTGTTTTAACGGAAACTGATTTTACATCTGAAGTGGTATTAACGATCTCGGGTAAATACTATTGATGTTTGTTTGCTTTTTAGATAACTTAACTACCAGATTACCATTCTCAATATAACTTCTCACAACAGCTACTGGGCATCCGCCCTACCAATGAAAATGCGTGTGCTCTTACTCCCCCGATATAGCGTGAGCAATGCAATTGTTGAAATCACCAGAATGTCAAATTCATCTCGTTTTGGGATACTAACTTAGTAACTGGAAATAAGGATAAACTAAGACACAAAACAAATACAGAACATTGTTGTCGGACACCCAAATTAACAATCATCAGGCAGGACTCACTGATGTGCTGTTCCTATTGATGTGCCTGCCCTCTAAGTTAAGATACATGTTACCAATAAAACCACATGATGAAAAATTTCAAGACTGTTTAAGTTTAGGTTAAGCATCTTGTTACAGTTAATATTATTGACTGGAGATAGGATTGCCATGGGTAATGGTGTTTCACCTTTAGATTATTACTGAACAAATGTGAGTGAAAGTTACCTAAGTGGAAGTTCCAGGGCAGTTTCCTGTAGCCAAAAACATCAAAACTAAAACAAATCATCCATCACTCAATGTTTTTGTGTGAAGAATATTATGTATGCAAATATAAAAGCAGTGTCTAAAAGTTAAATTTATTTGCCGGCATCAGTGTTTTGGCTCATGTTTCTTTAAATACAAGGGAAGTTGGCACAAACTGAGACCCCTAGCACAGCATTGTGCCCAATTTTCCAGCACAAAACAGAGCCTGCAAAGCTAGTGTTCAGAGCCCCAATATTTAGATGGGTGCAGGGTCAATAACTATATACATATAAACTGCTTTCCTTAGCATATTAATGACTAAAAAATACCAAATTACAATTTATCATTTCCCATTTATGATCCTTTTAATCCCTGTTTTCCTCTTAGTATGTTAAAACAAATAAAAGAGAATATATTTTAAGTGAAGGTGCTTTCATAAACACACTTGCTCTAAAATGCTATATTTAGTAAACAAATGTTATAAATGTTATTTTTTGCCTTAACTTCATGAAATATATCATCTCAGGACACATTTTTTCAAGATCAGTTTCAAACAATGCTTAAATTGGTGAAATGTAATTATTGTAAAGTAATTCTTTTAATATGATATTACAAATACTGTGTAAGTTGCTTCATGCAACACTCATCATGAGCATCATAATGCACTCTGCGAAATTTTCCTTGATGAACACACTCTCTTCAGGGATCAAGTTTCCTATGCAACCGTGCACCAGTGCAGGTAAAATATTGCTAGTGCCAATTACTTTTATTGTCATTTTGCACCATTTGCAGGTTATGTTTTCCACAGTTAGTGCATGGCAGCAGTTTTATTGGAATAAAAGTCTTTTCCTATCATGTGTACCAGGTTAATCTGTTACTGGAAGTAAAAAATGTATACAAGTTTGCTATCATGCTCATATATCAGTTACTAGACCACGCTCTGTGTACACAGTGTTGTGACATTTCATGAAAGGTCAGTGGTCACTATAATACATCACTTGTTATGGTGTACAAGTTGACTATGCCAACTGCAATCATGCTGAAAAGAAATTAAATTTATGAATGAAAATGTAAGTTAATAAATGACCACCTGTCAAGCAATTCCTCCAGACATGCAGTAGTGTGAGCTGTACTGATAGTGAAGATGGCCAAGGATATCCCTCTCCCACTGCTGGTAAGGAGAATTGTGTGCTGTTAGTAACAGTGATAAAACTCTTGGTAACATCGTGCAGCCAAAACTTTGATAGTGCAACCTGATCAGTTCACTTGGTTGCACTTGGTGCAGGTAGTGAAAAATAATGAAATCGTACCCTTTTTTCATGTTCATGTTGAATACCAGTTGTTAGTTCTTACCCACAATCATATGACAGATCACAAGTTTCGTTTGCACAAGGATCTACAAAGCTCTTCTTACTGACATCTCGTGTCACAACAAGTTAAGATAAAATGTCACCCCTGCTATCAAAACATTTCGGTAGCCAAGTTAATGACATATTTGGATTATTTCGATATCCTTGATGGATTTATGTTCTATTTTGACAAATGCCCAGGAATCATTTGTGCCATAGCTTCATATGCAAATTGGTCCAGCTATTTCTCAGCTACTTCCTTCAGAATTTCTTGTGAAAAGGGGTTAAATTTGATGGAGAACTGTATTATCACTGTGTAATTTAAAACCATTCAAAATGTGGCTGTTGTTTTGAGTGAATCTGGGGTATGTATAGTAATTAGAATGGAGATACACATGGTTATCAAAGTAGCTCATTGTCATCGACTATGATGATCATGACTTAAAACACCAAACAGCATAAAATAATAGTGATAGTGTTTCACTGAATAAATACTGTCATATGTAGTCTTTGCTTGACACTTGTATATAAAAGTGTTTGTGACCTCCAGGGACAAGGTCATCCCTGTGGTCTGTAGCGTCTGCCCTGACAGCAGAAGGTCAGCAGATCCCTGGCCACATCATACCCAAAAACACTGAATATGGTCATCCATCTGTTATATTGCTTCCGTTCATCATTAGGGTTTTTTAGCTTGGCTCTGAGTCTGAGTGGTGTATCAGTGTTACACTTCAGTACAGTACATGTAGATCATTTGGGTACTTAGTGACTAAAAACTAGCACAAGTCTGGACTGGGATGAGCAATAAACACTCATGCATGTACATTGCTATATGAGTTTTGTAATCTTGAAAACAGCTTTAAATCCAATGCCAATTCCCTTCCCAAACCTTCTACTCACTAGAGGGAAGACTGTCATGCTTCACTGAACACTGTTACAAATTCATTTGTGTCTTGTATATCATGTATCAAATTCATAAAGATGAATATGACACAGATATCCTTTGTACAAGTGTCAGATGTTTTCAAATGGGTTAACATTTATCATCATGATTTTTATGTAAAGTTAATCCTGTCTCACTAAAGAACTGCTTCTGCATGTTAGTACTTACTTTTCCCAACTCAGTTGTATATACTCTAGGGTGCTGTTGTACAAAGTGATCTTAGCGCTAAGGTGACTGTAACCCCCATACCTTGACATAGACTTAAGGTAGTCTTAGTGCTAAAGTTTTATTGTACAACAGCACCCTGATCCAGATCTGTCTGCAGTACTTGTAAGTGTTAAGTGATCCATGTCAGAATAACAACTTGGAAAGAAGCTAAGGTGGTGTCTTCTTTTACTGATAATCTTTCCTTTATGGACATACTGGGTAGCCAAGTGATTGAAGTGTTTGCTTGTCACACTGAGTTCACTAGATGGATACACTATGAAGAGGCCATTTCTGGTGTTCAATGCAATCATATTGCTGGAATATAAGCAACATAAAATCTACGAATACACATTGCCTTTTGGAAAGTGGTCAAATGCAGCATATGTTATATTTGGGATTAATTGATGATCCGTTGCATTTGACCACTTTGTTAGATTGCTGACTTTGTGTTCTCGTGATTAGGTGCCTCAGTCCGAGAGTGTGGGTAAACCTAAAACGTACTAGAACTTGTATTTTACTGAGACTTAACTTTACTGAGTGTTATCCCAAAAAATAACATAAGTAGCATAAAATCTAAATTTCTCACGCTTTTTGCATATTTCTCACATTGGATGACAGTCAAGTTTGTTGTTGCAAGTGGTGTCTCCTCCTGCCAGAGTAACATCAGTTAGGTTAAAAAGAGTACTGAAATAGATATTCATGTTTTCATGAGCCAGAGCCAGTCTTTATGTCGGCTGTTTTTAGTATTTTGTAAGACCAAAAAATAAAAAAATGTGTTTCCTCTTTTCTGACCAACTCTAATCTTGAGCCATGACCTTAAACTTTTCTTCTTGTTTTTGTTGAGATGCTGTATAGGTTTTGTCACTTATAATAGTCCTTATTATATGTCACTAGTTAATATTTGTTGTACTTCAATACTAGCATGTTGTAAACCAGTCAGCTTGCTCATTTAAGGAGAGAAAAAAAAGTTAATGTTAAACTTAGCAAAACCCTATCACATTTCTCAGTTGGTTTGAATAAGAAAACCCACATATTTTCTTTTTGACCCCTGTAGAAATCTACGGCAAGAGAAGATTCCCTTCCCCCTTGAGCATATTGTCTGGGCAGTGAATTATTCATCATCATTTGCTCCTGTTATCTCCCCAATCTATCTGTTTGATTAATTCAACCTAGGTTTGGCTGCTGTGATACTCAGTGGCATCATAGAAGCAAGTTTTGTAAGAAAGCTTCTTACACTGTTTTGTCATGGACTTTGTTTTGTAGGTATTTGTTTTCATTCATGAAAGTATGAAATGAATGTTTCATAATTTCATATTTTGATGTACCAGTATTAATTTTCAGAGCAAAATGGATGTTTAGTGTGTGAAAGCATGAATGTGTGCAAGCACATACATGCATGCACGCATGCACTATTTTTTATCCCCTGCCGCGCATTTAACGCGAAGCGGGTGATATAGTATTAGGCTCCGTACGTACGTACAAACTGGAATATCTTAAGAACCGTTGACTAGATTCTTTCATATTTGGTACCTAGCTTCATCACAGTATAGGAAAGGTCCAAGTCAGGTTTGGTGACCTTGACCTTCATTTCAAGGTCACAAAGGGACTTTAACGTTTTACCTGCATGTTAAGCTATCTCAAGAACCGTTCCCCTGGATTTTCTTCATATTCAATACCAAGCTTTATCTAGAGAAGGCGCATGTCCCAGTCGATTTTGGTGACCTTCACATAATTTTCAAGGTCATGGCGACACTGAAGATTTCAGCATGTAAACCTGCATGTTAAGCTATCTCAAGAACCGTTCACTGGATTTTCTTCATATTTGACACCAAGCTTCATCCAGGGAAGGTGCAGGGACCAGTCGATTTTGGTGACCCTCACTTTATTTTCAAGGTCACAGAGACAGTTTGAACATTTTAGCATGTTAAATTGCATGTTAAGATAGTCAGCAAGATATCGCAAATAATATTCACTGGATTTTCTTCATATTTGACACCAAGCTTCATCTAGGAAAAGGCCCAGGCTCAGTCAATTTTAGTGACCTTCACGTAATTCTTCAAGGTCATGGCGACACTTTGAAGATTTCAGCATGTAAACCTGCATGTTAAGCTATCTCAAGAACCGTTCACTGGATTTTCTTCATATTTGACACCAAGCTTCATCTAGGGAAGGCCCAGGGCTCAGCCAGTTTTGGTGACCTTCACTTAATTTTCAGGGTCACGATGACACTTTGAAGAATTCAGCATGTTAACCTGAATTGTCAGCAAGATATTTCAAGAACGGTTTACTGGATTTTCTTCATTGACTTTCAAGACTTCCCTGGAATGTTTTTCAATAAGCAATTTCTTTAGTACTATTTTTGCATATTTCATACACTATGACATTCATGTCAAGGTCAAAGTCAGTCTTGAAAATATTTGTGTGTTTGAACAACTAAAGAGCAAGATATCAAGAGAGGTTGACTGGTCATGTTTTTGTTGACATTTACCTTCATCTTAAACTTTCATTACTTTATAGGTTTGATTTGATAATTTGCGGCTGGGGATTATGTCACCTTAGTGACAATGCTTGTTGAAGTATATTTTTGAGTACAGTATAGTGTGATTGTTATTTCAGAGGTATATTGGGTGGTGTAGTTCCTGTCTACCAACATCATGACTGCAGGCTCTATCATTGTACCAACCATCATCCCTCTGCGGGCACCGGTGCCAGGGAGGTCCAAACTCTCCATAGACTCTGCTACCAAAATAGAAGTGAGAACAGGTGAGTCTTTACATCTTCATCATGTTGTGCTGTGCTAGGTAATGTTGCACATTTCCATAAAGCTTGTTCTCCAGTGGGTTGCAAGATTCAATCAAATATTGCCATGTGATGTGTTGATGTATAGTTTATTTGGATACTAAATTCAAAGAATTGAAGAACATACAAGCAGGGTTTTACCTTGTCCTTCAAAACTTAGGATCCAGACGATCCCCAATTATCAATATCAAGGTTACTTACAGAAAATATGTGGGTCCTGCAAAATAATTACATGGTGTACAGTTCTTAAACAAAGATTTAGTAATAATTTTAACTGAAGGAACCTTGTTGTCAAGAATCTGTTACAAAGAATGTTATTGTGCATCAGTTTGGATGCAATATATATATTTTCTGTGTCCATTCTGTACGTTTGTGCATACTGGATGCACATTTGTGTGTTCCGTAAAACCCTGTAAGAAATAGTTAATTTTTATGGTCGACTGAAAACTGAAAAATATTTGGAGGGTGTTGACATTTAGTCAGTTCTCCGTTTCACCATTCTCACATAGTTATCCATACAACATTGCAAGGAGGATACCACACATACATCAGGATGTTTTGCAACAGTGTTTGTCAGTTTGAAGCATACACTGTTTTCACTACTTGTTGGTATTAAATTCTGATCTGAGCAATGCTGAGGTAATGTCTGTAAATCTCAGAGGAGCACACGGTGCCCAGACAACCTTTAGATGATAACACAGCAAACTTCTTCTTTAAGTGGCATTGTAGAAGTTGGCAAGTACATTATAGACAAACTTTATGATGGATAACAACTTCTTTATTTCATGAGTGCGATGTTTTGATACAGACGGTTCTTGTAATGTTGCCAAGTAGGAATGTAAACATGCTTGGCAAAGGTACAAGAATTTGTATCGAAATGTCACACACATGAATTAAAGAAGTTGTTATCCATGAAGTTTGTCTATATTGCACAGTAAACTGAAGTTTTGATTTTCTTCATGGAGGCCAGCTGCCTCTTCTTGACTGAATCAGTCTGTTTCATGTACACACGCCAGTATCAGCAGACAGGATGTCTTACATTATTGATCTGGGCCCCAGCTTGGGCAACTCCTGGCTGATCATTAGGAGATTCACTGACAAAAAAAACCTCTTTTGTTTCTACTTAAAGATTTACAATACATCTGTGGGCTTGGATGACACTAAATCAATAACTGTACCCACATGTTTCTTTGACATGTGTCTGTGATAAATAGCTTGAATGACACACATATCATTGCAGTGTAGTTAAACGTTCTGTTCAAACATTGAAATGTGAACCAGAAATAACCACAGCTGTCCCACTTTATTTCACATGCTCATGATCATTCTTAATCATTCAGAGTAATATATACCACATATATTGACAAAACTCCCACATGTCCTGAACTGAAAGTGTATCATAGGCCATTGCAAAATAATAATGCTTTATTTCTGAATATCAGCAGCCAATCAAATTAATACCTGGGTTTAGTAAGATGCATAAGTGAATAACATTCTGACTGATCAGACTTCATTGATTTGAATTATAAAACTTTAAATCTTCAGAGTGATTTTATTTCTCCAAGCATGTTCTATTTATTGCTAAACATATCCACCACCATTCTTGGAACCTCCTTTAAACCTGTGACATTGGTGTTCTGTGGGAACACAGCTTCTCCTCCAAACGCCTTACAGCTCTAGCTAATTCAAGATGAATGCATTACAATTTCAGTTTAGCTTTTTGTCCCCCGTCGCAACGCGGAATGGGGGACTATGTATTCAGCAACTTGACGACTTTTTTAACGCTTGTTAACGCGATATCTCCTGAACTATTGTGCCCAATGTCTTCAAATTTCAGTGAGAGTCTACATTGGGGGATTACGCAGACACCAGTCGATTTTGGTGACCCTGACCTTATTTTCAAGGTCACCACGACACTTTTACCACTTTTCTAACTCTTGTTAACATGATATCTCATGAAATGTTGTTCCCAATGTCTTCAAATTTGGTTGACAGCCTACATGGTTCATTCGTGTTAAGGCGACTTTTTTTAGCATGTATAAACATTGAGCGAATTTCGTTTTCGCCTTCCCACGAATGCTGTCGCCTTTCCAATTAACATAAACAATGGGCGTGCGAATGTTTGTTCAAGTCCCTTCCATGGATGAACAGGCGATGTCGACAACAAAACAACTAGTTCATTTAGATATTTTGCCTTGTTTCTGGCAAAAAATAACAAATTTATTCACATGTTGTGACGCATCTTCACATATGAAACAGTCATTAAGCAAGTTTCAGAGTGTATGATGCCCTTTCAACATACCGATGACAGAGACGTGTCCGGTGTCAAGCCTGGTCTTCAAGTCATCCAGTTTTCGCTGAAGGTCTTGTCATACTTCTTCTTGTTAGGACGGAGGCGTTGTCCAGCGGTGTATTGAACCAAATGCATTTCTGTTGTCTTATGTTCTTTCATCAGGAATTGAATCAGTTCGAAAATATTTGGGTGGGCTCCAATAATTAACATCATTTGCTTTACTAATACGATACATATAATTTCCAACACAGAGATATCTGCCACCTCTACAAGTGGGAAGATATTTGTACTTGAGTTGTGCATTCATCATGATGATAGTGATATTCTTCGAAACAGACCCATTTATAAGAAACTTTAATTGCCTTGCTATCATAGTTAATTGATATAAGCTCACGATGACACATACTTATAAAACTAAACGTGAAAAAGTTCACTTTGCACCAAAAACATTGATGATTTAAAATGTGTTCACCACTGCATTCTTTTTCATATATTCCGCCATGGGGTACATATAAGCATTTAAATGTCCATTTAAAATCCCTATGACAGTTGTAGCAATATTTGAATAAAAATATTTACAAAACAAAAAACTACGTTTTTGTCTTGTGAGACCACCCATACAGGGCCCCACGGACCCCTACAGCCAAGAGCAGGTAACTCTAGCCTATAACCTTGTACCTCACTTTCCATGCTGTCGTTTGACTGACTAGACGTGGTGTCCAGATCGACAAGAGAGTTGATATTTGAAAATTCCCTGCTAAAGATGAGTGGTTCCGAAACAGCTACTGTATGTATGGTTCTCTTTTTTCCCTGCATGGGCGATTTAGAGATTGTTTCTGAAATTTTTTCATTCATCTTTTGTTGTAACATTGTACCTGTCCCTGTCGGCTTGCCATGTGCTTGTCAAGATGGCGGATGGGTACCTTTGCTATGCTTACCTTTTTTATTTATCCTCTTAAGGTTTATTCAATGTTTTGTGTAGTTGTAGTGTTTCAATTGTATTTTGAAGTTAGCATGTTAGGGCGTGTTTTCCGCTGCTAGTATTTTCCTATATACGATTTTTGTCGTATTATGGTGGTATATTGCGGCATGTCCAGCCTATTATTTGCTGGTGTTCAACTTAATGCTTGCTTTATCTTTCACATGTATGTGTTAGTTACATTAGCATTAGTTTTATCGCCCATGTGTGTCGTTTATGAATATGTTATAAGGGCAGGTTGTTGCACGTTTTTTTCACTTTTTGCAGTTTAAAACCTGCACTTCGTGCCTCGCATCCATACCCGTGAAAGACACTCACGAGGTGTGTTTGCGTTGTCTTACGGAGGGTAATCATGCAGTGAAGGGTTGTCCAGCGTGCGAACGTTATTCCCCCAAGACTATTAAGTCTCGAAGGGCGGATGCAATGTTCTACAGCAACTTAATCAGGGCGAGGGGTGGTATCTGGACCCAGGATCCCCCATCCAAGCGTTCGCACAAAAAGAAGGGGTCTTCTGGAGTCGCCTCCTCTACCGAGTCAGCTCCTAAAAAAGCTAAGGCCGTCAAGGAGGCCTCTACTACCCCTGTCTCCACCCCTGTCTCTACTCCTGTCTCTACTCCTGTATCTACCTCCCCTACACCTACTGTTACATCAGCACCTGTAGTTACATTCAATACTTTATCAACTTTATTTCAGGAGCAGATGTCGTCCGTGAAATCCTTGATTGACACGGCGCTAGCTGGCTTCCGCAAGGAGCTCAGCACACCTGTCATCAGCGATGGAACGGACGCATCTGGGGGGGGTTGGATGCGGCCCGAGTTTAGGCTCGGGAAGCCTGTAGGGGCAGGTTCTTCTCGGGTGCCTCGGCACCCCAGCGTGGGTTCCACCAGGGGGCAGGGCGACCCGAGCCTTCTGGCTTCTCTTGATCTTCTGAGCACTTCGTGTTCGGCATCAGTGGCGCCCTTGGCAACCTCTCTTGATTATGAGAGTACGGGAGCCGAGGAGTGTGTAGATGTCGACATGGAAGAGGATGAGGAGAGAAAGGAGTCGGAAGTCTGGGTTCAGTACTCCTTCGGGTCGTCCCTGCGGCAAGTTCACGAACGTATTGTGGAAATGCTGCCCCAGGTGGCTATACCGGTTCAGGCGCGCGATCCCGAGGAGTTTAGACTCCCGGGGGAGGTTTCGTGCCTAGCCGGGTCGCCGATCTACGTTTGCGCATTCTGCCATCACTGGTGAGTGAGGTAGTGAATCCTCTGCTGACTGGTGCACGGTCTCGGTTTGACTTACAGACGTTGGCAAACGGTATCAGTTGGGGGAGAATTCACTATTCGAACCGCCAGTGGTGGACGAGTGTGTGTTTGCCTCAGTTACCCTCGGGGGGTCGTCCACGTCCTCCCTGGCTTCGGCCAGGCAAGGCAGGCGGCCACCACCCTTTCAAGCCAATGCACCCACGCTGAAGTCTGCATACCGGTCCTTTGAGGAGGTTTACCGGTGTGCAGCTCAACAATTACGCATGGCTCTCCACTCTGCTTACCTGTCGGCCTTACAGGGGCAGCTAGTGGATCAGAGCGATAGCGGTGACGACTTGTCGGCACCCGTGCTCGCACGCCAGCTCACTGACGTTCACTCTCATCTGGCTAGGGACAGCATTAGGTGCTGTGCCAGCCAGATGATGGGTGCTGTCATTGGCATGCGCAGGCAACAGGCGTTACTTTCCCTGCCTTTCACAATGGGGTCTTCCCTATTTCCTTGGGCATTACAAGTAGTGCGGGAGGCGGTGTCAACTTTCAAGGATTCTATACCGTTGTTAGAACACCCCTCCACTTCTCACCAACGGCCTTTCCCTCTTGCTGCCGCATATCCTTCTGCCTCGGCAAAGGAGCCTACAAAGTGGACTGCCCCTTTGCGGAGCAAGCGTAGCAAGAGAGCACGAGGCAAGGGCAGGCCTGCTCAGTCACAGCAGCCTTTTTGGGGCAAGGGGAAGCCAGCCCTGGCTTCCCGTTGATTTTTTCCCTCAGAGCCCTTACTGCCCCCCACACAAGCAAGCGGAGACTTGCTGACTGTGGGGGTGAATTGCCTTCTGCCAAACATCCCTGTAGGTGGCCGACTGTCCCTATTCCTTCGGGAGTGGGAGGCAGTAACTTCAAATCCCTGGGTCCCGTTGATTTTTCCCTCAGAGCCCTTACTGCCCCCCACACAAGCAAGCGGAGACTTGCTGACTGTGGGGGTGAATTGCCTTCTGCCAAACATCCCTGTAGGTGGCCGACTGTCCCTATTCCTTCGGGAGTGGGAGGCAGTAACTTCAAATCCCTGGGTCCCGTTGATTTTTCCCTCAGAGCCCTTACTGCCCCCCACACAAGCAAGCGGAGACTTGCTGACTGTGGGGGTGAATTGCCTTCTGCCAAACATCCCTGTAGGTGGCCGACTGTCCCTATTCCTTCGGGAGTGGGAGGCAGTAACTTCAAATCCCTGGGTCCTGTTTCTGGCTCAGCCTCCTGTACTATTACCTTTTCGACTGGACCTCCTATCCTAGAACAGAGCGCCCCGCCCGAATCCCAGGATTCAGTGGGTGGTTTGGCCACTGTCCGGAATCGCCTTCAAGGGAGAGGAATTCCTGCACCAGTTGCAGACACAATTCTGGCTTCGCGGAGGGATTCAACAAACGTTCAGTATGAGGATAGATGGGCCTATTATGCGTGCTGGTGTGTCAACTGGGGGATTCTCGATCCCTTTTCTGCAGATTTAGTCTCTGTGTTAGAATTCCTCCAGTCTCGGTTGGAAGCCAGTCTAGCGGCTTCAACTGTTCGAGGATATTCAACGTCTATTTCGGCATTTCATATTCCTGTTGATGGTGCACTCTTGGGGCAGCACCCTCTTGTTCAGTGCTTTTTAGCAGGCGTGGACAGAATCCGTCCGACTATCCGGCGGATTAGTCCCCGTGGGACTTGTCAATCATTCTTGATTGGCTGTCTGGTCCTCTATTTCACAATGTGTCGGCTCTTTCCCTCCAGCTGTTAACGTGGAAGGCAGCTTTTCTTGTGGCGGTAACTTCGGGCAGGCGGGACGGCGGGTGGTGATATTCATGCAATGTCAGCCGATCCCGCGCTAACTGTTTTTCATAAAGACAGAGTTAGCATTCGGTTGCCTGATACTTACCGTCCTAAGAGAGATAGTGCCTTTCATGTAACGGCGCCTATTGAGCTCCTGGCTTTCACACAGCCCTCCCTGCCTGGTACCTCTCTACGACGTGCTCACGTCTTAGATGTCCGTAAGACCCTTAAGGCTTATATCAAGCGAACAAGGGGTATCCGTAAGGATAACCAATTGTTTTGCTGTTATGGCGGGGGCAAGGCTGGTCTTCTGGCAAACCATTTCTAGGTGGCTTGTCTCTGCCATTTGTATGGGATATACGCACAAAGGTCGTATACCACCTAAAGGTTTGAAGGCTTATTCGGTTAGGGCAGTGGCTACGTCGAAGGCATACGCTACAGCCCTGCCCATTGAGGAGATCTGCTCAGCGGCTATATGGAGTCGACCGAGTACGTTCATCCGTCACTATCAACTTGGCAGACACTCAAGCGAGCATGCTCGGTTCGGTCAGTCAGTTCTCTCCAGTGGGCAGGGTTCCACCTCTCCAGCTGATTGAGCTTTCGAGGTTTTAAGACATGAACCATTTATCTGCCGATTTTACCTGGTGTTGGGTATCTAGAACTTTCCTACCTATTCCCTTGGTGTCAGGTTTTATGGTGGTGGTTTTATCCCATGTACTGTGCATTCCTCAGTACTGCTCTAGTCCTATTGCCTTGGAAACCTTTGCTTGTATTGTACGGCAAAATATTTCTTGGGTTTATTGATAAATTCCCTTAACTTCGCTTCCTACTACCTACAGCAGGGAGGGGGGATTATTTGAGCAGTTTACATTAGCGAGGTTTCGCATTATAAACATAATATGTTTGACCCCTGACCCTGGCTCATGCCCCGCCTGGATTGCCTGTGGTGGACATGTGACCAGGTAAGTGAGCTTTTCTGCTATATTTAGCTCGGGAATTACTCTTATTGTCGGGGTTGTTTTTATACAGACAGAATACCACTCCCTAGCTCAGTCTTTAGGAGTCTGTCTAATGCTTATATGTACCCCAAGGAGGAATATATGAAAAGAATCGAACTAACCTGTAGAGGTTTCAGATTCTTTGAATATAGTCCTCCTTGGGGTACGGCCACCCACCTCCCCACATTCTGTCTGATTCGTTCAGCATGGAAAGTGAGGTACGAGGTTATAGGCTAGAGTTACCTGCTCTTGGCTGTGTATGGGTCCGTGGGGCCCTGTAGGGGTGGTCTCACAAGACAAAAACGTAGTTTTTTGTTTTGTAAATATTTTTATTCAAATATTGTTACAACTGTCGTAGGGATTTTAAATGGACATTTAAATGCTTATATGTACCCCAAGGAGGACTATATTCAAAGAATCTGAAACCTCTACAGGTTAGTTCGAATTTCGACTAGGTAAGTCGATAATCCTTTCGTTAATCCCTTAAACAAACATTACTAAAACAACACCAAACATCAAAGACTACTGCCTGTCACCTTAACGCTAATGCCTGAAACTAAAAAGTAGCCTTAACGCGAATACCCCACCTACATTGGGGGATTACACAGACACCAGTCAATTTGGGTGACCTTGACCTTATTTTCGAGGTCACCACAACACTTTGGCCACTTTTCAAACTCTTGTTAACGTGATATCTCATAAAACATTGCACCCAATGTCTTCAATTATGTCAACAGCCTACATTGGTTGATTTTGCAGACACCAGTCATTTCTTGTATGTGACTCAAAAATAAAATGTAATAAATATGTCATAAATATTTCATTCTGTTTTAGCGGTTGGGGACATGTTAATAGTAACAAACACTTGTTTGATAATAAATATCATGTTGTTTTATGCCAGATTACCCCAATGGATATTACAGATTAACATATTGGTCCTCAGCAACATATACCTTTGTTAAGAGGATATGAAATATTGCACATCCATGGGATGTTGCTCATAGTTGGGTTGCAGCACTAGTTATACACAACAGCAGACTATATCCACTCAGATATTGATCTACCAATAACTATTTTCAAATATGCTATAATATCAGCAGCTGAAGTACATTAGAATTAATACACAACTGCTAATGCTTTAGTCATGCCTAACATGGGGTAGGACTCCGTCTACATGATCTTAAGGTTAATGATTTTTATTGATCAACACAAATACTTTTTTTCTTTTTTGGGGGGAGAATTATATTTTACTCACTACTTTCACCAAGTTCGATACACTGTTGGGGTCAGTTCTGGGGTGGTGGGGTAGCCTAGTGGTTAAAAGCGTTATGCTCAGCCTGGCTCCATCTTGGTGTGATAAAATGTATCCCTTGTTTTTTAAAACCCAGGTTCGTTTCCCCATGCATGCAATGTTTGAAGCCCATTTCTGGGGTCCCCTGCCATGATGTTGCTGGAATGTTGCTAAAAGCGGCGTAAAACTACATTCACTCACTCACTCGGGTCAGTTCTAGCCTGGCTCCCAAAAGTTCCGATTATCTTGGTATGATAAAATGTATCCACTTGTTATTTGAAATATCTTCCACTGGAAATGCAGGTTTTGAAACTTACTGTGATGATCCCCTCATCCCTTCAGAGCAGAACATCTGTCGCTGCGGCAATTGTTTCAACCACATTTCAAATCAACTCAAATACTTGATTCTGGTTTTCAGAGACAAGAGATACTGACATTCATTACACAATCAATGGCACCAGACCCAACCCCTTCCAGAAGATGGGTGAGAAGTGTACGATGCAGTACCGGGGACCTTTCACACTTCCTCCAGGGAAACAGACAGTGAAGGCAGTAGCTGTGTCCAGGTGAGTACATCATGCATGCAGTATTGTAGACCTATCACACTGCACACTTGCACACTTGCACCAATCCTCAATGTTTTCCAGGTTATGCTAAGAATATTTCCTTCAACTTATCCTCAAATGACAATTTTTTCTCTTCTACCCCAACTTGTTCCATTATTTACTGATTATTGATAGCAAGGTTTTATGTCCCTTCTGACATGTTCATAGCTGAACACATGTGTATTTCTGTATTTCCAGGGATGGGTTGAGAGAGAGCAGTGTAGTTACAAAGGTATTTGACGTGGAATATGTTCCCCCACCTGCCCTGGAGCCTACTGATGATGACCTTGGCTTTCAAGAACAGTGGGAGAAGGAGCAATCAAAGGTATTTCAAATGGGATACATTCAGTCCTTTTTGCTGCATGGGAAAGAAGGGAAACCTAGTATTAAAATAGTGTTCAATACCCAGCACAGGTAAAATGTTGAGAAAGTTCCTGCTTGATGCCCTCTATCATAGCCAAAAAATGTAAAACCAACTTACTTTTCTCTTGTGGGTATATGTTTGTCATATGTTTTAATGCATATATTTTGTTTAGGATCTGACCATTGCTAAATTATTGAATAATCTGACAGCAAAATTTTGTTTTGAAAACTATTTGACACTAATGCTATGTAAACTTTTCATTTGATGCACTTTTGTATGTTGTCATCCTGATTAATATGCTTGACTATTCTGTTTACAATATTTTCATCAATCCTATCGGCAGCTTGATTTGAAGCGAGCAACAACAAAGTTGGCAACTTCATCACGTTCTGCCTGGACAGACGTCTCCTCCATGAAGCAGACACAGCAAATGATGGCTGGTGGGTTGATGTTTTCATGTTGACAAACAACAGATGGAAAGATTTATTAGGTTTGATTAATATTGTTCCAAACGTTGCAGTGATAGTGTGCCTAAGATTTATGGACAATGCCATCTGTGTTTTACAAAACTGTTCTTTATTGTAGATATGTCAGTTGGAGGAAGCTCACACAGACGTCCTGGGACTGGACCCAGATTTCTCAACTCTCGTCGAGGAAATATGTCTGAAAGAGGAACAGTGGTTAGTGTTATCTGACTGTTATAGTTTTGAAATGTTGATTGTCCAGTATGTTATATCTCCATTTCATCATGATAAATACATTTGACTCATTCATCACCTCTGCTCAAATCTGAATGACATGCTATAAATAGCCATCTGAATGAAACTCAAGGGCAAAGGAAACTGAATAGTGTTTTGGATGATAATATCACTTCCGACAAAACAACTATGATTGTTAATGGGTAATGGATAATTTTTACAGAATAGAATGGATGACAATTTGGATGGTCACATTTAAGAGAATGCAAGCTGTTAGAAGAAACTTTTTCTATTTCAAACATTTTGAAACAAATATAATTATTTATTGCATGCATAAATGTTGCACGTGGTAAAATCATTGTTGTAAGTTTTAAGGTACGAGATCATGACAAATTTTTCATGAATTGCTTCAGACATTTGACCACTCAGGAGAATATGGAGGCTCTGATACCCGTCGGTCTGAGAGACGTCTGCCAGACAACACCACTCAGGCCATGAGGCTACAGAGGGAAACAGACTTCCTCAAGTATGTGAAGGTTTATTGTCCCCGCCGCAACGCTGAACGGGGACTATGTCCTTATTTTCTTGTTAAAGCAATATCTCATGAACTGTTGTACCAAGGTCTTCAAACTTTGACCACATTGGGGATTACCCAGACACCAGTCGATTTTGTTGACCTTGACCTTCTTGTTACACTTTGATATCTCATGAACTTGTTAACGCGACATCTAATACCCAATGTCTTCAAATTTGGTGACAGCCTACATTGGGGGATTACGCAGACACCAGTTTATTTGGTTGACCTTGACCTTATTTTCAAGGTCACCACGACACTTTGACAGCTTTTCAAACTTATTTAAACGTGATATCTCATAAAAAATTGCACCCAATGTTTTCAATTATGTTGACAGCCTACATTGGTTGATTATGCAGACACCAGTCATTTCAGGCATCTTGTATGTGACCAAAAAATAAAAAGTAGTAAATAGAGATATTCGATTCTTTAGCGGCGGGGGACATTGCCATATCAGTGGCAAACACTTGTCAGAGATGATTTGCACATATGTTTGATAATATTGGCTTGACATATTTTTGTCATGGTAACACTTTTTGTCCTATTCTTTGAAAGGTTGCATCTCACTTTTTCATGTTTTCACTCACTTTTTACCCATTGGCCAAAGGCGATTCTCCACAGTGGTAATGTCTTTAACTCGATTCACGGAAGGCTTCCTTCCACATGCTGTCATATAGCTAAAAACACCGAAAAGAAATGTTAAACCCAGTTCATTATCTCACTGTCAGTCAAGGGGTGTAACACCAAATTGATCGAAATTTCATCCATCCAATCAGAGCGTTGCTTACCAGATCAGAACAGTAGTAGTGGGAATGTGTTTTTTTACTATGCAACCTTGGAATGGTTAACATAGGGTGTTCCAAAAGACATTTTTAGACTTGGTTTCATTGAAACCATGATCTATATCTCGCTTTAGTGGGATAAACATTTGATTCAGAAGACACTTTCAGTTGCCTGTAGGAAGTAAGCTGTTCGGTTCCCAACAGTGGTTATAAAGAATTCAATCACATGAATGTCATTAAACAGCTTTCTCAGGCTTTGTGGCACTAATTTCAAACTGGCAACTTCCATTCCAGACAACACTTTGAAAAGTATTTCAACAAAGCAAATTCAATACTGAAAACTGAGGAAAACAGCATTCTGTAATGCCTCATGGGCGTCTAAGATGAGATTTACCTTATTCCTGGCATCCTGTGTAGACGGGAGATGTTGGGTATGATCTTTGTCCCAGCTGATGTCTGTTGGATTCACTTCTACTGCCTCAATTGCAGGTGTATGTACTGTTTTGCTGATCGTCCATCTGACCCATATGCAAGGTTCTGTACAACTTGTGGTCAGCCTGTCCCTCCCATCCCACAGACACACAGAATTGCACCCCCTGAGCCTGGACAGGTCAGTTATACAAATTGTTACTGTGTTTGTGTGGCATCTCGATATCGGAGGTGATATGTATCTAAGTAAATCTAGATATATGGAATGACATTTTGAAATAGAATGAAAATGTGTCTTTTTGAATAAAACTGAATTAAGAAATTATCAAAAATCAAAATCAGAATGACCATTATCTATAGCCTTTTAAGATGGATGTTACTCTGTAGCTTGAGATTGTTTGTTCATACTGTGGGCAACTATTTCAGATGGGAATGTGTGTGTACTGCAAGTCCATGGTGCCTTTCAACACTGAGACGTGTGTGGTGTGTGAGGGTCCAATACCTGTCCAAAACCGCCCCCAGGCCAGCGTCAAGCTGTCTGACCGTCTCATCTGCACACTGTGTGGTACAGCCAACCCCAGCAACCTTGTGCTGTGTATAACATGTGACAGCAGGCTGCCTACCACAGCACAGCAGGTTAGTATGGATCTTCATGCCTGGAAAGATTGTAGCATTAGGCCTGTATGGGAGTCCAGGTTAGAGCAGGTCACCAGTTCCCGATCATTGTCACCATCAACTAAAATGATGATCGAGTGTCTGAAGATGTAACATGGTCATTAGTTATCCCAACATTTGCATTGTCAAAATTTTGATTGTTTTGACTATTTTTACAGTGTAAAACAATTCACTGCTTTGAAAATATGAGGCTTGCTGATTCTTTCCCATTTAGTCTGACAAACAATTTCTCTGTCACAAGTTTCAGATAATCTGTATGACACACCTACATTGTTGTTATGTCTTTTTGTTCGTTTTGATTGTATGACTTTGTAATGTCAGAATGCCATCCTGAGTGGAAGATCAGCCCCTCCGATCGTCAACCCGGACAAGCGTCATGTCACATGTAACAAGTGTGGCCGTGTCAACAATGGAGATGCCAGATTCTGTGACTGGTGCGGCACAAAGGTTGGAAGAACACTATTAACATTGTACTCTAATAACTGTCACTTTTTAATAAGTAACTATTACTGTATATAATGATTATTATTAGTTATATCCCCGAACTAATATCTAATTAATTGACTTAGTTGATCCAGATAACCTATGAAATGTTATAATAAATATTCTTGTACTGCTTTTATTCAGCCAAGCCAGCCAACAAGTGCCATGGTATGCTCCCAGTGCCATGCCAACAACCACCCTTACAGCACTTTCTGTGGGTCATGTGGTGTCAAAATGGATGCCCCAGTCAGGACAGAGTACAGGTAGGGGTCTTTTCCGAATTCCAAAGTTCGTTTGTTGCATTTATCAGTGTGAAGGATATATGTATTTGATAAATCTGTAATCTTGATCATTTGTTTGATTTTTATTCCAGAAAGAACCCTGCTGGCGGATCAGGCGATGTGAGTACACCATCACATTGTCTTAACATCTATATGTATCTGTTCCCTTATTTTACTGAACTATATATAACTTGTTAATCACAACCTAAGTAATAACTTGACAGCATGTATAAATAATAACTATATACACTTTCTCAGTATTCACTTGATGAAGGGGCAAAATGTAGGTCATCACGAAGAATGAAGAAGTTTGTCTTCCACAAAATGTTCCATGTCTATGTTCTTCCAACTTCTACATGCCAGACAGACAAATAGTGCAACAGTATTATGAACAAGCTTGTAGTATTATGAGAGGCTATGGTATATACATTTTAAAAGAATACCTTTCTTCACGTGAAAGTGCAAAATATATGTGATTAAAACATGCTTGTATAAACATCACCAAGTGTAAGGTACATGAATATAAAATGTCATAAATAATACAATAAAGCCTGACCTCAAGATAGAATATAATGTAGGATTTTGGCAAGTCAAAACACTCTTTGTTTTGACATTATATGCTAATCAAGCTCGCGTAATCACAGTTTATTTAAGAAAATGCAGGTTACAGCCAGTGTACATTCCATGGTGTTACATTCAGTATAATGTACATATACATCTCCCTCCTCTTCATGTTATGTTTCTGCTTGTCAACGGCACAAATACAATATACGAAGCCCATTTTCTGGTGTTTCCCCACTGTGATCTTGCTGAAATATTGCTAAAAGCGGTGTAAAACGTAACTCATTCACTGTATCGAAAGGTCACACTCATGAAATACAAGAAGCTGTTATCCATAAAGTTTGTTCAATATAGTACATCCCAACTTCTAAAATGCCACCCAAAGAAGTTACAGCTTGTGTATTTACAGGAAGTCAAGTGACACAAGTGATTGTTGACATTGTACAACAATGTCTGATATAAACAAGTAAACTGTATGAGATACCTTTGTTCCAATCAGTCCAAGTGGCTGCCAGTGAGTTTCCCTGTGGCCAACACACCCAAGCCGATGACCACTGTGGCCTGTCAGACTGTGGGACTGTTCTACCCATCCCAACGGGGAATGGAGAAACAGAAGGAGATTGAGGAGGAGAAAGCTGCCTTGGAGAAGCAGATGAGAGACAGACGGCCATTGCTCACTGCCATCAGCCCAGGCAGAGGTGAGTCATAGATTCCAGGGTTCCCCTGACAAGTAAAACAATTAAGCCAAAATTATAGAAAGGTTATGATAGTTGAGCTACAGTTTCTGCATCAGTTGTAACCATGGATATTCCAACTCTTCTCTGTTTGTGTTTCAGGTTACTGGCGTAGGCAGATTGAGCACATCTGCATGCACCTGAAAGCTCATGCCCAGAATGATGCTGAGTTCCGTGCTCTCATTGGAGAACCCAAGATGGGCAAGGTACTCTTTACTGAACTCTCATGAACTTATGTTAGTAGAAAGGAATCTATAATTAGTTTGAGGACAAAGGCTTTGAAACTTTTGGTTGTAAATGTGCTGTATTTGAGTGTTTTTTCACCTGCTTGGTAAAACACTGTTTACAGCTCTACTCTATTGTTCCAGCTGATCACAAGTGCCATCCAAGAAGACGGCTATGAGTTGAGCCTGAATCTGACGTTTGCTCTGAGGGGAAATAAAGACCCATTTGTGGGGAAGAAGCTTGGGGTTTCTCACCAGGGCTACCTGAGTATGCACACTGACAGGGACAGCATCAACAGCTACAACATGGAATCAGAAGGTAGGGACTACAACAGGGCTTTGTCTCGGGTGTACAGAGGGGATTTCCTCTGCAGTCAGGTTGGTATGGGTAACCTTGTAAAACCATCTTTACTACAAACTCCTAAATACTCTCTCACTCTCTACTCTTTTGTCAGTATTGAGAATTTCACAAAACATGTTGATGGTTAAAATATGGATGTTGTGCTTCTTGGTTTGTTTGGCAAGGAACATAATTTGCAGCTTTTACCTGTTATTTTTTTTAATTTCTTCCTCTAACATAGTGCCACCTGTGAAGATCCAGGTTAGAATTGATCTTCAGTAACTCATGCTTGCCGTAAGAGGCGACTAACAGGATTGGGTGGTCAGGCTTGCCGACTTGGTTGACACATGTCATCGTATCCCAATTGCGTAGATCGATGATCTTTCTGTTGATTACTGGATTGTCTGGCCCAGACGCTAATATTTACAGACTGCTGCCATACAGCTGGAATATTGCTGAGTGCGGTGTAAAACTAAACTCACTCACTCACTCACTCTAACATAGTGCAGGTAAGCTTATTCTTCTCAAACAATGACTTTGCAAAGATTGGTGCATGCTGACAACCTTATTCATATTTAATAGTATGAACAAATATTCTACCCTGTTTGAAATATATGACGATGTGTTGAGGAACCAAGACTTGTTTTGTGCAGCTTCAGTATGAGTGTTTGTCTTACAGACAGTGGAGAGGACACAGCCAGGACAACCAACAACAAGAAGTCAACTAAGAAAGCAAAAGCTAAGAAGAAAAATACTGGACCTAAACTCTCAGTAAGTGGATGATTTTGTTAGTCATAAATTAGCATGAAATATTTCCCATTTGTTGAACAATAACGGCATGTATGCTTAGATGTTGCTAATATGTGACAATGTTTACAAATGTGGTCAATCTTTAAGCATGTGCTTAATCCCTTAGGGATATCAGGTTAGACTCGATCCCTAGTACTCAAAGTTGTTTCTTGTAGAAATCAACTTGTATGGATGCAGATATCACAATCTTACGATACTTGCATGAATTGTTTGTCATGCTATCAACCTTTTGTTTGTCTTAAAATTTCATTGCAGTACTGCTGACTGTGGCTTAAAAGTATATCCCCCCAATTACCTTTAGAAAGTTTAGCATATGAATAATAGCAACATTTCAGCGTGTATCCCTTCTTGATAATGACTGTTGTGAGTTCTTGTCTCTTAATCCTTCCATCCTGCATGTTGCATGTCTTCTTTTGCAGCCCATTAACTCCAAACTGATGAAGGAGATAGGAGCTCATGGTGATGGTTCCCCCAGTGAAGTGCAGCAACTCTTGGATGAGGTATGAGACAGAGTGGTCCTCAAGAAACATGATGTGATGCATGCAGTGCGTTGAAATATCCTGCTTGATTTAGATTTGGGTTTAGTATTACTGTGAACAAATTTTTTCAAAATAAAATTTATGCTGACATTTTTTAAGACTTGTGTATGGTAGTGCTGAGCCAATGTATAGGCTGAGTATAATGACTATTGCTTTGAGTTACTACTCTTGTGTTGCCAGGGAGCTGACCCAAGCTGTGTTAACAAGAATGGTCTTCCTGCGCTTCATGTGGCATCCAAGAATCGGCACCTAGACTGTATCCCAGTCCTGGTTGATGCAGGGGCTGATGTCAACAGGAAGGGGCCTTCAACAATGTAAGATTTTTAAGTCCAAGAACTTTTCGCTTCAGAAAAAATATTGAAAGGACAGGATAAAGTCATGAAGGCTTGGCGTAATGTTTATCAATTGGTCACTGTTTTTGCTATCACTCACTCACTAAATTATATTTCAACATGATTGATGAATTTTATTAAAATCATAAAGTAAATATCCACAGGTGACCTTGATGACAGTTTTAAATAAGTTTGAAATATGTTTTCTCAGGATGGAATGAAATCTGCATTTGTTTTTTAGTATGATAGTGTTAGCAGTTATTTTTTAATTTTTTATGATCAAAGATAGAATATTGTAGGGCACTGTGAATTTTTATGCTAATTTTAGCCAACCGATGAGTACCAGAGAACCTGTCAAACCTGTCTGTTAGCGGTTTCTGTTAAAGTTAATGTGTTCTTATGCCAATATTATTTTTAATGGAATGTATTGTAGGCACATTTGTATCACAATACAGACTTTACAGAGATGTAATGTATCATGGGTCACATAGTTGGATAGAATAATGTATCTCTTTCACTTCTAAATTTTAATATTTAAGGTTCAAGGTTGGGTTATTTTTCTTATTACAATATATAGAGGTGGCATCTGACTACAATACATCTTCATGTTTCTACTTTCTAACAGAAAAGGCAACACCGCTCTCCATGAATCTGTGAACCTTGGACCCTCTGGTCTCAAAGTCATCGATACACTGCTAGAGTAAGTGAACCTTTATACACAAGACTTCAGCTACTCCTATTATGACATTGCATTTATTACAGAATTATTTGTCAAGGAAATACTATCATATTCAAGCAGTTATTACTCTTTTAATAACCCACGATGTATATGTTATAGATTGATATTTCTTTGGTGTCATTTTCAGCCTTGGAGCAGATCAGGCCATAAAGAATGAGAGAGGAGAAACACCATATGATCTCGCAGCAAAAGCTGGCTATGACTCGATCATCACAAAGTTTGCCTCGGCCCTTGGTCAGTCGCAGCTACATAAGATGACCAAGCCTAGAACAAGTTAATCTGACTGGCTGACCACAGTTGCTGACCACAGTTGCTGTACACAGTGTTGCCTAGATGTCCTGTACCTCAACCCTGAACCATTGAACCTAGTTGATGCCTTATTACCAAGTGCCAGTCGAAGGAAATGCCCATGAAAAACGCTTGTGCAGCATTTATCAGATTTTATGTTTATTTGTTTTCATTCACAAATTTGTTTGGTTTCATTATTGATAATCTTGACTGGTATTTTCTCGCATTGGAAGCATCATGATCTTGATTCTTACAAAGTCTTGGAAAATTATTTCTCATGGACTTTGGCTGAAGATAGTGACTTCAGATCTCAGGCAGTGAAACTTTGTTTGAGTGGATTAATAATTTGTGAACATGGAGAATGTGGAAAAGTGTTTCGTCATGATATCCATTTGTTTTACTGAAGATATCAAGTATTTTAATAGATCATGTATTTGCTGACTGGCAGTGCCTAAGAACCAGGATTTGTTTTTCCTTTAAGCCTTAGATTTAGTGGTAGATTTACATGGTTAATATATTTGTAAATAATATGATGACAGCTATCACATTTTACCTATGAAAAGCTATAGGAGCAGGCACAATGACTTCACCTGCCAGTGAAGGTGATTATCAGATTCAAGACTTGTGCTTCTATGTTATGCTGGTCATTACCTGACAATACTGCCACCTCAGCATAATTGTATATAACACTTCATGTTGTATTTATAATTATTAGACTTCACATGTTGCAAGTATGGATTTAGAAACTCTTGTTTATTTATATTTGTCAGAAAAGATGCATTGTTCACTATGTAAATGTTACATGCTTCAGAGGATGTTATTGGTTCAAATTTAAAACTCTTGTAGTATCCTAGTGTTGTGGAACTCCGTCCTGTGTGTCTACTATTGCCTATCTGTGATATTTAGTATGTGAAAACTTACGTTCCTGTCATGACTAGCCTTCAAACTACAGTATATTTACATGCTTTTATCTTAGAATCCTGTAGTTGTTTAGCAGATAACATGAAATAAACCTTTTCTAGCATTTTGTTTCACAGTTTTCTCTTCTTGAACATCTCAAATGAAGTTTTACAATGTTGGCGGGATTTAATCACCAATTATATCTTGGTATTGCCATATGCTATATGTTGGCATTTGAATAGGCTGTGGGTTGGGGAAGTGGTTCAAGCATTTCCAGGTCACAATGTCTGATTCCCAACATAGTAACCAATAACTACATTGTTACGAACTATCTGGTACACAGTTCAAGGCATCCCAATTTCGAATGTGATCATTTGTTTTGTGCTTTTGTCATAGTTTGAATCAGTGGTACAATGGCATGTGTCACCCTGTGTTCGCTCATCACGCCGAAGACCTGGGTTCGATGTGTGAAGCCCATTTCTGGTGTCCTCGCATTGATATTACTGGAATATTGCTAAAAGCGGCGTAAAACTAAACTAACTCACTCACTCAAAAAGCCATTCTTGCAAGTCAGTAAGAAATCCCCATAAATATGTCAATCAATACTCATATTCTTCAAATATATACTGGACAAAAATAGTTAGGGATATATGTAAATTTGGAAATTATGAATAAAGATTAAATTATGAATATCAATCTTAAAAGTACCAATATCCCTAACTTATTTTGTCCAGTATACTAGAGTGATGGGGATTGAAGAATTTGCTTGTCAAGCCAAGGGCCCTGTAGTATTGCTGTAAGAGGAGTATAATCCAAATCACTCACACTGTGAAGCCCATCCTCCCTGAAACTGACTGAGGTGTACTAAAGGTGGCATAAAGCCATCCTCCCTCAGTGACACATTCAACTTCAAAACAAATAATTTGTTTACTACATTTATTGCTCTTATAATACAGTGCTGGATTTAAATATTAACTAAAGCCTAACCTCACTAAACAACAACACACCATATGCATAGTATACCTACACTGAAAGAAAGATCACAATGCTGTCATCTACAAACTCAAAGCAGAGCCACCTGGTAAACACTAACAACAGGCCTTCATAATTATAATTCACAGAAATAATTTTTACCAGAATAAACAAAAATGCAAAGCTTCAGATACAGAAAAGGTTAAAAGAAATATGTACATCTTGCAAGCACTTGTCATGCTAGGTGCAGTTTTCACACAGTTCAATGTATTATTACTGCTAGCACTGGTGCAATACATACTGTCAATATAATCTGGTTAATGACATTCAATGGGCCAGGTGAGAGATGTTAAATGCTTATGTACCTGTCAAACAAAATTAACAATCACACTTCAGCTAAGCCTGCTTGTAACAGTGTTTTTAATATCAATATGAACAATGAGAGGTGTAAAAATAGATCAATGGACATGTTGGATGTTGATCTATGTGTTGCTTTCTTACGCTCATGCTGATTGTGATGGTCATATACAGAAATGTCCAAAAACAATTAAAATGACAAATTAGAGAGATATGATTTATAAATATTAAGGAAATCAACAATAGCTGTATCTCTTGAGTGCACAGTACCTAGTAGTTAATGATTTCAACAGAAACATTTCAACAAAGCATGGATACTGGAGTTCTGACTAGTGATCTGGCTACATTTTGACTTTGGTGAAAATACATTGTACTACCAGTAGTTAGTTCTCACTGTTCAGTCCATGACACTACATGGTAGCAACATGTGTACATTTCTGACTGCATTGAGGAAAATAACAAATGTACCAAAACGAACACATTCTATGGAAGAGCCTGTTTATATTTATTCTAATTTAGCATTCTCTCAAATTGTCATTGCCTGGGGAGCCTGTCTAGTAAAATAATATAATCATGAATATTTGACTTCAGATCTTATTTGTAGTTGATGTTATCGACTAGCCATCTACTAGTTTCTTTCCCATCTTGTAATTGATTTGCTAGCATTGCAAGCCCTATTCTCCCATACTGAGAGTTACAGAAACTGCAAGGTGTGAAGCGGTGCCTGATGTCATCTGGCATTGTAGTTTGCCCATCTTCATGAAACACAAGTATACCACACAAGAAATTAAATACAACTTCAGAATACACAATATGTACAATCACTCCATACGACTCAATGATCAGACCTAGCAACCTGTATTCACTAGACACCTGAAGTGAAGATTTTTACAATGAGCAATGGCAATGAAGGAATGACATGACATTAAGCTGAACATCCTCCTTTAAAACTCTGTTACATAGCTTCATCCAGTCCCAACATGAATTGGTATGGACATCCTTGTACAAAAATAGTTCAGATGGACAGACATCTGACCCAGCTCAATAAACAATTGGTTAGACAGCTGTTTAAATCTACCAAACTGGTGATATTTATCAGTACTTGTATTTTGAAATGCCCTTGATATAACAATTCAAAACATATCATTAAACTTGTTTCTACCCAAATCGAAGGGTGTATGTCAGTGTCCAAATGAAAACATCTCAAACAGACAAGGCAGATAACTCCAACAACTCTGCCACTGAAATTACAAATATGTCCAACAAACACACTCAAAATAGACATTAAAGATCAAATATGGATTAAAATCAATAAGTTCATATCAACTCACTGCTAATTAATACTGACAATTCATGATGGCGTACCCTGTCAAAAATGTTCATGCCTCTAATATTCTTACAAATCTGAGGAATCAATATGTTGAAGAAAATAGATTTTACAGTCTGACATGTGTAATGGCTTCTGGTGTTTTGGTACTAGTTCCACTGTTCATAATTCTTGCATGGATGACAATTCAGTTAGTTTAGTTGGCAGAGTGTTGGACAAGAGCTGGCCCTTGATGGTTATCAGGAAATGAGTTTATTCAATGAGTTTCTTTGCCTTGAAGTATCTGCGGAGATAGAGCACCTGCCATGTAGCCAGCCCAAGGAGGCAGCACATGGAGAAAAGGCTGAAGTACATCACACGAGAGTGGGTTGATTCTGGAAAAAGATGCCATTTGAAATCAACTGCAAAACATGACAACATAACCTGTCAACATTACATCATTGACTGTTTTCTAAAGTCTTCAAGATATATTTTAAATCTTGGTAATGGTTTGGTAGAATGGCCAGTCAACATGCTCCTAAACATCCAATGGAGATCTACTGTTCCAAAGAAACCACCAAGTAATATTATAGTTTTATATTGTTTCCTAAACTACGGTTAACCAATGGACGATTAGTCAAACACTATAATTCTTCAATATAATCCAGTCCCAAAGTTGACCTTTACAGTGAGAAATGTGTCAAATACTTTCTGAATTCCAACCATGGTATGAACAACCAGTAAAAACTGCTACTGAAATCTCCATTTTATTTTTCTTCTTGAACATGACTAGAATATAGTTTGCATGTATGAAGGCTGCTTGTATCTTTGTGAGAACATGTCCTACCATTAGTGTCCCTCATTTCTTCCTCCCTAGCCCTCATGTAGGCGAAGTCATCAACAATTGATTTAGACAAATCTTCCAACCGACGCAGCTCAACCTCAAGAGGCTTCAACTTCTCTGCTTTGGCAAGCTGAACACAACAGACAACAGTGGTTTAAAAAGACAATATGGTCAGCGAAATATGTTACTTTTGTAAAAGTAGCTGTATCCACAGTATTTTCTGGATCAGTCATCATTGCCATATTACAAATTTACCATTTTAAGTTTTCATGAAAATGGTATATTTTCAGACAACAGTATGAAGACAAAAGTGTGTTCCTGAAACTAGTACATGTATGTATTTCCAACTACACTAAAAATATGATGAAGACAGATACTACAGGGGTGGAAATAACCCATTGCCCGACGTCCGAGTCCAGTTTCTTTTCTGTCGGGCAAGCAAATTTGTATATCACACTGTACCGTTGTCCAGTTGACTTTCCAATGTTAATTATGTTGTTTATATAAAAAATCAACGAGAAAACGGCCGGTGTAGTGGAAAAATTATCAGAGCAAGTGAATTTACATGTGCCACTGTACCGGAGTACACTAGCAGTTTTAAAGTTATTTCCACCCCTGTACTAGTAGTATTCATGAAACTAGCATCAGTTCAGACAACAAAGAGTTTATATACTTTCCTAAACTGTCAAGCACTCGGGTTATGGAATGGCAGTTGCATCAACATGAATCTCACCTCTTCATAACTCTTTGCTTCCACACCATGCTTCATGTCAAGAGAAATTTCTCTGTCGCTTCCCTGGCCACCTGAAAAACAAACATTTCACATCATATCATGTGTGTTAAGAGAAAATTTTAAAAGATTGCGTTTTGGTTGCAATACTTCGCATTTTGGTCCAAATCACCATCTTTGTTGATATGTTTGATTTATTCTAATGATACTTTTTCAGGGGAAAACATTTAAATGAGCTTTGACTTGATCTATCGGAGAGCCAAGCCAACTTTCAATATAGTAGAGAAAGGACAGCTGGATAATCTCAGATTTGCTGGTACTTATTTAGCATAAACACTACTCGAAACATATATTACATGCAAAACATAGAATTTCCATTGTTTCCGTAAATGAGAGTCTAATCATATGGTTGTATTGAATGATATTGTAAAGTGAACAAAACATAACTAATTTCATTTTCTGAATCATCAAATGTCCCTGAACTGTGGCACACATGACTATCAGTGAAAAACACAAAATTCATACTGCTTTTAAGGTTTTTACCCAGCATCATAGAAAGCATTGATAAGGAGATTCTGAACAAAATACTGACAGTTAAACAAATCAAAACTCAGTACAATACCATAATAAATTTCTGAATTACACAAAACAGATGACCATTGTTCAAAATCCAACTGTTGACTTTTTTCACTTTGCCTTACATGATAACCATATAATGTGAGCGAGTGAGTTTAGTTTTACGCCACTTTTAGCAATATTCCAGCAATATTATGGCAGGGGACACCAGAAATGGGCTTCACACATTGTACACACGTAGGGAGTGTTTATTAGAGTGATGAATGAATGCCATAACCACTTGGCTACCCCATCACCCCCTATAACCATATCAATGTGCAGCATTTTGATATACTGCAGGGTTGTTTTTACACATAGAACAGTTATACAAGTCACTGTTTTCTGTGAATATTACTGTTGCCTCCCCACTTAGATGGCGAAAAGGTCAGATGTGTATGTTGACATGTAACAACCAAACTACAATTAACTGGACTTCTAAAGTGTCAGACTTGGGGTGTACAGGAAACAACATATATGTGTTTTGGGACCTACTGTAGTTTCCAACACAAACAGACATGGTAATTGTGACCGCAACAGGCCAGTGAAAATGTTGAAACCATCTGTCATTTTCTCACACACTTGTCTAACATTACCTATTAATCCAGGGATAGATATGTCATTTTTTAAAGGTGTGATTGGTATGCCTTTGTCAAAATAAGTGTACCCATACGTTTTGATGATCCAATTAAATGTAAAACACCACAAAAAATACATCATTTCAATTCTCAACGCCTATTTAAATCAGTAAACATCATGTAAACCTGCAAATTTAAGAACTGGATTTCCTGAACAATATCCTGACTGCAAGAATAGTTGTTCATTTCTTCTTGACCCATAAACTAACCAACAAACTATGTTATCATCCAAAACAGATCTCTTGTCATGTGCACTGGCACTCAAAATGGCTGTGCAACCAATACAAACATTGATGGGGCCCAAAAATAGGTTTTGAACCATTTGAATTGGCCACATTCATCACATTTCCATTAAATGAATCATGGTGAGTATTATTTGTATAATTTTTGGTGTGACACCAGGGCAGTGTGAAAATATTTCAGCCAACATTTACAGAGCCATGATTTGCAAATTAAGCACTATTTTGATCACTAAAATCCATCAAGATCATGAACAAAAATAACTGTTTAAAGCAGTTATGAAGGAATCCTTGGTTGGAATCTGAAACCAATGGTTATGTTCCTACCCGAATTCCTGATTCAGTAAGCATGATAAGTGTAATAATACTAATATGAAAATTACTCATAATGTCTTATTCAAACAACAACACTTACCTCCAACCATTTTTGTATCAAAGCACACTTCAAACATATCATATTCTTCTGTTGTAAATGCAAATCTACCCTTCTTAGCATCTTCTTTGGAGTACAAAATATGGCTCTTTGAATCTGTCACCTGCAAGAAAATGGAAAACAATATGTGGTTATTACAATCTGAAAGAAATACAATATATTGTTACTCCATGGTATCTCACACATGATCACGGGTGCATTTGTTGGGAGTTTCTTGTTTTTGTATATTGTAATCCAATAACATGATTTGAGATTAATTTGCTATGCCTTTTAGGCCAAAAAGAAATATATGTCTGTTTCCTATTACATGCTTTTTAAAATAGGGCAGGTGGATCGGTTTTATCTTATCTTTTACTCTTTTTCTTTTATTTCTTAGTGGCACCAAGTGGGCACCTGAAATCTTCAAGAGTACCATATCATGTAGTGACAATGCCTTGTGATGAAACATTGAAAGAATTCTTTATCAAATCATTATTTATGTTATTTATTTGCAGATTTGGTCCGTGAAGACCCATTATGCTATTGCTCACTCATTCAATGCAATCCATTTTGGCCCTACGTACACTGAAAAACATGAAAATATCATACTCAATATGGATGAAAATGATGAGTTGAAATGCATTCCAGTCATGATATTGACGTGGTTAAAGAAAGATTTAGGGTCGGTGTGTGTGTGTGTTAGGATAGGGTCGGTCGGGTTACCGGAAACGGACATTTTTTTTTTTGCCTTATTGGGCAAAGCATGGCACAGTAATACAGGATACCCATTGGCCTACATAAAACACATACCAGTATCAATTATTACCATACTTGATTTGACCATGATAAAAGGGAGCTGTCCTATCACATCTATGCCAACTGTTGCCACTTTAGTCGGGTTACACACTTCTCAGTTTCGCTGTTATTGTTAACGTAAGCATGGTTTTGCCGCTATGAATTAAGAGTCAAAATGCAAATCTTCACAAATCTGCACATAAATTGGAGACTATGAATTCATAACTGTTAATTGTGTGATTTATGTTGACAGCTTTTCAACATGTTCAAGAGGGTCACCATACCTACTGACCTCTTTTTCCTATCAAATGATCCGAATAGTTTAAAAAAACAGTTGATATATTCAGTATAACTGCTGGAAATAACACCCCTATGAGTATTAAGAGGCATGACATGACCATGCATGTGTACATCTGTGATCATGGGGAGGAATAAACAAACCTTATTAAATATATGTGACAAAAGTACTCATACAGAAATCTAAAAATATTGTTTCACTTTCAACTTCCATGACTGGCCCTCACTTGCTATTAATGGTGGAAATGTGTTAAATCATGCAAAGTCTGTTGACTTGAAATAGATGTAGACCAGTTCAGTTCCAATGATCAGAGACATGGCAGAACGGTGGAACATTCAGTATCTGCCATAGAACAGAAATCAAAGGGTTCATACACGTCTTGTCACTAAATGAGAGACCGAAATGTTTCTTGCTGAGAGTTGGGCAGAATGTTCGGCCGTGTGACAGATGTGCACTTGATCAGTCGTGTTCATCAGATTGAAAACTTTCACTATCCCGCTCACTAAATCACATTGACTGCACAGATAACATCGTATTTTTCATTTACGTTATGCTGTAAAAGTTACCGTCGTAAAGTGCAACACTTACCATAAGGTTTGCTTTCTGACCAGGGGCGTCCGACACTTCGTAGTCACCGGTAACCAGAACATCTTTATGAATTTCCTCTCGAAGGCACTTCTTTTGATTAGGTGATAAATGGAATCTTATGGCATCTATTGTGACTAAACATAACGTAAATAAGACAACAAATATGTTACTGAGGTCCATGATGAAGCAAACTATTCCGTTTGGCTCTATAACAACCGTATAAGTGACTGTAATGCAAGCACCTGTTCGCGTTGCACGTTTGCTAACGTGGCATTCGGTTATTTCCGTGTTACTCCGGTAACTTCCGTTGTAGTGCCGCAGTATATCGAATACAGAAAACTGAGGAATTAATCCTTTGGTTTTGATTCCATTTAAAACGGTTACCGCATCAGGTAAGGAACTTGTTCTGATTAGATCTAACGTACATGTAAATGTTTCCATATTATAAAAGGCGGCTCGGGGTGAATACGAGTTCTTGAATGTGAAGGTCGTCGTCGGTTAATTTTACAGGTGCGTGCAGCATGCATGGTGGAGATTTCATTTGATATATAATTTCGACGGGAAGCAAAAACACTTTATCCATGCAATTCCTTTCGAAAGAATATATAGATAATTCGACAATGAGACAAGGCCCCTCAGATAATGTTCATTGTAATTATAATTCACTACATGGTAACATGCATTGGTACTGAGGTGCTCACAGTCACACGTCTGAAAACAGAACGAAAATATTGTTCCGTTTACTGATTTAAACAAGTTGTGTATCCCTTCTTTTTTCAGACACATGAAAGTAAATATGTTTCACTGACATCTGAAATGGGGAAAGGATCGAAGTAAGTTAAAGGTTTTTGAATGATGGCTCATCTTACTGCAAGTTCTATATTCTAAGACTGCCACAGGTATAATCTTGATGTCAGCAGTGGTACAGGTCGAGATACAAGGGTTTGCCATTTATGAAATTAAATGAAATTCTCCACAGATTTATATAAATATGTTGACAAGAAGTGACCATCCACATGCTGGTGTATTATATTCACCGACTGCAACTTCAGCATGTTTAGCCTGAAGCCCATGTAAGATCACATTGGTATGCCAGGACATGTTATGTCAAAGTGGGATTTTAGGGGTTTTTTTGCTTGTCAGTTTCTCATACCAGCAAATCCAGAGGTTTATGCATGGCCTATTTCTGTTATTGTGTAGTTGTAGAACAATTAAGATATGCACCACTCTAGTCTGTTCCTATGATGACAGTTTATTTGAGGCAAAAAGACCTAAGTCAGGCCTGTTCTGAGGCAGAACAACCTAAGCCTTTGGACTTTTTTGCATAAATCATGCAAATTCAACATACTGTAATTCTGCAAGATATTAATGTATCAAAGTGAAATTTCATCACAATATAGATCTCAACATGACAATTAGAGGGGGTATTATTATGTCCAAACAACCAAAGTCTGACTGTCACTTAGGTTGTTCTGCTTCTCAACTCTTCATTTTACATCAAAATCAACATTTTTATCAAAGTAAATTTTTTTTAAAAGAAACCAAATTATTCATCAAAGTCTACATAATTTTACAACAAAGTCAACATTAAAGTCAATAAGGGTGGTAATTGTCCTCTCTGTAATGGTAAAATAACTGGGTGGCTTTGGTCCTAGGTGGCATTTGTCCGGTGGCTTTTGTCCTGCTTACAGTGCTGCCAACTGAATGAGGCAGGACAAAGCTCTATTGAGACCTATTGTCCATCATAACAATATGACAAAATATGAGACTTAATTACATACTTGTTATTGACACAATTGGGTGTGCAAATGTTTCTTTTAAGGTGAATAGTTTTGTACAGCTTTGATCTTACAGTATGAACTTAATTGCAGGATAATTATGGTGCTTCTGGAGAGCATGGCTGGCACAGGCCACAAGGTTATACGTATGCGTCCAAAGTTGGCAGAGAAACTAGAACAAATTGGCTTTGACCCACATGGTAAGCATTAACTACATTATTGAGTTTTTGTCCAGTCTAAGTAATAAAGCAAAGAAAATGGCTTATGGATTTAGAAATAATTGTTACAGTAATTAGTTATACCACAAGTTTTCAGCGCTGCTGGAAAATTATAAGGTTAAGAGCATTAGTTATGTGAGTGGGTTTAATCATTTAAGTTTTTCATATGTCAAAACAATAACTAATCGGCTTGAATATGAGAGTGATTTTTCGCTTCATGGGCATGGTTCATTGCAGTACTTTGTGCCATATTATGATAATTGTATCCTGAAATAATTTAAGTATACACAATGATGAATTCATGTATGTAGAAAAAGAACTTGGAAAGATAATGTTTCTAATAACTTTCTTAGTATGTATGCAAGATATCAGTTTCAGTTGTTCACATGATTAAAGTAATGAGTCATTGAATGAATGTTGTTGTTTTTCTGGTTAAAGGAGTTGTATTTCTTTGCTTTTCAGTTCGAAAACGTGTTCTTTATAAGGAGAAGAAGAAAATACGTTCAATGTGAAATATTTGGTCAACTCATGCCAGCTGTCATCATAATCATGTGTGCATGTGTGGATTTGGGAGTGCTTCATCCTTGTTCATAGGATAATAGTTTTGTTGAATCAAACCGCAACAAGCAACTGACATTGAATGTTCAAAAAAAGAACAATGGAGCTTTGTTGTGAATGCAGTTAACTACCGTGTCATGTGTTGTTCTCAGAATAAATATTTATCAATTCGTGCTGAACTTGTTTCTTTACAGCACAATTTGCTGTCCAGAGTTATGTCCCTTCCTCATGCCCAATGCCTATGATTGTGGGTTCAAATCGTGCTTCCTCCGATTGTTCAAAGTACCATACCCATGATCATAGGTTTAAAAAATGGGGTAAACATCCAAAACCTTCTTTTCCGATTCCCCAGACATTTATGCAGTGTGTAAAGTGACATGTGCATATTTGAGACAATCTCATTTAAAACAGATGCAGTGCTTGCTACTGTCACACATAGTGGTAGTGAGCACTGAGATCTGACTGAATAAGATTTTGTAGGGGAAAAGTGATGCAGGTCTAAGAAGTGAAACTCTGTGATTAAACCTTTGAGAAAGAGTGTTATGCTAGAATACAAAGACAAAGGATCATTTCAGAAGAGACCTGTGCTCCCTGCTGCTACAATTACCCACTGATTTATGGTGAGCAGAATGACAATATGGAGATCAATATTTTTAGGTTCCAGAATTTGTTTCTAACAAGATTACATATTTAAATAGGTAGGGGTAGTAACGTTGTCATACTTAGTGTGGCATCTGTCCTGTAATATTTTATTTACAGACCTCTGCCATTCAGCTGGAATATTGATGACTGCAACTTTAAACAACAAACAAGTCCTATAATATCTTGTGTAAGATTCTGATTAATTCTAATATTTATTCACATGTTTTACATCAGTTTAACTTGTAAAGCAGTAACTGACCCGTGAAGATCCAGGTTAGAATTGATCTTCAGTAACCCATGCTTGTTGTAAGAGGGATCAGATGGGAAGACTCAAGGACTTGGTTGACCCATGTCATTGTACCCCAATTGCATAGATCGATACTCATGCTGTTGATCATTGGATTGTCTGGTTCAGACTCGATTATTTACAGACCACCGCCATATAGCTGGAAAATTGCTGAATGCGGTCATAAAAATAAATTCACAAAGTAACTATTATTTCATTAGGATATGGTAGCTATGTTGTATGTCCTCGCTGATTGTTGTCATGTCCTGACCAGAATAGTGATGGATGGATGGATGGATGGTTTTGGTTGATTGATTTTGAATGATCATTTTGATCTTGAAAAGGGTTATTTTTGCAGACGAGTGAGTTTAGTTTTAGCTGCACTCAGCAATATTGAGTGAGTTTAGTTTTACAGCATGAGCATCGATCTGTGCAATTGGGAACCGATGACGTGTGACAACCAAGCCAGCGAGCCTGACCCAGAGCTCCAGATAAGATTTAGCTCATGTGGGTACAGTACCCACTGTATTTTTTGGGAGTGGGTATTATGAATGTTGAGTGGGTATTTCATTTTCTGTTACCCACTGCTTTCAAACATGTGCATATTTCAGTCATTTTACTTACCTAAGTATATGTCATTGAGTAAGTTTACTAAGCAGGTATGTTCTCTTATGTCATACCTAATCAAAACCAAGTTAAATATAATGGAAATGATTTCATAAAAAATCACTCATCCTATACTGACAGTACAACACTTGTCCTATACTAACAGTACAACTTGATAAGCGATTTTTATAAATATATTGTGTATATAACATTTTTAAATGCATAATTGGTACACAACAATTATTTTTTCAATGTGTAATTGGAAATTGTCTATGCGTATTTTACCCGGATACGCAGCTTATCTGGGCCTCTGCTGACCACCCGATCCCGTTAGTCGCCTCTTACGACAAGCATGGGTTACTGAAGGCTCATTCTAACCCAGACCTTCATGGGTATTTTTGCATATGAATAGCTGGCATTAAAGGACAATTCCCTCTTAATGTAACAGCCTCCTGATAGCTTATGGCTCCCAATAATAATCCACAGATTTCATTATATCATAATCACCAAATTTGGCATACATGACCTCTTCTGTTCAGTTGTTTTGCCTTTCAATGCTCCTGTAAGACTCTATGTACACAAACAAACCCAGTCACTTGACCTTGTAGCTCACCTGCATCCAATTCACATTCACAACAGGTTTGGGTTTTGGGAGACACAATGACCAAGGCCACACTAAAGCTGAGAGGTGAATCCATTATTAGCTCTGCTTACAATACATTTACAGTAAGATTATCTGTCATTAACCCCATTCACTTATGATCATTGTGGGGTACAGCTGCTATATTATGTACAAATAGAATCATGATCTCAGACAAGAATCTGAAGACAAGGTAATTAAGAAAAGTCATGAATGTTATTTCCAATTTAGTCGTAACTGATGAACTCATGTTCATGAAATTGTCATAATGTTTCAACACATATTGTATGACTATGATTTCTGGTTTCCCAGCTATGATATTGTTGGAATACTGCTAAAAGTGGTTTCAAACTCATTCACTGCTTCACACACACACACCAAAAAAGAATGTTTACTTCTGTAGTAAAACGAACATCTGAACATGCCGAAAGGTTTGCACATTGCCACACTAGGAGTGCCACACGTCGTCAGTATCGCATCATTCCTAATTTGGACACTTTCAAGGGAGGTCGATTTATCTTTTATTATTATTTTTGTCAGTCCTAAAGATTCTGCTTATCACACAATTGTGATACATTTCACTTTGTTCATTGTTCGTGTGTGAACTAGGGGAGTAGCACCTGTAACATGCAGTGCATCTACAGACTGTTGGCATGCTGCAAACTGTCTTTAGGTTACTGGAGTTATAGATCAGATGTGAAATCTTCTACATGTACATGTTGCTCATCCCCATGCTTGAAGGCCATATGTTGTCTCAACTTACAAACTGTCAAATCACCGATTTCAGTTAATGTAATTGTGGCTTGTCACTGAACATGACAGGTTCGTGGAGGACATGACAGGGAGATGTGTGTGTAAAGGCTGCCGACCATGTCAAATAGCCTGGCCATGCACCGAGGAATAGGACAGACAGCCTCAAAATGCCATTGGGAGACTTAAGACACTATGCCTTCTTGGGTATATGAATGTTTGACATATAATGACAATTTTGGGCTCTCCAATTACAGGGAGATGATAAGTGATGTCATTTGATTGTGATGTCATAGTGCCAGGTGAGCATCTGCCAGCACAAGTCCTAAAAGTAGGGCAATTGAGGATAAGGCATGCACATTAAAGTTTTAAAACAAAATACTAAAAACACATTTTTGGTATCAACTTTATAATTTAATGTAACATAAGACATAATTTACAGTTTGTACAGATCTTGATAATGGTGTGTTCATCAGTGCACTATATGCTCCAGTATGCCTTGTCTGATGAGGTGCTCGCACTCTGACCGGAGCAGGAAGTGCTGAAACAGAAAAGGATACATATACCTTTTCTGTAGAACCTGTTTCATATCAACTCCAGTAATGTATTTTATAGCCCCCAGCACTATGACTATCATATGTGTGGTGGAGTAACCTAGTGGTTTAAGTGTTTGCTCGTCAAGCTGAAGACTTGGGTTCGATTCCCCACATGGGTACAATGTGTGAAGCCCATTTCTGGTGTGCCCTGCTGTAATATTGCTGGATGGAATATTGCTTAAGTGGTGTAAAACTAAACTCACTTACTATGACTATGATACTCCCATAGTTTAATATAGATAGCTTTATGCCAGTAGGATCCAGTCCCTGGCAACTGAATACATGTGCATGCATTTTCGCCACAGATCTGAGTATCTATTCTGGTGTTGCATGTGGATACATGTTGATTTAAGTCCACTCCCCTCTCTAGTTTCTCTAATCGAAGCTGAGTCAATACAAATCATAGAAGATTAATCCAGGTAGGACCTAAATATACATTAAAACTAATTAATCTCCTCAATAGTTTCAATAGTTGTGGAAAGTGTGAAATATTGGTATGTGAAAATGTATGTTAATGAGTAGAGTTTTAGGCAGCTTTTAGCAATATGTGAAGAATATGTTGGGGGATGCTAAAAATGGCTCCACACATTGTACATTGTATGATTGTGAGGATAACCAGGGTTGTCAAGAGTGACAAGCAAAGTTTGTATCACTAGGGTACGCCAATAGTCCGCAAGATACGGCTACATAACTGTATACAAACACTTGTAGTCATTATACTTGTGATATTTCCTGATAAGCATATGCAAGCTATGGCTTTTTAATGAATGCAATCAATGTTTCACACGAAATCACATAGTATCTATAAGTACCTGACTATTCTTCTTGAGGACAATGACAATCCCATCCTGAGTTTCAAACTCGCCATGATCGACCTGACACCTCACTTCAACATACAATGTTTTGGGAGGTTTCAGATCCTGTGTAAGGTCAAGGCCACCCGCATCACCAATGGATCGCATGTAGCTGGCCAACATCTTGTTATACCGACTGAACCATTGTATCTGTGAACAATAAAAGATGTGACTTTTTTTCCATTTAATTTGAAGAGATCAATAAATCAAGGAATTGTAATCACCAGGTAACTAAATGACTTGATCGATTGCATGTCTTTGTGTCTGATGACAGGGATCCTAGCTTACAATATAGATCAATGGATTGTCTGCTCCTGTTTGAGGTACACATTTACAAGCAAGTGCATTAAAAAAATAAAGAAAAGCTACAGTGAAACTTTAGAAAAATGTTTAGGGTTATCTCAAGGTTAGGGTCAGTCAGGAAAGTGGAAACAAAAATGGTCAGAGGTAGTGGTGGTCCGATTAATTGAAATAATTGAAGATTGGTCGCAGTGACTAAACAACCAATCAATCGATCATGTTTTCTCATAATCGAACCCAAACAATTCTGGAACACTTGTTTGCATTAACAATATTTTCACAAGGTTGGTTTTGTCTGTTACATTTCATAAGCATTACAAGCTCGTTCCATGTCATGATTGAATTTATCTTAAAGACTCCAAGAAATTTATGTTCCTAACATATAAGTCATTCTTTAAAGTGGTCAAATTTTTTGCACTAACAAATTTCATAAATGACACTAACCAATTATTTTTGATGATTGATCGGTTGTAATGAACCAATAATCAATTATGATATTTTAACCAATTCCCAACACTAGTCAGAGGTCAGGGGTTCAAGTGTGTTTGATACTAGTTTACGCCATATTGGTGCAACATCACCTCAACGACATCAACAACCAAAGTTTGGCAGCAATAAGCAGATACAGTGAGACCCTGTTAGAATCAGTGGCTTGGTTAGTCATCTGACAACAAGCACAATGTATCATAATATCACACAGTCAGCAAAATTTTAATATAGATAATCATTACTGATGCTTCCCATTGACAGTATCTCTGATTATCGATCTTTTCAACCGACCATAGCAAGTGCAACAATCTTGAAAGTGATGTTAAACCCCAATTCACCACACCTTCACTATGGTCACTCATCAAAGAACATTTAATATTCAGCTGCCATTGTGTCCACCTGATTCCCCAAGTAACAAGCATGGGAGCATGTCCTTGGTTGTTATGTTGGCTGATAGGACAAAAGACTCGCAGATATCTGTTACAGATATTTTTCATAGATGTGAACATAATCTGATAATGGCCAACTATATCCAAAGGTATATAAATCACTAGTGTGGAATTATTTCGCATGCTCACAAATCTATAAAAGAATTCATGTTCATGCTTCCAGCAACCATACCTCTTGTTCACACAGGTTGTATTTGATATCAGTTGGAAGAACACTGCCGAATTCCCATCTCATCTTGCGAATCTGTACCAGGCGATTGTATCTGAAAATATGTACAAACCAAATGCTAACATGTCTTGTACTATGGGTCAAGGGAACAAGACACTTGTAATAAGTATACAAAAGCACTTAGTTTCGAATCTTAAGAAAGTAATCCAGTTCACATAGACTAATGCGTCCGAAACACACATTAATGCATCCAATATGTATACAAATGATTTCATCCTATGTACACAAATAAATGAACCCTAACCCACAAACTATTGCAGAGTGCAGCATAAAGCAATCTGCACAGCTGCAATTGATTTGATTGAAACATAATAGATTTACTCAGGCTTCTCACTTATGAGTTAATAATAAAAAGTTGTTTCTGTATGTACAGTGATAAAATTAATCATTGTAATTGAAAATATGAACTAGATTGATCCATTAAAAGCTTGAGGTAGAAATTTCTCCCTTCTCAATGTCAAATATAATCATGATGGAGATTCTTAAAAAATGTGAAGATTTCTGTGCCAGTGATTTGTTAATTGAGTATCAATATGTACAACTTTATCACTTATCGATACAAAAGAATGTAATTTTTACGATAAAATTATTATTTTTATACTTATCCTGACCCATGATTATTGCTTATCTACCTTCTTCGACCCTCGAGTGGAAACCTTGAATCCTATTCAAATTCACTGAAATGCTCGTACAATCACTCACCCAGAGTTACCTCCCTTGTTCCTGCCAAAACCGGTCCCACGTGACCTAAGCCTGTCTCATATCACTCTCTCTGGAAAATATGCCCGTATTGCGGCTTACAGTGAAGACCGTTATGCTGAGAGTGGGGACGGTCGGGAGGGCTTACCTCATGAGTCAGGATAAGTATAAAAATAATAATTTTATCATAAAAATTACAAATTTTCCTTATCCTGACTCATGATTATTGCTTATTAAATCCGACGGAATAGGTGGTGGGTCAGCCACCTACGGGATTCACTGTGGCTGTCTATATACAGTCTGATTGTTTACCCCCTGATAACTCCTGTTGCCGCATTCAGTTGTCAATTTATCATACAGGGGGACCACCTACTCTTAAGTGATTAAGAGAAGTAATCTTATAGATTTTGTGGTTTTAGACAATCTAGTATTCCAGATATCTTGGAACGAACCATATGTTAAGGTAAGGACTATTACCGAAACTGGAATCGCAAAACCGTACGTTAAGTAAGGACTATTACTTAACAAGGTTTATATCACTCATGTTTTGACTTATAAAATAAGACAATTGACATGGACTTTCTGGTGGTGGCAATTGAACAATTGCCTAGCGTCTACAAGTCAGCATGATTAGGGTGAGTTCTCAATGTCTGGTTGGATTTGTGAGCTGTTGAGCCACTACTAGTGGTCCGAACTGGTGAATGCCTGATATATCCTCTGTAGCAATATCTCGTAGATAGTGATTCACAAACACCATGTCAGATCTCCAAAAACAGCCTTCCATGATAGATGATAACGAGCTATTTCCATGTAATGCGAGCATCAATGCTAATGCTCTTATTTCATGTGGATTACATGCTGTAGGTTGGGGTAATCCTGCTGTTTTGTAGGCTCTTAATATGACTGCTCTGATCCAAAAGGATATTGTGGTTCGTGAAACCTCAATTGACGTGGTTGTTGATAAAGGAATGAAGAGACGTTTAAACTTCCTCCTTCTCGTAGCAGTCCGTTGTAAATAAATTCTTAATGCTCTTACTGGACATAAAGATAAATCCTCTGTGTCCTGATGTCCAAGGATTGATGATAGAGCTGGTATATGGAATTGACAATCTGGTTGACCAGGGAGTTGATTTTTTGCTATTAAAAATCCCATCTCAATCCTAAATGGACTGCTGCATGCTCTCCTGTGTCGGATCTGGTTCGTGCAAAATCTAGAGCATGTATTTCTGACATTCTAGCTGCTGTAGATAGAGCAAGTAGAAATATCGTTTTCTGAGTGAGTAGTTCAAAAGTTGTGTCTCATAATGGTTCATAATCCTCACTTGTGAGATGTCGTAAAACTATATTGAGGTCCCAAGTTGGAGCTCTAAACTTCTGTAGCTGATCCTCTAGTTTAAACGATCTCAATAATGCCACTAGTTCAGGAACTTTGATGAGTTTAACTCCCGAGTTCATGGTGATCACCGAGCTGATTGCCGCTAAGTACGTTGAAAGTGTTGATCCTTTCAAATGTTTGGTTGACCTCAAATGACAGAGATATTCTGCTACCTGAGGATGTGTTGCTTCCGCAGCCACAAATCCCTTTTGTGTAGCAAATTGATCAAAACTTCTCCATTTATCATCATAAAGATTACGAGTTGAACGTCTTAAGGCCAGTGTAACTGCCTTAGCAGCTCTCGTAGAATAACCTCTTTTCTTCAAGCAGTGCGTGAAACTTTCCATACGTGTAGCCTGAGGTTTGTTGGATTGCCGTGAAGTTGTTTTGTGTGAGGATGAATCAGTAGATTTGGCCAATCCGGAAGTTTTAGTATTGGTTTTGCTAATAACCCTATTAGGTCTGGAAACCATGTTCTCGCCGGCCAGTAAGGCACGACCAAAATCAGTTGTAGGGTTTTGGTCTGAGCAATCTTGTGTAGAACCCGTGGTATTGGTATAGGTGGCCGGAATTCGTACGCATGTAGGCCTTCTCATGGTATGGCGAGGGCATCTGTCGCCCATGCTAGTGGGTCTGGTACTGGTGAGACAAACGTTGCAATCTGATGATTGAATCGTGTTGCAAATAAGTCCTTGTTCTCTCGTTATTAGTAGAAACGCTTCCGGATGTAGTTTCTATTCCGTAGGAGATGGTTTCACCGGTCTGGCTAAAGCGTCTGCTAGGACGTTTTTCGCTCCCGGGATGTGACAAGCTCTTATCCACAGATTGAGGTTGTCTACTACAATAGTTGAAATGTTAGTCTTAGTAGCGTTGACTTTGTTGATCCTTGTAGGTTTATATAAAACGCTACTGTTAAGTTGTCTGTGTGAATCATGAGAACTTGATTCTTGAGTATGTGCGCCCAATGTTGAATCGCCTTTATGACTGCCTTGAATTCTAGTTGATTTATGTGTAATTCCTTTTCGTTTGGTGACCAAACTCCTGAGGCGACTTTTTGTCGTTGAAATGCGCTCCCCATCCTTGTAGGGATGCATCTACGTAAAGATGTAGTTTGTATGCCGGCTCTTGCAAATAAGTCCCGTTGCAAACGTTCGACTTGTTTGTCCACCACATTAGGTATTCCTTCAATTGTTGAGGAATGCTTATGGCTTGTAGACTGTCTAGATGTGGTGTCAAGAACCGTTGAGCTGGACGTAGCTGTAACCTTCCTCTGCGAGTTAGGGATTGAGCTGACGTTAGGAGGCCCAACAGTTTCTGCCAGTCTCTTATCAGTAGAGGTTCGTTCAAGGCGGTGTGTAGACATTTCTGTATGTCCAAGGCGGTGTGTAGACATTTCTGTATGTCCTCCCATCGTTCCTGTGGAACTACAATGCGATTTTCCTTGGTAAGAAACTTGATTCCCATGAATTGTAATTCCTGTGACAGACATAGTTCCGATTTCATCCTGTTAACTAACCATCCTAGTTGAGTTGGTAATTGAATTGTCAAATCTAGCTGATGTTTGAGTTGATTTGCTGACTGATGTGCCTGAATGCCGTCGTCTAGGTAGAAGGCATTGCGAACCTCTCTCTGATGTAGAAACGCTACAATTGGCTTTGTGACACATATAAATAGCCACGGGGCCGAGGAAATTCCAAAGGGGAGTACTTTCCATTGATAGTGTTTTCCTTGATATAGGAATCGAAGATATTTCTTTGATTCTGGGTGTATCGGGATGTGTAGATACACATCCTGTAAGTCTATGCTGGCTAGATAATCGTTGGGTCTTATTAGATGTCTCAGTTGAGGTAGATGAACCATCTTGAACTTCTGTGGTTTTAGTAGAAAGTCTAGGTTGAATCATTTCATATTGTATATGAGACGGAACTTTTCTGTGGAGTTCTTTTTGGGTATTAGAAATATTGGGGAATAAAATCTTGGTGTGAGGTTGCGTCCAGAGCGTCCTCTTGAGTTGTCATATGGTCGACGAAAATTAATTGCTTTGCCACCTCTCGCTCCAGTTGTTCTCTTATCCTTGGCTTTTTGTATGCCTGGGAATTTGGAACGAAATTGTCCTCTTTGTGATGATTGTCAATACATGTTATTCATCGTCTGCATAGATCTGATAAGCATCTGATCTCTGTTGTCTTGGCATACTTCTCATGATGTTGATCTATGACTTCCATCAAACGACGTGGATGCAGCCCATGGTTGTCGTAGAAGCGCCTTAATATGAAAATCTGACCCGTTGCAAGATGCAAGGAGACCTTGACGACAAAGTAAGGTTAGTCCTGCTGATGTTGATGCTAAATGATCCGACATGAATTCCTGATCCTTCTGTTGTGTGACTAATGCTGATAATATCATCCTTTCTGTTTCTGTTTTCGGATTCTGGAAGTTGTTGATTAGAGCTTCATTTATAGCTCTAGATCTAGCTAACCCGCAAAAAGTACGTCTTGTCGTCACATCTAAGTTGGCCAACTTCCTGTCTTCTACTTCATAAGTAAGTGGTTTAGATTCATTGATGAGATAATAATCATCATCAATCTCTGGTGCTCTGAAGAATGGTTCCATACTATGCAGTGGGAATTTCCTCGCATTAAATGCTGGTGTGTGTTGACCTTGATGTCTTGTAGCATTCGCAAATGATAACTTGAGGTTCAATGAAACCTGGGATACAGGTTTAATAGGTGGTATAGTCAAAGTTTCAAGATCATCATCTATAATGCAATAAAGTCTCTCCTGAATTCTCGTTGTGCGTTGGTGAAGTGATTGGTAACCCATCTGTTATCCAAGATAATACTTCCGCGTCTGGATAGATTGTAGATTCCTCAGTTTCTTGAAAACACGTTTCTGAAGTGTGTGTCTCTTCCTGAACGTTATCATTCATTGATGTATCATGTGTAGTTGTCTGTTGATTATATGATGATGATCGTTGTTGCAGAGACAAAACTACTTGGCATGTAATACTGGCTACAAAATCTTGATCGACTGATAGATTTGTTGAGTGTGACAAGTTCACGAAAGGTTGATTTGTATCTCTCTGTTGTTGAGGGTTCGCGAACCCTCCGTTCTGATGAGGGTTCACGAACCCTCTGTCCGATGAAAAATCTCTTTCTGTCTGAAGTGCAACAGTTGCTTGGTTTGACGAGCCTTCTGCTGACTTCATAGAGGTTGAATGGTCAGTAGATGTTGTCGTAGTGTGAGACGCTTGTGACGATCTATGTTGTTTGTCTGTCGAAGGGTTCGTGAACCCTGATGAGGTGGTGGATGATCTACGCTGGGACGAATGTTTCTTTCTCGACGATGACGATTTTGATGAGTGTTGTTGCGAACCTGAGTTAGCTAACTCTCTAGGAGTACTAGTAGATATAGTCTGAGATGAAGTCAAGATGATCTGCGGTTCTAAAACCGGTGGTAATCTATCAAGTCAAGATATTGCATTCGCAAATATCGTAGTTGTATCAGATGATCTAGTAGACATAGATGATGTAGATTTTGTAGATGTAGATTTTGCAGACAATCTAGACGATCGTTTCTTCCTCGTTAAACGTTGTAGTTCAGTCTCCTCTATCTGAGGTGACTTTCTCTTGGAGGTAGACTGCGTAGCTGTTTCTGAAAGTGTGATAGACATGGGAGAAATGCTAGGAATTTCCTCCATATTGTGTTGTGACATATTACTAGTTGTTATATGAGAGCAACCCCTTACCGCTGACTTGTTGACATGATGCTGTTTATTTATTGACTTGCGTAAGCAGGCTGATAAATATTTATTAAACAATTGTGGTGATAAATTATTACAATATTGACATTGTGATACAAAGGAACATGTATGAAGGCAACAAGAGGAGCAAACAGGATGTGGATCAAACGCAGATAGTCTCAATCTGCATTGTTGACATGCCACCATTGAGCAAACCCTAGCTGCAACGGAGTGAAAACAACGTAATTTTAGTAGAAATTTACATGATATTATACATCTAGAAGCATCCAATATTACTCTAAATACAATCTGCGGCCACAATTTGTAATATAAGGCCAAAAAATGAAGGATATTTGCCGCAAATAGGACCCGTAAGGTCCACCCAACCGTCGACTAGGGCGATGAAGGAGAGAGTGATATGAGACAGGCTTAGGTCACGTGAGACCGGTTTTGGTGGGAACAAGGGAGGTAACTCTGGACGAGTGATTGTACGAGCGTTTCAGTGAATTTGAATAGGATTCAAGGTTTCCACTCAACCGTCGAAGGAGAAAGGAGATAAGCAATAATCATGAGTCAGGATAAGGAAAAATTATACATATATATACACAAGTATATTGATGTTGCAACGTGTGATGACATTTCAAGTTTTGAGCAAATTGAGTGACTTGTTAGAAATGACGTCAGCTGAGCTCTATCTCCCATGTCATGGGCTAGTACAACTACTATATGTAGGACTATCCTTAACTGTACCAGAAGTTGATGTGAAAAACTTACAGATATGCTAACAAACATCGTTTGTTCCTTTCAAGTGCTGAATGTCGCAGTTGAACGCCTGAAAATAGTCCACTTTCTCCAGCAACTGTGGCACTCCTGAAACATTGCATAACATTGCATATCATTAAATTACATTTGTGACGTCATTCCATTGTCTGCTCGCTCCATTACTTTTCAGGAATGGAGCGATGTGTACCAGTTTCAAATTAAAGCCTTCATTTTGTCATTTAATTTTGATAACAGAAATATTCCCAATACTTTGAATGTAATTTAAGTAGGGTAATATCCTCGTAACTCTCCATTCCTTAAAATTAATGTGCCTTGGACCCTCCGGGGCCACGGCTCCATTATTGTTAAGGAATGGAGAGTTACTCGGCAATTACCCTCTACGTAGTTAACAGTGTGATAAACTTTGCAGCAGCATCAGTGATACACACTGGTAGTGTTTGGCACCACAAACATGTTACTATGGTTTCTAGAAAACAGTTAACAGCTACAGTTTTCCAGAGGTTAACCAATTCTCCAAATGATGTCCAGTAAAAGTTCCAAAATAGGAACTTCAAATATCCAACTCCATGCCAATTTAGTTATAACTACAGTTAGGATTTTTTGTAAGGTGACTTGGATGACGTTCTACATCATGGATAACAGGACCAAAGAGGAATAGTTCTTCAAGCTTTGTTTTACTTTTTTGGCTTGCATGCAGTGCTGAAATACATCTGAATTTAAGGACACTATTAAAACTTAAACCATTTTGTGTGAATTCATAGTATATGCATTTTGTATATATAATTGGGGTGAAGTTTGTATTCATGTGGGTTGTATTCATGTGGTAATAATTGCAGCAATATCAGTCCATCTTCTGGTTAGTTCTTATCATGTAGTGAAAACTAATTAATTATAGCAGTATAGTCAGCAACAGAGTAACTTAAGTGGCACAAGTGCGTGATAGGATTAACTCCACTGGTCTAGTCCATTATCAAAACAGGTGCATGTGTTAAGATACTTTCCATGAACTGCCTGTTAACTGTGGTGTCTGAGAAATCGACAAGGGATGCTATCACAAATAATTAGTGATCATTTGATACAAAATGTATGGAATGGAACTTTATGGGAATTATTTGTAGCTGACCCATACCCTGTCTTGCAACATTTACCAGAAAGGTGGCAAATGGGTGCCTAACCCTGAGAGGGGTGCTTGATCGGAAAGGGGATCCATGGGATAAAGATTGTTAGGTGTTACCCACCCAAACCCTAACACAACAAACACTAAAGATTAAAGAGGCACACAGGCGTCGGCAGTCTGAGTCAATCAGCGCCAGATTGATTAAGCTCGATAGACGTGTTATATCTAATATGATCAACTTACACATCTCTCTGATTGTGTTCAAACAAGGCTTTCATCTCCTCCAACACCTGACGCACTCCATCCTCCTGTTAAAAAACAAAATCTCCAGTTCTTACTTATATATGATATTTCAAGGAGTATCTACTATTGATCATAAGCGCTTTTTGTTTAACTGTTTATGTGAACTCGTGTAATGAAATCAGTGTTGATCAGCTGGAATATTGAGAAAGTGATAGTCAGATACGTGTTCAAATTCTTCACTATGTCAAGGACAACGCCTTAGTGTTGAACACATTTACCAAGTAAATTTTGCTCACGTTGTACGGAGGTAAAGTACCGTCGACTGCTCGTTTCAATTCACGAATTAATTCCAATACTTTATCCGCGAGCATGTTGACATTTCAAGTTTCGCACATACTCCCGCCAAGTTATATAGAAGGCGACTTTTGATTGGAGGAAAAACCTGTAACCTAGCCAATTACTATCTGCGTCATTGAGCCCATGTCAATCTATTAATAGTGAGCAAGTGTTTTCGTTCGAAGTGTTGTTGACATCAGTCACGATGTTTCGGGTTAGCAAATCGATGCCAAAGTCAAATGATTCCCTGAAAGACAAAATGGAAACTGCGAAGCTAGCGGGATACAATATTTTACCGAGCAGGTAAGATTTACACATTTAGTATCCAGTGTTGTTACAGTTTATCAGTGATAACAGTGAACCCGGAGCATTGGACTTTGGACCTTTGTTCATCGTTCATCGTCCTCTTGCACATGTTATCAATACAGATACATGAAGAATACACAGACCCGAGCTCCCGGACGACTAGTCATCGCCTTGTAACATGGAGGAAGAAAGTCTAGCTTATCATATATTCTGGTAATGGGATTTAGAACGCTGGAAACTTCTACCTGATTTTACACCTTAGGCTTATACACCAGGAAAAGACTGTAGACATCCAGTAATATCCTGGAAGAAAAAGAGCAAGCGGATAAAAGATTATCGACATAGTTTTCTGGTTGTCACCATGGTGCACTGCACTGATGGTCGACATGATCGTGTTTACTATTGTTTAGATATTATTTACGTACAAAATTTGGTAAATTATCAAATGATTTATTGTGTCAAACTGTTTCCTGCCACAGTTGTCCCAGATTAGTTATGTCATGGTAGACAAGGTTTGGTGTTGTCAGCTTTAATGATACATATATATGCATACATTTCTGTCATTTGTACACGTTTAGCCATAGGTTTCAGCCTCAGATTTTAGTCAAAATCCCTGTTTGATGCTGATACAAATCAGTACAAACATAAACCTCATTACTTAAGTAAATCTTTGTGATCAGGTTATAAATATGCTGTTTGAGTTTACAATCAAGAAGCAACCTTGAAAATGTTGATAGATGGATGACCATGTTTATAGCCCTGAGGGGTTCAACAATGAAAAAAACCCCTGTGTGGTCAAGTCTTGACTATTTGACCCGCTCCTTTCCTGTTTATGTATGATATTAATAATGCTGTTATATATCCAAACATTTGTGCTGGTCATTGTTGGAGTGCATTTTCAACCCATTTAAGAATCTGAATGATTTGATTACATTCATTTCTCATATACTTGAAGTGACAAAAAATGTGTTCAATTCATGTCAGTATTCAGTTGTAGGACAATACTTTACTCATAAACAGAGTTGATATATCAAATATGTCCTGCAAACTATGACTGTTCATGACAAAATGGCAGCAGGTGTGAATGTCATATAATGTTTAAAAGTGCAACAACAGTACCTAACTCCATGAATTATCGTATTGTTACAAACGAGAAATGTTGATTTGATGTTCTCAAAAAGCACAGCAAAACATCATACTACGGAAGAAGGCTGACAGGGTAACTCTCAGTCAGGTTACCATAGATTTTGTTTGTGTTTCATTTTGAACTAATATATGGGAAAATATTGAGAGTAGTAAGAGACAGACTTTCATCGTGGGCCGCTGAAAGTACTTATAATGTGTGGCTTAGTTCTAATAATTTTTATGAACCAACGTTTGTTTTGTTTTCAAATGCATTCTATATTCAGAATTAGGCATATTTGTTAAGGCAGATGCTATCGTGGATACATTTACAACATAGGCCATCTCAAGATTCTAAAATCACGGAACAATAACACGTTCATATGGATACAGGATACAGCAGCAAAAATCTGGGTACAATTCGATCATGGTTTGTACCTGTGGTGTGCATCTAATGGTAAACCGATCTCATTACCCTGCAGTATCAAGTATTATATACTGAATTGTTTCATGATTCCATTGAAGACAGTTTCTATTTATTTCCTAAGATTTCTAATTGACTCTAAATATAAAAAATGTAAAGCTAAAATTCCTTTAAATTCACGCATTAATTTTCTACACATTCATGACATTTGACTGTATTCAACAAGTGATCAAGTATATTTAATATAAGCATTCCAGGTAATCACCAAGGTTTGTCAAGTTTATTGTTAAACATACCAAACATTTACAGCATATACAGTACCCAGAGTAAGGCTGTTAAATAATCGTATTGGCACAGAGGGATATGTGCTCAGGTGGACATAATACACACTTCCACTTAACTGAACATCAAGGTCAGCAACCTCAAGTCTTTTGCACAGAGTATTATGTAATAGCTTTATGTCATATGTTGTAAGTACAGAAAATGAAATGCAGCAGTAATTGGTAGTGGTTTGCTATTTCCTATAATAATAGTTGTCTATATTAATTCAAGCATTATATTAGCTTGTAGTCATTGTACAGGCTACATTTCATCATTTTGTATGTAAAATTAGAGAGATAAAACTGAGAAAGAAACACGCACCTGTCAGTGATTAAAGATCAATTAACTTTATCTCCCTTAGGCTAATGACGACATTTTGTTCATCACTGGAGGAGGTGAGGTGCTAATTAAGGAAATGTTATGCAGCATTATGTGGACATGCATGCTGTGAGGTTGTTACCTGGATCAGTGTGACATGAGATGAGCAGGGAAGGTGTGTGTAGTGTTCCAGCATTAAAACATTCTGAACCAACAAACATGCATATTTAATTGTCATCAAACAGAATTTCTGTTTTATTTATGTTCTATCCAAATAACTTTACAGTGTTGAGATTTCTATATTCTATCAGTGTATATGTTGTGCATAATTAAAGGTACTATCCAATCAGCAGATTACATAAGTCAATTTAACAGTTCCCAAGAACTGCAATCCTACTTGCGTAATTCACGGACTAGGCAAGCTTCATTGCATAAGACCACCAAATGAGCAGTGATTTCCTTAATCAACAATAATGTATAAATGTTAAAGCTCAGACTGGGTGTCTGCATGATAATGAACTCCAAGTGTAACATCTCAAATATCAAACGTGTAACAGAGTTTTACACAGACTTTGAAAAATGGGAGTCATGGTGACTCACAATATCTATTTTTGGGAGTCATTTTCAATTATTTGGGAGTCATGAAAATTTAATATTTCTTTGTGTTTATAAATCAAAAAGCAAGAGTTTGGCAAATATTTTAATGTTTTATGTTGTATTGTCATTTATATAACTAGTTAGTAATATAAGTTGTATGCTTCTCTCGAGAGTAATATGGTCTGATGTACGTCTTTTTGTAGCAGTGTCACCCGAGCCAGTAGCAAGAATTACTGTCTCCTCTGAGTTCTTTGGAACAATCTTACAGCTCTGTCAAAGTCAAACTATCATTGAAAACTATCATTGTTTGCTTATCAAACTGATTTTATTGAATTGAATTCTGAGGGTCACCCGTAAAACTTGCGTCAAGTTGACTCGTATGATAGTATTTTGAGAGTCTTTTAGTTTTACAAAATTGTTGTGTCAAATACGCAGGAATCATGCGCCATGTAAAACCCTGCTGTATTGACATATTTCGATACAGATACAGAAATATGCATGGGCTTGGTGTACTGAAAATACAAATTTTCCCTTTCATCACATCCAGCCTCTGATTTTGTTGCTTATCAGATTCTCAGACTGTACTTTATTCTCCAATTTCGGTGGAAACACTGTCTTTATCAAAGAGGTTGGCATATCACAAGTCCAGTTTGTGTTTCAGGGAGTCGGCGAAGACAGCAGTGTTGGTAGCAAAGACAGTGTGTCTGACCGTGTTCATCATCTACGTTGCAGTGCCCATCTTTGTCAGAGCCAACTCTTGGATTTTGCCAAAGGTTGTTTTCTCTAATCTCGGTGAGTAAACAATATCCCAGTCTTTGACTGATTTAGTGACACCAGCTGTCTGCCATTGTTTGCCCTGCAACAGGTTGTTAAAGGTTTACTGTATTCATCAGGATTGTAGTAAACATGGTTGGGCCACACATTTTAGCTTACTTGACTAAAACACAATTTTCTAAAAAATTCTAAAAAATGCTCCTAAAATATTAATTCAGTTTTAAACATGGCTGCCATTTTTCTCCATTGTTCAGGTCAGCTGAAGAGCTATGTAGCTCTAATGGTTTTGTATGGTTTATGAACTATTAGTTGAAATTTGCTTAGGTCTAAAGAGTTTGCAATCTTGTCTACATCACATTTGATTTAATATTGTATCTTTTTATTTGATGTTTGCAATGTATCTGTTGATTTTCCTCATTTGTGAAAGACATAGGTGTCAGAGATGTCATGGCTCTGAATAGATTCCAAACCCCTACTCCATCCCCCAAAGTGTTGCTTAAGCTTTGGAAGTTTTGATAAACTGGGGTGATGTAAACACATTTAACACAATTTTATTCATGAATGAAATTGAGACATTTCTTGGATGTCTTCTTTATTGATTTATGTCAGCATACAAGTAATGTTGTGTTTGAACTAGTGGTGGTCCGATTAATTGAAATAATCAAAGATTGGTCGCAATGACTGAACAACCAAGCAATCAATCATGTTTTCTAATAATCGAACACAAATAATTTTGGAACACTTTTTTGCTTTAACAATATTTTTCACAAGGTTGGTTTTGTCTGTTACATTTCATAAGCACTACCAGCTCGTTCCAAGTTAGGATTGAATTTATCTCAAAGACTCCAGGAATTTATGTTCCTAACATACTATTCATCCTTTAAAGATGTAAAATTTGGAAAAACTCAAAAGAACTACATGTTTTTTCTTTATTATTTTTGCATTAACAAACACAACCAGGAAAACTTGATAAATAACGCCAACCAATTATTTTCGATGATAGATCGGTTGTAATGAACCAATCATCATTTATGAGATTTTAACCAATTCCCAACACTAGTTTGAACAAGTTTCAGCAAATTAGCAAAGCCTTTCCAGCTGCCTTATTCTCATGTTTGTTTAGCATGTTGAGAAGTATGACACTGACTGAAGTTAATAATGCTAGTTGTTAAATATTCCAGCTTGTAGATGTTTTTGCATTGTTGAGTAACACATCACACATTTGTAATCTAATACCATACCATAACAATATCTGATAATGATTTTCATCATTGGCATCATATTCTTGAGATTATCACCTGCTTATGTAAAGAAAACCAACCACACAATGTTACAGCATGATAGTTGTATAATGGAGATTCATCTTTCCAGTTCGCTGGCCTCCATTTATCGATTTGTCCAAGCCATCAGACTTTGGTCTGAATTCAACCCGGAACTTCTACCTCCAAACAGACAATGGCATTCATGTTGGAGTTTGGTAAGAAAAATTAAACTTAATTCAGTAAAATATCATTTGAGTTACAAGCACCTTAGTGCTACAATCGCCTAGTGGAATCGGTTCTTGAAACGTCTACTCAGTTGTTCAGAATACACAATCACAGTAAGAAATGATATACTAAATACCAAACAATCATACCCAATGTTAGTGATGACATGTGAAGAAATACAAAATATCTTACAAATATTGATGAAGGGACAAATTGAGGGACATTGTCTATTGTGATGCTTGTAGGCACACTCTACCATCGAGCCTGGTGCAGGATGGGAGTCCCGCAGATCCTTATGAGTATGAACAATTGCTGAAATCTGGGAAGAGGATTATTCTGTATCTCCATGGCAACAGTGGAACAAGGTAGGAGATATGTAGTATACAGCTGTTGTGCTGTGTGCCATGTGTGTGTTTATTGCACTGATAAATGGAGCAGTATGTTAAAGGAACAATATGAAAGGTTTACTTCTATAAACACGATAAAGAAGATATTACTATGGTTATAATATATATAACAAACTGAAAGAGACCACCAATATTTGGTTCATTTTAACTGTAGTTCACTGTACAGTTTGACTGTCAGACATCTTGGATGAAGTCATGTGACCACATCATATAACTCTGTGAATAACAAACAAATTCTTCCCATAGCTAACATAAGTAAATACAAGTTATATATTACTGAGACAGTTTCATTGACATACATGTTGAACATTGGTGTCTGAAGCTTTCAGTCTGTGAGATGTGTCTGCTCCATTTGAAGAAAGTATATTTGGTCGCTTATCATGCATTGATCATTCAGGAAATAGGACAAGGATTTGGGAATGTCAACCAGACATAAGGCCAAATAAAAGAAATGTTGTGGTTACGATTACACCTCTTAAATATTTAGGGTAGGTAGGTCGGAATTATTTTTTCAGAAGTAAAGTACAAACTTATAACACATTTATCAATGTGTAATTGTTTATTCAATCAAGCTTGTGGCCATCATATTGACTTTCTCTATCAGAGTGACAGATATCTGTTGGTGCCGGGAAAAGCATTGGTATCTGAAAGCTTATTTTATTCATTCCGCTTAAAAAGAATAGGGTCGGCACCAGAATTCAAGGGTCGGTCGGGTAGTCGGGTAAACCACAACATTCTATTTTTTAGGCCTAAGGAACCATACAACATTATTGATATGAACTTATTGTTAATTGCATTTATTTATGTCAATATAGCTTGATAATGGTGTTATCTACATCATAACTTCACTGAATGTTATAATCAAGTTGTTATCTGTAAATTTGTATGTTTCCTTATTTACTCTGGAATGTCAATCAAATACTCACAAAGGACATCATGCATATAGATTGTCAACTGTAGGAAGTATGCTGTTACTAGTGTTAGTAAAATTCCGTCTAAAGGTCAAATGCATCTGTTTTGTGTCTAGAGGGGGATTTCATAGAGTACAGCTGTACAAACTACTGGCCGGCTTGGACTTCCATATCATCACTTTTGACTACAGAGGTAAGTTTCCATGGAAACACAATTCAGTTTGTCTTTTGTATTGTCATGTTAGATATTTTAGCAGATGTTTTCTCTGGTAAATACTGAAGAAATCATGAATATTTTTGGACATATATTTTTGTTGTGAAGACTGAGCTAACAATTTCATGAAAATACATCCTAAATTTTCATGATCCCTTACTTTTTTCCTTCAGTATATAATAAGTCCATGGATCATGAAGGAAAATGATTATTTGATGAACTCTGTTGGAACTGTTTGACTGATCCATGATGCATATGTGTAATTACTCTATGTAGACCTTTCATCTCATGTAATGTATGCAGTGTGTGAAATAGTTTCCAAATGTTGCTAGCCAGTTGGCCTAGCTCTGTGTGTAAGGTATCAGCTCACAACATATTTCACTGGCCCGAAATTTGAAAGTAGACACGGATTTCATCATTTAGCTGCTAATATGATGTACATATTTATCAGGCCATAATCTTGCATGATTTAAAAGTGTGTTATAACTTAATAAGTCAGAGAGAGTGATATATTTACAAAATGACCACATGAAAATTCATTAGCCAATTGGGCCAGTGACTGTGGAGATCTACTGGCCCCACTGGATTTTTACTAGCCACGGACTAGTGGGCCAGTGGCTATTTGCATACTTATTGTATGTCTACAGATTGTTAGTTAATGGTCCAATGCAACATTACATGTACATAAAGCAAAAAAATGCTCTGTAACTGTCATAAAGTGCTTGTTAACTGACGTTCAAAAGAAAGTAGACACGAAATGAAGGTCTTCTTGGTATATCAAGGTTGTTTATTCCAAGGACACAATTTTTAATAAAGTGGTGTGAGTCTACAGTGTTTTCAGCCATGAGTCCTTGTGTTGCTGCAGGTTTCGGTGACTCCACTGGCACACCCACAGAGGACGGGGTCGTCCACGACTCCCACTTCATGTACCGGTGGATCAAGGAGAGGAACAATGGAGAGCCCATCTTCCTCTGGGGTCACTCTCTTGGCACAGCGTGAGTCATCCTTCTTTCAGTACCATTATCTTAAAACTTCGGAGACTTGTGTGAATCATTCTATGTGTGTGTTAAGGGGAGGGATTGTGGGCGGATTGTCAGAGACTTGAAAATGGGGAGCCAAAGGTAATTGCTGTACCAAAAATGGAGGAAATAGGAAGTCTCGAAGCGTTTTATAGATTTATTGACCTTTTTGGTTTGAAATGATATATATTGATCATGTTGATTTATATTAGAAAATCAGACATTGGCAGTAAAATTTATCATGGATGCCACTTTGCATGGCCATAGGTCCATAACTGAAAAGGCCTAATGACAATATTTTTGTGCAAATAAGTTGTGTCCAACAAGACACAAGTTTTTCCAGAGCACAGGATTCACTATTTTGCATCAGGTAAAAGTTTAATCTTGTTCCAACATTTTGTACATGGAATTGATATTTGTATCAGTATGCTCAAAGGCATGATGCCAAGTTGTGGTGTTATCATTTAATGTTTCTTTCAGAATAACTACAAAGTTAGCAAAGAAGCTCTGTGAACTGGGTAAGTTTCAAAAAGTTTGAATCTGTCCATACACCAGTGTACATGGTGTACAAAAGTCTTTCATATGGCTGCTGGAGGCTAAACCCAACTTGCATCTTCCAATATGCATATACATGCCTCTTGAAGATGCTACTCCCTTAAACTTACTTTAGTTGTTTTCTGTAATTTTTAAGAATTTTGACTCATGGTTATATTTTTGCATCAGTGTCATATATTGGCACAAGTCATGAAATGGTTTTATTCAGTGTGATAGTGCTAGAATACAGCAAGAAGCAGCTTATTATCACACCAACCACAAGTATACCGTAGTCATGCTTCTGGAGTCACGAACTAGCCTAGGAGGTAGGGTAGCTGAATGTTACAGCGTTAGCTACTCACACTGAAGTCTCATGTTCAAATCCCCTCATGGGTACTGTATGTGAAGACCATTTCTGGTGCTCCCTGCCATGATATTGCTGGAATATTGCTGAAAGGGTCATAAAACTTTATTCACTCAGTCACAAACAAGCTTTATAAAACAAGGGTGGTCTGCTGCTCTGATGTTATAATAAAGGCATGTATTGCAGATGACCATCCACCCGGCATCATCCTAGAGGCCCCCTTTAACAACATTCGAGAAGCTGCCGCCAACCACCCTTTTGCCCTGGTGAGTATCTGGTCTGGAACTATGAGAACTTAAGTAAAGCCAAGTATATGTCAACATCTGTTTATATTGCAAATTTGTTATGATTTTAAAAGCTCTATTGGTGCCAAGTAGAGAACACAATTATCAGTTGTAATGAAGAACTTATTGTACTCCTGTGGTAGTCTTGGATTGACTGTTGCCCAGTAATCTATGTTTTTCATAAGAATTGATCGTCACGATATGGCTGAAATATTGCCGATGTGACGTTAAATAATAACTCACTCACTCATAAGAATTGAGAGAAATGAATCTGCTGATTTGGTTGATTGTTGATTGCATGTCATACTGCAATGGGGAATATATCTTTATATCATTTATAGACTGCCATGAAATAAATTAGAAGGGGTACACCAGAAATGGGCTTCACACGTTGTGCCCATGTGGGGAATCGAACCTGGGTTTTCAGCATTACAAGTGAACGCTTTAACCATTACGCTGCGCCACACCCCAGGTGCCTATGATATGACTAGTATGCTGCTTATAGTGTCATTCAACCTAAAAATTGTATTTGTGACAGCTGTGTGTCTTCATAAGACTGACATTGTTTTTCTCGACAGCCCTACCGCCTTCTGCCATGGTTCACCTGGGTTTTCGTGGATGGCATCAAGGAAAATGGAATCCACTTCAGCACGGATGAAAAGTAATATTATCTCCATAGTACCTTATGCTAGTACTTGCCTTTAGATGCATCTTTGTAACCATATTGCTGTGTATTGCAATAAACAACAAAGATGCTTGTTTGGGTATTGGGTGTCTGAATGAATGTGTGGTGTGGCCTACGCTTCACATGTGACCACAACAGGTGTGATCTGATTGAGTTTTGTCATGGCACCATGGGTAGACATCCATACTATCAACCTAGGTGCTATAAAAGTGGTATTAACCACTGTGGTATAAATCCAATACACTTATGAATGAAGATTCTTGTAGTAGCCATGACCTTCTTTTTACTGACATGTTCACATCTGCTCTATCCTATAATGACAGTATGAAACTAAAATAACAGTAACCATGGAAACTATTATGGTATTCCTGAGTCTATATATCAATACTAAAATTTGTGTTCAATGAAACCCTAGAATTACGTAATGGTGATTAATCTAGCGCTTGTCCTGAATGTTGTATTTTTCTCCACAGTATTCGGAGTGTGAGTCCCCCGATTCTGATTCTTCATGCTGAAGATGACGCTGTAGTGCCATTCCATCTTGGAGAGAAGGTGAGATATTTGGTGTGAATCTGACAGGATGTTACTTAGAGAATAGCATCCACTTTACTCACACAGCCAGGAAGACACAGCATGGTCAAGGGGAGATAAGTCAGTCAAGTTAACATTTCAGATGGCAGACTTGTTTATTTAGTTCCTGTTAGACTAGCGCTTAGTCTCTGAATGTATATATTTTTGATAGTGACAAATAAATCCATTTAAATTGAAAGGGAAACCCAGTGGGATGGGAGATTCAGAAATTCTGAACCTGAGGAAATCTAGACTTGCTTCATTTAGGGCTTTAGCATTGCAGGGAAGGCTAGGCAGTAGGGAAAATAATGTGGTTCGGGGACTGTGAGACAGACTATGTACCTGTGAGAAATTAGTCATACCTTTCTAGGTAATCACTTATTATTTTTTAATGACAGAGATGTTCCTCCACTTGAAATACTTCTACTTGTGGGTAGGGGTGTAAAGTTTCTTCAAACCAGTCTTAAGACTATGACTTATGGCAGTCATAGTGCTAAGAGCACATTGTGGAAATGGGAAGTTGTGTTCTAGCTGTCTATTGTTTGAACTCATTCAACTGAAAAAGTATAGTTGTCTTGTTTGTGTGGGTTCTATAATTCAACTGGACTTTATTTTGTCTCACAGCTGTATGAACATGCCAAACAGTCCAAGCCGGATCACCATGCTGGTGTGGAGTTCAAGCGCTTTCCTAGTCACCATGGTTACGGACATAAACACATTTTCAAGTCACCAGAACTGCCAGAGATTGTCAGGTAAGATATGTTTCTCTGATTATTTTATTTGAAAGTATTAACAAACATTTGGTCATGGTACTTATTCGTTGACATGTCTTTTATCAATAAAATATATTTACTGTTAGCACAGTTACGGTTAATTCACTGTATTAGTGAGTGAATGTGATTTTATCCTGCTTCTGGTAATATCTCCACATTATCATGGCAGCAGATATGGGTTTTACACTTTATACCCATGTGGGGAATTGAACCCGGCCTTCAGCTTGACAAGTAAACACTTAGTACCCCACTAGAACATTGATGTCAACACCGTCATTATAACATCAATGCCCATATACAAGCAAGCTTTAAATGTTTAAATGAAAGAAATGAATTAAATAAACGCTGAAATTCTATTGTATTTCATGTGTATGTATATGTTCAGTGTGTGAAATAAGGCCCGTCTGACAGCCTGAGACCAGTTAGATTTCAGATGGACAGTCTAGATTTACAGCTAGCCAGCCCGATGGTCTGGTAAAAAGTTGAGATGTTATATACATCTGAGTCATATCTTGGTGTCTGGTCTGGTTAAATCCATTTTGGACTGGTAACATTTTGAAGTTACCTGTCCTGATGTCTGGCTGTGGTTTGGGTATTATTTCATACTGATATGTTCTGGCATATTCCAAAGTTAAACAACTACAGTAAAACAACTAGGGTAAAATGAGGGCTTACCCAACCTTTTGGCTTTTTTTGATAATGGTAGCTACGCCCCTGATGTGTCTACAAAATGGCTTAGGTGGTGACATTTGAGTCTACTTTATAATTGAGGAATATGTTTGGTAACCTAAGTATTTTTGGTTTCTTTTCAGATCTTTTGTTCACAAGGCCCTGGAGAAGAAGAAATAATTAAGACGTTGCTAAACCTTTACCTTCAACCTCAGGGAATCAGAGATGATTATCATTCCAAAATGTGGAATATATGGAATATGTACTGCTGTTAATATTGTGATACACAAACTTTATTCTTGATCCTGTAGTCATATTGACAGAGAGCATTCTCTTACAAATTTGGAAGAATTCCTGCTGTTTTGGTTTTTGCTGATATTTTGAAACTACTGTATGTATGGCCCTAGTGGTCTTCAGTTCTGCGACTCACTGTACAGAGTTACTTCCCTTTACCAGTTTTTGTCTCATTGGGAACCTTTGTATGTCAAGACTAGATCTTTTCTTATTGGCTTCTGAGAAGTTAATAGCTAAAACATTGAGACATTCTCCTGTACATCTGACACACTGTCCTTATTGGTACAAGTTACTACAACTAAAATATTGTTAAATACACCTCACAAACTAGTGCCAGCTTGCAAGTTCTGAAAATTGGGATTTGTAAAATTAAAACATGCATGCTTGCTTTGTTTGCATGGCTATATCAGATTATAAAATTGATGATAGGCGTTTATTTTTTAAAGATCTTATGTTAATGAACTATATGAACTTCTTTAGGCAAGATATGTAACCGGTGGTCATCAAGGAATTCCAGTATAAAATATTTGCATACTTGGGTGGTATTGTGCTTGTGGTATTATAACATACAGATATGGAACCAAGACCTCATTAATGAAGATGCATCTTTGGTTCCATTCACAGTAGTGAGAAATAAGAAAATCTTGTTGTAGATCTTAAATAACATAACATTCATGAAATAGCCTCTTGCAAATAACAGCAGAACATTATTTATTCAACTTAGTTTGAACAGAAAAATATCATGTATGATTTTTCATCATAAGCAATGATTTTTTCAGTTGATCTCAAAAGTTTAGAGTTTTAAGACTCAAATAAGTCTTGATGATAGATATATACATTTCAGTTTTAGATAACTAGTAATTAGATTTTTTAATGGATGGATTGTTTGTTTGTACAGTTAATCTTATGTCAGGAGGTTGCATGGTATTTTTAAACTTAAAAGAAAATTTGTTTACTGTTGTTTAGGAAATAGTTTTTTAGCACTTACCGGTATTTATGTTGTGTGTTTAATTTGTGCATTTCATATACCTTCTGCAAGAGTTTACAGGATACCAATGACTTTTATGGCCTCCTTGGCTTGTTCATGGTGTGTTGATTTGAGTGGCTTTATGCATTTGAAGGTTTTATTAATGTAAATTATTATATTAGGTAAGCATTTATACACAGGACTACATTATGTTTGTTATCACTTTCTGTATTTGGAGTAAGGAAAGCTTCAATACCTAGTGGGCTTGGTGTTCAAAATCTCACCCTTAACACTCACATGCCCTTAACATTAAAAAATCCTTATTTTGCCTTTTTGTCAACTTTTGCTTACAATTCCTGCACCAAGATGGTTATATGTAGTTTTCTGATGAACTGACCTTTCCAATAGTGCTGGACTCTGCAACAAGATTGTCCTCTTGAAATGTGTTCTTGGAACTGCTGTGTCGATTTTTTCACTCAGTTCGTGATATTGTATCAGTTCTACAAACATATGTATCTGAGTCGAAATTGAAGGTGGAATCCTTTTTTATGACGGTTATATAGAGGATGGCATAAACATGTTACTAAGGTTCATGAATAGTTATACTGGTCAGTCATGTCAAAGTTATACATGGCCAGTAGTCTGTGTTTTTTCGAGAATAGCTAATACTTTGATGGACTGTTTATGTTAAATTGATGACAACTCTGAATGATCTGAGGACCTAGATGTAACTAGTTGTGTCCAATCCTAGCCTGTCATCCTTAAACTTGTATGTCAAAGTGAAATGGTTCAATCATGACATTCTGGGCACTATTTGCCATGGTGCGGGGCTCCCCATCCTGACAATATTGGTTTGAGTCTACCCCACTAGACACTGTCCCCTAGGGACAATGTATGTATTGTTGTGGGAGTGTCTTGAATCATATTTGTCCTGTTGCACTATCTAACCCTTTGTTCTTGAGTTGATACCCAATTACTGCTTATGTTATACTGGTATCAATTTAACCTAACCTGGAGCAATAGCCATTGGCCTCTTCCTTACACACTACTGTAAATACATCCTTATAACATATTTATATGTGTGTTGTTTCAGTGCCTTGAACACGGAAGAGAGTTATCTGTATTTTGCATAGAGCTGTGTTATATCTCTGGAGCATAATAACCACATTTATTCAGTGAATTTATTATCTTATGACAAGCAAACGCTTTAACCACTAGGCTACCCCACTACCCCCAAGGTGGGTAGGGACAAGAAACAAACTATTACTGGTAGTGGTCAAGCTGTGTGAAGGGCTTTGTGGTGCCAAGTTTGTGTCTCAGCAGGTCTCTGAGAGAAGTGTATGTTTGTGTAACATTGAACATGTACTAGGATAGTTTGAAACATGGAAAGAGGAAATAAAATAAATGCTGTGTCTTGGAGACATGGTATTGAATCTCTTGATATTTTGAGGCCTTTGAGATAATCGTCGGCTGTTTACATGGTTTGTTCAATAAATGTTGTCAGTTTGATTATTAGATCTGACATGTTGTTTGGGTACAGAGGAGACGGGTAGAAGTACATATTCAAGACAAAGGACATGGAAGAGATTACCGCAGTATCTTTTGTATTTTGACAGAAAATGTTAATGTGATTTGTGAGGTTTCTCAGGAGGATCATGAAAAGAGATGAACAGTCATTTCAGAGATATGTTTTTGTTCTTCAAGAAGAATTGACTGGCCATCAACCTGCAGATGTCCTTTCCTCGTGGCAGATGACCTTCCCCTCTACGAGTAGAGTAGAATTTTGTCACAGGAATTGTAATGGAAGGGTATCCTGGTTGTTTTCTTCTTAATTATATGTTGATGGTGTAGCTAGAATCTGTTATGTGAATTTTAAGGATGTCAAGTTTATGATTGAGGGCCTATTTCAGGTACTGTTGCCATGGATAGAGGAGCAGGTCAATATATGACCTGGTTGGTTTTTCTGGAAACATTTGTTGGCCTGCAAGGGGAGGTGTCGGCAGATGGTCCTCTTATCAAATTGAACAATGCAAAGATGTTTTTATTCCTGTGATATATGTCTGTGTTATTGAATAAATGTTGATAAGAGTTGGATTGTTTTTCTTGTTATATATTTCTACAGGAAAATTGTTCAAATTATGTCTTCATTAAATAATGGCCTATGTTCAATAAAGTAGAAATATTCTACACAGAATATACCTCCAGTTCTACAGGCTGCTCAAGTAGGTCCTAAAAACAGTGAGTGAGTGAGTGAGTTTGGTTTTACGCCGCTTTTAGCAATGTTCCAGCAATATCACAGCAGGGGACACCAGAAATGGGCTTAACACATTGTACCCATGTGGGGAATCGAACCCGGGTCTTCGGCGTGACGAGCGAACGCTGTAACCACTATGAAAATGATCATTAACAATTCAGTATGATAGGAGATGTTAGAGCAAATGTACAAAGTAGTATATAAAATGTTATGTGATGTGGTATATTTCCAGTTACTGGTTGATAGAAAATTTAAATAAAATCTCACATGAAATAGTCACATGACTTATCTCTCCGGGTACCCATATTCTGCTGGGTGAAGAGAAGCAATTTTTAGACCCCATGTATCACATGTGTTTCGTTGTGGGGCAGGACTGAAGTCCTAGAAACTCTCAGGAGTCAAGCTGCCAAACAAGGTCACCGATCCAAGGACTCTCCGCACCAACGTTACTTGTGACCCGAGCTCAATGCACAGGACGACACAGCTTGGATGGGCACGTTTGGAAATCTTGCAGACACGCCCACCTTTACATCATTGTTGGTACTGTCCAGTATCCTGGAAGGTGTAATATGTGGTGTTTGCCAGGTTGTAGCAACAGTAAACCAAATTAATGACCTTGTGTACACATACCATTTGGACTGATCTTGATGGAGGATTCAGCTGGGTCACCCATGTCATATGTTATTGTTTCAAACTGGATTTTCAAATGTATGGATATAAAAAAATTGGAATGAGTTACATTTCGTGAACATATTACGTAGCAGATGCATTGATATCCATGTCCAAACTTGGTATAAAAAATACTTCTTTATTTCAAAGATATTATGGATCATATAAATCATTACTGGAACCTAAATTATACATTCTGTTAAAAATGAGAACATATTTGTGAACCTGTTAGAATGGTTAATGAATATATGCATGGTCAGTCTCCTGATTGGATTGTAGGTCATTTCCAGTGCTATTATAGACAACACAACGTATGTCGCCAATATCAACTGGTTACCTGCACAAGTCGTCCTTCACTGAGGGAATTGTCAAGTTATATATAATCACTATCAGCTGTTCAATACACGCACAGAAGTTGGTATAGACGTTGCAGACGAATTAGATGCACCAGAAATAGGTTTTGCGCGAAAAACCTTCAAATCGTATACACATATTGACAGTAGCAGGTGACCTCGCCTGGATGGACACTTCCACGCCAACTGTCGTTCATTTCTCGATTTCAGTGTGTCGCATGACTACGTTGTCAGCCAAGCAGTGAGTTAATGAATTGACAATAGTTAGCGCATCATGGAATTGGCTCACGTGAATCACTATCTTCATCAGCTGACGAACGTCAACAATACAACGTCAGTCCTAAAATATTGACGGATGAACACTGCCAAATCGGCTGTAGTCAACTGCATTGTTCCAACAGACATTATGAAGCCACCAGCTGTGATCAGCAGAGCGTGCGTGTCTCTGGTGTGTGTGTGTTAAATGAAGGCAATCTTCTGCTTCGGATCTATATATTTATTTTCCAAAATACGAATACTAATATTACTAGGAGATTAGAGTTTTAAAATGCATTTCCCTCCTTGTACGAGCCACATTCGCTCTGTATCGCTGGGACCTTAAACATGCCAATAGTCTGTCTCTACTCCAAACTTTCCGCCCAACCCTTTCTGCAATGCGAAAGTCCGAAATAGAGCTAGTCTAGACTCCCGCTGGTTCTGAATCTCCGAGCTCTCTGGTCTAATTCAATGTAAACGGAGTTATCAATATTCATCAAACATTCTTACTTTCAGAGACTTAGAGCTTTGAATAACGTACCAGGATACTGTAATTATGGATCGAAACATGCCCCGGATATGCTTATTGGTTTTTCAAGGGCATACCTATATTTCTGAATTTGTCCCACATTAGACAACTGCTGTAAGATCCAATATTCAATTTGCACGCTGTGTAGCCTTTTTATGGCATGTGTGTGCGTGTGTGTATTTCTTGTTGCATTTGTATGGGCTGGGGTTAGAAGTGGCGAATGTTATGCGTGTACCATAAGCTCCCATTTCTTTCTGGTGACCTGCCTTTGCGTGTGTTTGTAACAGGTAATAGAGGTAGGGCAAAATGTGCTAACCTCTTCCGCAATCTTTGACAATTTACATATGTTTTCCCGCTCTTGGAAATTTCCATGTTTCCAACCCTAGTAAACTTAGAACGAAATCAGAAATTTCAACACCTATTGCAATTAAAAGAAATGCATTGGAAATACTCTATGGCCACATATTTGTTGTGGGTACCTGTATCTTAATTCATGCTTGGAAATACCTGGAAATCCGGCCACAGCATACATGAAAGAGGTGCATGTGCATACGAAAATATACCAAATGAGCGTATGTTTCAAAGGTATAGCATTGTATGTGTCGCGGGTTCCGGCCTTCGTCTTGCCAAGCAGACAAATATAGGATGGAGATCCTCGTTTGTGTTAAACATCTCGTTTATTGCCTGTGAATTATGAAATCGTACAGGATTAGTAAGATGTTTTCAGGTTTCGCCTGAAACGATCTTAGATGAAGATGACTATTCATCCGATCACATGACTGTCCTAAAGCGACTAACTCAAAGGACTAAGACTACGTTTCTTATCCACGAGATTCTACAGAAAGCAGAATGTTTCCTTGGCAGTCACTTTTGTCGGCTCTTCAGTCGTCACCATCCGGCATTGTTCCCTGCCCGGGTTAACCACCAGGATCAAACAGCTAGGTCCCGGATGAGCAACTGGTAGGAAACAACACCGTTTTCAACAAGACGGAGAGATCCGCTCAAAACCTCCGAAGTCGTCACAGTCGTCATATCAAAAATCGACGGAGATGAGAAAAGTTCATTTATCTCGTCGGAATGAACATTCTGGGAGATGGGAAACACTGAAAAGAAAACCCAGACGGCCTTACACCAATCCTCAACTTTATATGTTTGTTTGTTTTTTGTTTTGTTTTGTTTTGTTATTTAACAGTACGTTGACATGTTGACTGTATACATGTCTCACTGTATAAACTATATCTTGAAGCGAATTTAGGCAATCCGGTTACAATTCTTGCTGCTTCAAGTTGTAACATTTCAAGTTTATCACAAATAAACAAATAAAATAAATAGGGCAATTATCCCAGACATCAGATGCATATTCTAAAATAGGCCTAACATACCTTTCATACATACTGTTATCTTGGTAATACGTACTTTAGCGTCCGTAATGAGGAAACACGTTTTTAGGCCTTTTCTAGTACAGCAGATACAAGATGAGACCATTTTGTATTATCTGAAAAGGGTTCACGCCCAGACTGTCGAATGTTTTATCGAATACACACCCGGACTGTCAAAAAGCAGTGGAGTGTGGCAATGCTCAACCCTGCTCCAATAACACCCGGACTGTCGACTGCCTTGGAGAACATGAACCTGTGAATAGCAGAAAGACTGCGCTAATCCGCTCTACTCTAATCAGGTGAGGTGAGGTGAAATTGGGTTTTACGTCGTGCTTGAGAATATTTCGCTCATATGACGACGTGCATGCGTGTGTATGTGTATGTGCGGTATGTGCGGCTGCTTGTACTAGCCCAGACTTAAGCTGGTTTTATAGTGCTAGCCCACTGAGATACCATGCCGCAGTGAAGCATGAATACCCCACTCAGACACATTATACTGACTCCGAGCCGACCAGTCCTTGTTGTACCCATTAATGCCCGCGCCAGGTAGGGACCAACAAGTACCATATTTTAACGTCTTTTGGTATGACGCGGTCGGGATCGATCCCGCGATCTTCCGCTCTCCGGGCGGACGATCTAACCCCTACACCACGGAGGCCGTCTCTAATCAGGGATAATCTACAACGTTATATAGTCTCCCTGCTCTAATTAACGAGGGCCGGAAGACATGAGTACTATTGTTGTTGAAATGAGAAAGAGTTTGAGTTAACTAGATTTGTCACAAAACCACGGAGGGTATGGTTAACACAATATCTTGAAACACAAAATGTATATAATAAAACTCAATCAGGCTTTCGCAAAAAAAAAGGTTTAAAAGGGGCACTTCTAAATTTTGCATCAGCCTTTCTAACAGAGAGAGACTTTAAGGTCTCCATAGACCATCAAATCTGATGATATATTCAACAACCTCAGTAAAAACATAAACAAATCCCAGTTTGCCGACGATGGAGCAATATGAGTTTATGAAAACCAGCACTTAACGTGGAACAAACACACTCAATTCATACAAGAAAAATGCAAGTCAGATCTCAACATTATTAAATTCCTATCGCATAGAAAATGGGGTAGCAACAAACATTACTACTACTATATAAATCACTCATCAAATCTAAATTACTCTATGGCTGCGAAATATTTCAAGATATGACACAAACACCAATTCCAAGCACATTCTAACAAACCCCAAATTAATTAAACCATTCATTAATATGAATCAATATATCTCATTCATACAAAATTATACCAATCAATCTAGCCAAAAAACCCATAATACAATAATTCTACCTAAAAATTCGACCAAAAGGGAGACATATGCCGGTGCATGCCCGTATAACAAAGTGGCCACAATAAAGAATGTACTGTATAACGTATTTTGTTTTCCTTAATGCCCGAAGCGTCGAACGCCATAGTGTTAACGCCTAATTACTTCCTTACGTAATACCCGAAACATTGAATTTATAAAATTTCAATTTTCAACAGTCCGGGTGGACACCCTGAAAAGATGACACCGAGGTGTTTATGTTGATGTACAAATTGACGTTCCAAATGTTCATTATTGAAAATCAAGTCAGGAACTTGTGGACAATTTCCATTTTTTTTAAAAAGCATGAATTTGGTCTTATTCGGGTTAAACCTAACTAACCATTTGTCAGCCCATTCTTTCAATTTTGCTAAATCATAGTTAAGAGTACCTTCTATTTATTTTTACATCTTTTCCTGCAACACCAATTGAAGTGTCGTCGGGAAACAGTCTTGTGACATTTGTTAGAGTTTCAGGTAAATCATTGATGTACACAAGGAACAAAAATGGACCAAGGACAGATCCTTGAGGAACCCCTGCGGTAACATTTAATTCTTCTGATACTGTACCATTGATGGAAACACTCTGTCGTCTATCAGATAAATAGTTTGTTAACCAACTAAGTAAATGCCCACGAACACCATAATTTTCTAATTTGCGCAATATATCTGTTCTAGCACTATTCTCGATTATCCAGTGTATTATATATATGTTCAATAAATACTTAAAATTACATAATAACGCCAGCATGGACTGGAAGGCGAGAAATTTGAAGCCATTCATTGATCTAAGGGGGGTAACTCTAAGATCATAACCCCCTTCTTACAAAAATAGACTGTTCCGGAAGTCAACGTTGGGAGATTCCAAATGTAGGGGATTTCCAGTCACGAGTTGTGTATGACAACACGGGGCAGGAAACGTAACTGTGACTTGTGAAAGTCGCGTCATAAACAGCTGACATACTTGCGAACTTTGGACAGCCATGTGGTACAGCAGAGATAGGTAAGATTTACATTTTATGTCATGATTAGTTTGGAACGAACAATGTAATCAATTATATCTACCCGCTGTTTGTGCAGTGTTGCTGTCGACTTGCCTACCAGATTATAACTGTTGACAAACAAACTGTGTTGATGTGTGTCGAGTTAAAAATAGACCACTGCTCGACCTCACAAAGACTGTTACCACTTTGTAAGTTCGGGCGGTTCTTCTAGTCTAATCATGCTTATGTAATGTTTTGTTATACAATGGATGACATCAGCTTCTTCAAATGTTAATCAACAGTGATGAAATAAAAGTTCAACGATATTGTTGACCATTATATCTGTATATAGCTCCTTCTCGCTGTCAGAGATTTAGATGGACCTAAATATTTAAGATCAGACACACTGTATATAGTATATCATCGATGTCCATTGATGTTGATCAGGGAACGCATAGTTCCCTACATGCAAAGTCTCAACCTCATCTTGTTCAGTTAAAATGACAGGTCAGCGCATAGTCTGTACACTGAGTGTAGCTCAATGGGATGGATAGCCGAGCATAGATTAGCTCAAGTGCAAATGATCGGGATATAGTTGGATTGCATAGTTAAACACATAGATCTACACGCACGTCACATATATAAATGGATATATGTGACGTGCGTGTAGATCTATGGTCTATGTTTAACCTACATGCCGATAACGGGTTCCTGTGCACAAGTGGCATAACTTGAAAGTGACTCTAAACCCGATGTCAGCCCAACTCACAATGACAATGTGTTCAGCAGTTTTATTCAACGTGTACTGGCTAGCGAACAGTTATCACCATATTTTAGCGTATTTACAAAATTACTCTGCCGTTTGTTAAATTAATGAAACAGAATTAATGATGGTACTTAATTAGCTATTCACCGATGTGTCCAGCCCGTTCACTGCTGCCGATCATGTTTTTATATAACGCAGCGGAAGGGAATCATAGAAGAATAAATAGATATTTTCTCTCAACTAACTGTAACAGTTATCGCCATTCCAAATTTCTCATGCCATTCATGAAATAATATATATTTATATCATACAGTAACCTCGAATAATTGATTGTGTGACTGTTTGAGTGTTTCTTTTACAGTAGATTAATGATAGTGAATGAAACAATTAATGACTTGTGAACTTGAACTTGCTATTATATAGGTTGTGGGACATTCCCCCGACTAAGTTCAAATGTTTTTATAGGGTTCATAACTTTATCTTTAATTTTTCTCTTATGTTCACGTGCCGAGAAGAATTTCCTTTTTACTGTCCTTTATTGTTGTCAAATACCAAAGGAAAAAATACCGGAATTGTAATTGACCGGAACTGTGCACGTTTGATACTGATGTATTGGCGATAACTATTACGTTGCGATAACTGTTCGCTAGCCAGTACAGTTGCCAGAAGCAGTCTTAACAAAATAAACAATGTAAGAGTTATATCATTCAGCAGTCTATTTTGATAACTGACATTTTGTCTTTTTCTGGGTGAGGGACCAGCTGGACATTTCTTGAATGGGGTTGGGGTGGCAGTGAGATTGATCATACAACTGCATTGGAGCCGACTAGGGCTGTAACGATGCATCAAACTATCGATGGATTGCAATTGTTGAGTCTCCGATAGCAATTAATCGATGGTAGAAAAGAAAACTATCGATGCATCGATAGTATGTGAGACTATTGATAGTTTAGTAATTGAATTCCTATGATAAATTAGACTAAATGCGCAACGCAAAATACAGGATGCAGACTTCACTTCATTGAGTTTATGTTTTAACTGTTCACTTGATCCGGGTTTCAAGTTTCTTGTCAGTTATTAAAAGAAACTGAAACTGCTTCAACTTGTTTTTATTTCATATAAACTATACATTCACTTGGGAAATGACTTCAAATAAGACAATTCAAGAAGAACAAAAACTGTTGCAATAGTTGAGTTCGCGCATTAGTATGTTGCAATAGACTATCGCTATTGCAGTAGTTGCTTCCTCCTCAGTAGCCACCCCTAGAGCCGACAAAGTCCTATTTTGCTGACCACAGCCATTTTCATGACCCCTGACTTTTGCTTCATCATATAAATTTCGCCTTCTTTCCTCCCAAATATATGGCCATTCCAACGAATATAGCTCTCTTGTTGATAGTACTTTGAAATAACTGATAATACCTATGCAAGATGATTAAAGTATAAAGACTTTTTCTATCAAGAAAGATTGTTGTTAACTATGTAAACTACATTGTGTTTGGTCTGGACGTTTTGGCAGTTTGAAATTTCCTTGATGCATAAAAAACTGCAATCCAGTCTAAATGCCAGACCAATTTTATTTCTTGTTTTACAGATTTTTGTCCTCAGAAAAACTAAAGGCAGGAGGGTATTAAAAATAAAAACCACTAGTCAAATTAATTTTCCTTTTAAATACTAAAAGTATTTTATTTTTGGCAATTGATGAAGTTTATATGGGGAAAAAAACAATGAAAAATTTTGTTGTTGTAAGTTTACATTTTGACCAATAAAAACATGAGGATTATATATTTTTGAGTGGGGAAAATTAATTTTTATTTTTTATTTTTTCTTTGAACAAGAGAAATTATGTGTGACATTTTGAAGTGATAAGAGATGGAGATCACATACAATATGAAGGTACAGGTGTGAGAAAATATAACTTTAAGTCACATCAGTATTCTTACAGCCATTCACAGCAACAATATAATGGAATAGCCATTATACCCAGGATAATCCGGGTTGAGTGAGTGAATCTTGCTTAACGCCCCATCAGCAATTTTGCAACTTTGGTAGCATTCCAGTTTGAAATGTGGCTTTCCCGGCCTGACACCATATAAATTATGTCTGATAGACATTAAGGATGCAGGTAAGGAAATATAGTATGACCAGAAATTATTGAGAATTTTAGGAATATGTTTAATTGGTTTACTAGTATAAACAACCTTGACCAGCTATCAAGTGCTTGGTTTCATTCAAGAGAGACAACTTCGTTAATCCTTTTCATTAGTTTGTGAAGAGTTATCCCCTTTACTTGCTAGCAGACGACATTTTCACTGATCCTCAGTATGGATGATTTAGAAGAGGAAGTTGATTTTAGAGTATTATAACAAGGACATCAGATCAGCTAAAGTGATTTCAAGTAGGACAGACATCCCTTTGTCCACTTTTATCGTGTTTTGAAAAATATTGCAAATGGATATGGCATTGAGCACCAGGGAGGAGCAGGTAGGCCCAGAAAATTGACAGTCGGTAACAGGAGGCTTGGTATTCTTGTTTCTAAAAAACAAACGAAGGAGTTTAGAAAATTTAAAGCTGGATATGATTGATAGAGGAACTGTGTCTGTCTGTAAGGAGACAATTAGAACTGAGCTGCATGCAATGGGTTGGCAGAAAAGTCGAGGAATTCCATCACCGATCATGAAAGCTGAACAAAGAAGAGCGAAGGTTGAACTGGTGCTTACAGCATAGAAACTTTAACTGGGACAATGTGATTTTCTCAGATGAAAGTTCTGTGTAGCTGTTTCCTATTATACACTGAAATTCTGGACCAAAACAAACTGAAAAACCTTTGTATCAGCCAAGTACAGTCCGAAATTTAACGTGTGGGGTGGCATATCTGTGTTAGGGCAACACCTCTCTGTGTATTTGAAGGGAATATGAACAGTGAGCGTACACAGATATTCTCGAGGGACAATTGTTTCCATCTGCTCACGTGTTCTATGGAAATTTTGGATTTTCCAGCAGGACAACCACCCAAAACATCATTCAAAGCATTCACAGTCCTGGTTTCGGACCCAAAATATGACATTATTAGATTGGCCAAGCTATAGCCCTGACCTAAATCCAGTAGAAAATGTTTGGGGACTTATGAAAGAAAGTTTTAATAAGAGAAAACTCTGACAAATATTGCTGAAATGAAAGAAAAGGTGGTCCAATATTGGGACAGCATGGACCACTCTACTTTCTAACTTCTTTGATCAGTAGTATGCCCCCGCCGCATTGAAGCCTGCATTGCTGCCCATGGTGACTTGACAAAATACTAACTGTTCACCTGTCTTTGAATCTGGAGTTATGTTCTGCTAATATTCACAGTTAATTCGTGAGTAATGAGTGAAAAAAATAAATAAATTACAATCTTTAAATTCTCAATAATTTCTGGTTGTACTGTATAAGGCAGTGTATTAGTTCTCCAGATAATTATCTTTGACTTTTAATCACATTATTATTAAAATATATCATTGTTATTGAGTATTCAATCATGCTGAAAGAACTCATTTTAATGAAATTTGGTATTCCATTCATTAAAACATATTGAAGAGCTGTGCATTTGTTGAATTTCAGAATTTTGGGGTTGGTCCATTATTGATAGATTGTCATCCAAATTGTCCAAAATTTGTGTTGAAAAGAAAAAAAGATACAATGAAGGAATTTGACTGTAAGTTTACTCAAAACCAACTTCAGGGTTGACTGACTGAATGCAATTACGTCATCGAACAATTCAAGTGGCGATCACAACAGGACGATGGCGATATTCGACCTTGGCCTTTGGCAAGACCATGGCCTGCAAAATGTCAAACTATGTCAGACACAACGCCAGTTGTCAGTGTTCGGTTTTGGTCCAACAACAACGTTAATAGTGCAATTGTGAAGGTTAGAACCAGTTAGAAAAGTCGAATGAACCGATGCACCCACTATGGCGTCACTTGACAACAGAACTGATAGTTGCCCATCGTTAAGGTTGAGCGGTCCAACATCATTTGCAGCTGCCCGCAAATTTCTGATAATAGGAGGTCCGGTTCATGATAATTGCATGTGTTTTAGCTATAAAGGAGAATATGCCATCAAAAGTTTATCTTGGAAATTTAACACATACGGTACTTTAAAATTATGAAGGACCTATTAACCAACATCAGTAAATGGTTTGCTTGAGATTATCACATTGCTGGCAAAGAAGTTAACAGATTTACTATGAGTACCAGATGGTGATTGTGTAAGCTGCAGATTGTGTGACAGTAAGCTTATAATATAATACTGGTTCATAGACTGTGGGTTTGTTATACAGTGGTATGGCCAGATGATATTGAATTTCAAAACAGTAGGGAGTCTATAGAATTTATTGAAATGCTAAACAGTATCAGATATCTTTTTGTTTGAGCACATTCATCAGTTAAAGAATTTGATATAAGTGATAGGACAAACTCATACATGCACACAGACATTGAGCATTGTAGCTGAACTCAAATTATTCCAGAACTGAGATAAATCTTGTTGTATATTTATTATGGAGGTTTGGAGAGATTCTCGGTCATCCCTCTAGAATTCAGCACAGCTAAGGTTATGGACACTCACAATACCCAGTGACAAAATTTGTGCAGTTTTGTTGCAAAACAAATCAGTGAAACAGTCCTGTGATGTCAGACTAGCAAAATGGTTGATGGGTGACGGTGTATGCAAAAACTCTTCTCAGTGATCTATCATCACTACGTGCAGTGTCATTGATTAAGTCCAGCGATGTTTAGAGTTTTCAATATTTGTTAAAATACAACCTCTGATGATACCCTTTTATAGCAAGCAAATGTTTTATATTTTCTGTGTATATATATTGTAAGTTTCAACATAATGTACGGGGCTAAAGTGATTGTAAATAGGGACTTATATAATCATTTTTTATGTGATAGTTTTCATTTTTGTGCACAGTAATGCAATTTGTTATGTATTTCTGAATTGACGGTGCACACATCCAAATGTGGCAAGGCTGAACTCCCACATTGCACTACCCTCAATATATAGCACAGCCAAGTACAGTCAAACCTTGGTTATGTGGACACTTGCATTTTCTCAACCATTTTCCTCATAAATGAGGTTATCCAAATTACTTCGCAACAAAATTTCTACTCCGAAACAAAAAACAGTACTGCAGTACCTCTATTGTGTCAGATTATTCATGTATTATGCTGAGTCAAACACTACATCATATCCCTTCAGTCATATTTTTGAAGAACTTTGTGATTACAAACTTTTTCTGTGATTTGTTTGATCAGCGTTCTGATAGTTGTAGAATCAATAAAGAAGCATACGATTTTATGGATAACACCGTCTAGTATAATAACACTTTTAGCTTGAAAACAGTGTAAGAATCTACACCGAAATGTTGGTTTATACAATTATAAAACAAGAAGTTGTCATCCATAAAGTCGTATACTTCATTATTGTTCTCGATAAAGGAGAAATGAGACAAGACTGAACCATAAATAGTAATCAGCTGGACACAAGCACAATACAAGTACAAGTCCAGGCATATGGTGAATATATATTGATAGTTAGTATGTATAATGACATGAGTAGATAGACACAGATCACATGATGCCTGTCACTTTGATATTGCATGCCAGATGATGTCCGAGCTTTTGATGTGTGATGAATAATCGTTGTAAACCAAACATCGTCAGTTGTTGTTGTCCTGTAAGGCAGACAGTGTCTCCCCATTTGTCAGACAGAGTACTTCAGAGCTTCATCCTGGCAGAGGCATCGGCATGGTAGGTTCGCACTCGTTTACGAAGGGAGCTGTAGGAACCAAGTCGTGTTTCGTCTGATGGCGGATGATTATGTTCACTAGAGTCTGACAAATCTGCTACAGTTGTGCACTTTCTCCTGTACACGTCTTAACAGTGTACCTCCAGTGAACACAATTCTTCCTAGTCTTCTTGTTGTTGTAGAGGTGCTACTGAAAAAGCACTTACCTTCTGCAAACCTGCCTTAGTTGTAATGTTTCCAACTATTGCGAAACATTCATATCTATATGCATTGCTTAGTTCAAACATCTGCAATATCAGTTGAGAAAGTTTTAAAAGAAGAACAATTATACTTACGGTTTACTCCATAGAAAGGGTAAGTTATATATTAGGGGAGTGGTGACCAGAGTTTGGGCTAATTAGGACTGCTCGGACTGATCTATTATTACTGTAGGGGTGTGCCTTCTCCACCCTCACTCAAGTAATGGTGATATCACCAGTGAGGTGCTATGTAGTTTCCATGGCTGGTAATTCTAATTCACTGTCAAGATTTAGAAGTAACATGTTATATTTGGGATTACACTTTCTTTGTAAAGTACAGATTATAGTACTTTTTGTTTGGTTGAGTCCCAATCAGGATTCGAACCCACATCCTCAGAGTCAGGCACCTAATCACCAGCACACAAAGTCAGCCACCTAACCCGCTCAGCCACCGTGGATTCAGAAGCTGGATTTCTGGCTACAAGTAAGATAATTGGTTACCAGGACATTAAACACCATTCACAGATTTTCACTGTGTTTCCTATTTGCAGGACGTTTCTGGGATACCTGCAGGGCGTTCTGGGATACCTCAAGAGCTTCCAGCTGCGCTTCGTGGTGGCGATGGGGGTCTTCCTGTATGTAGTCGTACCACTGTTGGTGTGGCTTCATCCTAGCATCGTCAACATTTTCATCTTTGGAAACTACTGTAAGTTCAGCTGTTTCTCCAGGCACTGTCAGTAACAGTCAAAACATTTGTTCGAAATATTACAAACTGTTTGGCAGAATCGTTGTACCCAGATTTTGAAACAATCCAGGAATCTTGCTTCATGTTACTATAGTTACTGTTAGATTATTTAAACATGATGATTGCAATGATAAATATGTGGAGTCAATGACAGGGTTCTATTGTAGAATGCAGTAATGGCTCTAAGATAGTAGTAACTCACATACTTTAACCAGAGACCATATAAAAAAATATTTTCTGGTCTCTACTGTGACATAGACAGTATTTAGTCATAGCAGATTGCTCTGTACAGCACAGACCTGGCCAGTAGTACTGAAAAACATCATTGTGATCACAGGTCACTAGTTTACAGTGGTTCCGATGACTGGTGCACTAAAACTCCATCGACTACTTTTATTGTTGCTCTTTCAGTTGTGCTGCCTTTTTCCGACCTCGCCCATCCCAGCTCCTATGACCTACATGACACTCGCAACTTCCAAATTGTCAGTGAGGATGGTTTGCAGCTGGGGATATGGTGAGTGACTTTGTCACAGCATTTGTAATGTCCTCATTCTTAGGTGTAACAGTTCATGTATTACAAATATACATGTATTTGTTTAGTACATCATGGACAGGCTTGCTTGGAGACTTTCTCCCCAGTGATAATGACACTAATACTAAGCCTATGACATATGTTCCAGGCACTTGTTACCAGCCTCACTTAGTGGTCAACCTTTTGAACAGGCTTTGGCATCGGGAAAAGAGATCATTCTTTATTTACATGGAAAAGGTCAAAATAGGTAAATATTTGCCTGTCCATTGCATGTCATTTCAAAAAGGCAGACTGTTTCATGTGCTCATTCACTGTCTCACTGACTGACTCACTAACTCACTCACTCACTCACTAAACCCTGCAACAAACACAACTTCTTATTCAATTCCTCCATTTATGATCATCATTTTCTTTATCAAAATATTTGAATATTTGTGTAATATATTTTCCAGAGGGAGTAAGATTCGTGTAGGAACATACAAAGCACTGAGGCGGATGGGCTACCATGTCATCACCTTTGACTACAGAGGTAGGAGTCCGACATGGTGTCTTGTGTGCAACCAATTGTGAATATGCTGGAGAATATTTCCTGCTGTTGATGGTCACCAGCATTTGTACTGTTACACCTCACTAGTAACATGCAGGCTGAGATGTAAAGGAGTGAAACAGCATTGTTGAAGATTGAAATCTCTTTCCTGTAATACCCGTGAAGGTCCGGGTTAGAATGAACCTTCAGTAACCCATGCTTGTTGTAAGAGGCGACTAACAGGATCGGGTGGTCAGGCTTGCTGGCTTGGTTGACACATGTCATCGGTTCCCAATTGTGCAGGTCGATGCTCATGCTGTTGATTATTTACAGACTGCCGCCATATAGCTGGACTATTGCTGAGTGCGGCGTAAAACTAAACTCACTCACTCACTCTTTCCTGTAATTAACACATCTCTGTCAGGTGATTCTGCTATGAGTTTGCATGTCTTAGGGAAATAACCATTTTGTTTGTCGTTGTCATGACATCAGTAGGTTCTACAGACATTGCACTTAGAAGAGTTAAAGTTAAGTTAAAGTACATGTCATTTCAAGTTATGAAAGTGTTTAATAAAAGATTGTGGTGTGTAAATATCACTTTGATCACCGTAAAGCCCATGGCATGTTCTGATAGGTTTTATTACATGGTTCAGTAGTATATCTGGGCATGTTAGGATTACATTGTATATGTTTATAACGGACATGCCTATAATGATCTACACGGGTATAATGAACTGGATTTTCTTCCATGGCCCATGGGGTACCCGGGTTCGATTCCCCAACAAGGGTACAATGTGTGAAACCCATTTCTGGTGTCCCCTGCCGTGATATTGCTGGAATATTGATAAAAACAGTGTAAAACCATATTCACTCATTCTTGCATGGCCACTTGTATATTTTAGTTAATATGTGTATAAAAATACGGTTATAACACAAAAATGGTGGTCCCTTTGTGTTTATTATATAGGGACCGCTCATAATTTATGGCTAGGGGTGATGATGATTTTAAGGGGGTCACCCATTTTGTTCTGGTGAGGTAGGGGGTCATCAATTTTGTACATAAAAATATATAAAAATTATGCTTAAAAATATGGGGAGGGGGTAATTGATTTTGTAACATGACATGCAGGGGGTCACTTACTTAGGGGGGTCACTCACATTGTACATTCTTCGCAATAAAAATCATCATCACCCCCCTAACCATGAATTATGAACGGTCCCTAACCATTGTTTACTTTATATAAAACATTTTGATCTAGAATCTTTTCATTTCCCAACTTTTACTCCTCCATAATAATACGCATCTGTTATCATGATGATGAGAACAATGAGTTTCCTTGCCAGGGTAAAACCCCCTGGTAATGTGTTTCTGAGGGTAAAACCCCCTGACTGTAAAACCCCCTGGTAATGTGTTTCTGACTGTAAATGAATCTGTCACTGACTCTGTTTCTGAGACAGTTACTGACTCCTGAATCAGTGACTGATTCTGAGGCTAGTACTGTTTCATCTGATTCTGAGTTTCTGATTCCTGAATCTGTGGCTGACTATGCTTTTGATGGTTTCTGACTTCTCAGCTGACTGATTCTGTGACAGAAGCTGTTTCTGAAAACATTTTCTGACTTCTGAATGTGAGGATGACTGTTTATTAAGCTGTGGCTGACTTTGTGATATTGCCAGGCTATGGTGACTCCACAGGATTCCCGACTGAGGACGGCCTCATGGCTGACGCTCTCACTGTGTACAAATGGGTGAAACTACAATGCCAGTCTTCCCCTGTTTTTATATGGGGGCACTCTCTAGGAACTGGGTTAGTAAATTTACCTCATTCAAATCTATGTAGTCAAGTGTATTCTCTTCCAAAACCCAAAATACAGTCAAATCCCAATGAGTCGAATCGCTAGGGACCAAGTAATAAATTCGACTTATCGATGTATTCGAGACATGGGTATGTCTGTGAGGGTAGAAAAGAAGATGATCCAGTCCTAATTCCTCCGCCTAAGCATTTGTTTATCTAATGATTTCCATATCACTAATAGGGGCACCCTATCAGTTCCAGTCTGATTAGCACAGACAGTGATTTCCGTAAAATCACTAATCTAGCTGCCTTTTGAACTCACCCGTCAATGGCGGAAAGGTGTGAGTCGCGCTGGTTTGTTAATTTGATCAGTTTGCTACACCAATCAACTTCTCATTGACTGACTTCGGCTTATGTGTACAAGATTGCTGTTGTTTGAATCTCATGGGACGAAAGTTCCTTCTCGAGTCATCGTGTGTATTTATGAGTCGAATTCGTGTAACCGGAAATCAAATGATGACAACTATAACAGGGAATGGTCGGGACCGACAGGTACTTCGAGTTATGCATAATATTCGAGACACCGGCATTCGACTCATCGGAATTTGACTGTATGTCCGACATAAATATTTTAGTAATGAGTGAGGAACAGTTCTTCTTGTTTCCCTCCAATCAAACTAACGAACACAGCTAGGACAACTTTTGACTCAATTCTTAAGCATGGATCACAGAATGTGCTTCATATGATGATGAATATTTTAAGAATATTTTTTTCTTTTTCACTACAAAGGATGGGAGGGTTTAAATTAATGAAACAGTTCTTCTTGTTTTATCACCTGAAGTGGTAAAGGCTTATTTTCACAACAGTAGAGGCTAGTAGTTGTGACTCTTGTTTATCTGAAGTACAGATCACACATGACCATCGCTGACAATCTCATTCCAGGGTAGCTACCAAGCTAGCCAGGCACCTCAGCTTAGAAGGTGAGTTGGCATGATTCTCCAGGTAGTCCAGTTGTACAGAACATGTCGAATGGTATTGTGATGGATATCAGTTTATCATATTTTGATGATATCACATTATGAGCTTTTTGCCATAACCATTGTATTGTGTGAGGTAACAAGCCAGGTTTTTTTCACTTCATCATGTTTTTGATTAACATATGGATGACAGCTTGTTATGAAACAAGCCAGTAATGAATGACTGTTAGCTTTGTAGTGTTCATCCAGGTGAGGTCTCCCGCTACTGTGATCTGTCATGTGTTCCTGCACTTTCAATCAGGATATAAATTTCTGTTTAATCATAATTCATTTTTGAGTGGCAGAATTAAAACTATCTTTTGCTATAATAGCCTGATTAATGCTACTTTTGTGTAAATTTATCTGTAATAGCGTGATGTGTGCTATGTGTTTTAGGTACACCTGCACTGGGCGTGGTCCTACAGAACCCCTTTACCAATGTCCTGAGTGTCATGGACTACTCCAAAATGGCAATGGTAAGACAGGAGATTTTGTCCAAAGTATGAATCAATATACAGCAAACATAGTAAAGCAAATATATACAGAGGGTGAATATGTGATTGTTGTCTTTAACCCCTTTTCTTTGGGAAAAAAAAGAATTCCTTTCTGCCACCATGTGTTTGAACATGGGGATTCTGTCATCCTGTCCTATTGATGTATGAAAGCTATTTAGAACACACAATTACATGTTTTAAGGATTTTCTTTGTGAAGGTGGTAAGATTTGAAATTGAAAGCATTGTTAGAAATAATAGAATCAGTACCAAGAGCATGCAGAAATCAAAGTTGAGATGGAGCAGACAGCTGTCCCAGATCTCAATTACATCACCACTGATACGCTACTCAATGAGATGAACTAACCTTTCTCACGTCCACAGCCATACAGGTTCCTGCCCTGGTATATGCCGTATTTCAAGAGGTCTCTCAAGTCCACAGGGACATCATTTTCCAGTGACATCTAGTAAGTATCTTTGATATCATGTTACATGTAACACTGGTCAAGTAGGTCTGGGGAAGACAGCTGATACAGTATACTGGTCTCTGGCTTGCCATCATGGTCATGACCAGTTGGATTAGGAACTGGAACTACGGATGAGGTCAAGTATATGGTGTGTGTTCCTCACATGGATTATTACTGATGCAGTCAGCAATACATTTGCCAGCTCCCAGACATGACTGATGCTTTAACATTGCTGTAATATTGCTGACTGCAATGGATTATGATTTAAGGCAGGTGGAAGTATCACACCTTGAATGAGTCAGTGGACATGTCATGTGTTGAATTAGGCAGGTGGTCATGTTGTCATGTGTTGAATGAGGCAGGTGGTCATGTTGTCATGTGTTGAATGTGGCAGGTGGACATGTTATGTGTTGAATGTGGCTGGTGCAAATGTTGTCATGTATTGAATGTGGCAGGTGGACATGTTCTGTGTTGAATGTGGCTGGTACACACATGTTTTGAATGTGACAGGTGCAAATGTTGTCATGTGTTGAATGTGGCAGGTGGACACATCATGCCTTGGATGTAGCAGGTGCAAATGTTGTCATATGTTGATTGTAGCAGGTGCAGATGTTGTCATGTGTTGAATGTAGCAGGTACAAATGTTGTCATGTGTTGAATGTAGCAGGTGCAAATGTCATGTGTTGAATGAGGAAGGTGGACATGTCATGTGTTGGATGAGGCAGGAAGACACTGCATGTGTTTAATCTAGCAGGTGCACATTATTTCTTATGTTGATTGTGTCTTTGGTTTAACTTTGCTCATTCAATAGATAACCAGTGATACAGACATGTTCTGTGTTTCAGCATCTGTGATGTGACATCACCTATCCTCATAATACATGCAAAAGACGACCGAGTGATACCGATAGAACTGGCATATAAGGTAATCATGGATTTGAGAAAGTTGATACCACCCTGGAATTACACAATTACTTGTTCATTGAGTTGAAATACACAAGACATCCCTGTTAAATAAAAACATGTGGTTGGACAAGACTTAGAACAGTGTCTTCCTCTCCCCAGACCCGTGAAGGTTAGAAGGTACCTTCAGTAACCCATGCTTGTTGTAAGAGGCGACTAACGGGATCGGGTGGTCAGACTCACTGACTTGGTTGACACATGTCATCGGTTCCCAACTGCGCAGATTGATGCTCATGCTGTTGATCACTGGATTGTCTGGTACAGACTCGAGTATTTACAGACTGCCGCCATATAGCTGGAATATTACTGAGTGTGGCGTAAAGCTAAACTCACTGACTCGCTTCCTCTCCGCAGCTGTTTGAGACGGCCCAGAATACACCAGCCAGGTCTAATGCCGTCACAGAGATGGTGGTGATGGATGGATGTGGTCACAACAATGCTTACTTGGATCCTGACTTCTCAAGGATTGTCACGTAAGTAACAATGTCAATGTTGCTTCATGGTTAGAAGGCAGTGTAAGGTAACAGTAAAAACCAACTGGACAAATTGTGTCTTGTTTCAGAGCAAATATTTATTACACATCTGTGCAGCTTGAAAGGGGTGTCTGATCCGTTCTTAAGAAAAGATTACGGTAGTAACGGACTGTCCTCAATGTACACCACAACCTGGTCTAAGTGTTAAGGGGCGGTGGGGTAGCCTAGTGGTTAATGTGTGCTAAGTGGACTAGTTCGCTCGTCAGGCGAAAGACCCGGGTTCGATTCCCCACATGGGTACAATGTGTGAACCTCATTTCTGGTGTCCCTTGCCATAATATTGCTGGAATATTGCTCCAAGTGGCATAAAATTAAATTTACTCACTCATTCACTTGAAAGGGCTTTTTGTAATATGTGTAACTATTTGGTTGATTTGATAGCATGTATTAAAATAATTCTGAACGTTTAGAAATTTGATAATAATGAGTGTTTTTGTTTCTTCCTCCAGAAAATTCACATCATCTCTTCTGCAAAACTAAAAGACTGTTTAATGGTCTGTCTGTTCCTGTTCTGTTGCTGCTTTGTGACCAGGAGTTTAGGAAGATATGTCAGTGCCTTGCTTTCATCCTATGTAACAACCTGAATTGGCTGATGTTTCGTTTTGTTTGGTGGCTGAACTGCAACGGAATAGCACGTCTGCACCATGAACATGTTACACATTTGTCACGGTTTCTGTCTTGTTGCTCAACTGATGCTTATACTGCTGGATTGTAAGATGTCTTCCTGTGCTGGGTGTGATTGTACAAAGGGTGTGACCATACTGACAAGGTGATGGTAACTACGATGCCTTTACATAGACTAAGTTACTCACTAAGTTTAGTGCTGAAGTGTTTTTGTCTCGTGATTAATGAAAAAGGCAGTTTATTTGAATTGATGATAAAAAATTGACAACCCAAGGGTCCACTGCCATGTTTGAAGAATTAATGATGAACAAATATATTAATGTCATGATAATGTACTATTTTTCTGAACTATAGAAAACAGTTCGCTATATTTTTCTTTATCTCAACATATTTCTAACAATATGAAAAATTCCTTCAAGTGCCATATTCTTGTCTGTGATATTTAGGAATAGAGTTTGAAAATCTTAACAACTTAAATTTAAAAGAACCCACGAATCCGTTGGTATATGACCAGATGGTGGCCACATGAACACCTAGTTGTGGGTACAGCACCGTGCTGTGAACTTGGACAAAGTACTGTGACTATGTGTCCCAATCCACCCAGCTATGAATATATAAAAAAATATCAAAAATATCTGACAGCTTTCCTTATGAAGACTTGAAGAAATAATGTTTTATGTTGACATGGTCAAGTGCGTGGAGTGTACCGTTTTTATATTTTGCAGCAGAAGATTGCTGTCATTTCTTTTGCCTCAGCTTTAACATTAATAATGAACAGTGCTTAATACATGTTTACAAGCGATTCTTGCCCTCATTGCTGGCCATAAATTTACATTTCTAGGTCAGTTTATACTTCAATGCTTAAAACATAAATGAGGAATGTTTCAAAAGAAGAAGGGATGAGAAAAAAATGTTCAGCTTCTGTCATAGAAAAGATTGCATGTTATGAATGAAACAAATACTTTGTATCCATCAAATTGTTCAAGTTACCCATAATTTTTAATGGTGGGTCGCTGTTATGTTACTTCAGTTGGATAAAAAGCAATACAGCATGTGAACTGTTGAAAGGGTAGCCAAGAGTGTTGCTGACACCAGAAGGGACAGCTAGCGTAGTCAATGATCATAATGTTAACTCAAGATTGTAGCATTTCTCATGTTTTACCATCACTATAGATGTATTTTTTCACATTTACGGGGGTTGTGTGTTTTCAAACATACCAGAATCTACAACGATGATATTAGGATATATGTTACACAATGAAGCATTATTTTACATATAACCAGTGTTACAGGTTTGTATGTGTGATGTGCATGTGGTGGGAATCTGGTCTTGGGATGCAGCTGACCTAGATAACATTGATGTACATGTAGATGGTATATGTCCAAATTGCAGATGAAGATAGTCATGGTTGATGTCTTGGTATTGATAATTCTGTAGCGTGTTTGCACTGGTTTGTAACACATTAGAAACGCCAGATTTCAAGTTGATGGAATATATAATTATTCTGTGATGACTATTTTCATAATTTTCTGAAGTGATAACAGTATAATATTACCATGAAGCACCCTTGGAACCAACAGTTCCACTGAAGTATCACATGTCAAACTCTTCCAGTACACAGTATATCAGATGCATGTAATCAGTAGCCATGGATGAATTAATTTTAGTTTTGCAAGACTGTCAAGATTTTAATTGACTTACAGTTCCTAAAAATGTTTTTAGGTAAAATCTGACAAAAGTTTTAATAACTGGTTTGACACAATTAAAATATCAATGTAAGATAATATTTAGTCTCGAGGATTTGTTGAAACAGATTTAAAAAATTCCCCACAGTTGTGATGATAATTATAGGAATGAAAACAATGCATTTATATATTTGACTGAGGCCATGCAATTTACTCAACATTGTAAAACATCAAACCATCTAAAACAAACGAATTTACTCAAAGACAAAATATTTCTGATCAACATCTATTGTTTTCAATTACCTCACATATGTAGTATGAAGTGTTTCTATATGGAATCTGTGTGTCATGGTGTCTTGTTAGTGTCTAGTTGTTATTCTGGAGGGATGGCACCGGGGAGGTGTTTTTCTCAAGCAGTACTGTGAACTCGTGGTCTTTGTACTGCTTTTAGTATTTTAGCAGTATTGAATTTTTGGATTCAAACTTGGTTTTCTTCATGTTATCAAGTCACACTAACAAGAGGCCTACCCAGTAACTTTAATATGCTGTTTATAAAAGCATTGCCTCTGCATGTTGTAAAGTAAGACCATTTTCAAAGCAATATTATGATATTCTAACATATATTTATGTTTTGTTTGTCTTTTAGGATTTCATTTCTTTTTGCATTAGTTTTTAATGATTAATTGTTCTAGTGCTATGGTAAAGATCTATCTTCCCAGAACACTTTTCTCAAGGACTCATGTTGCATAACCGGTATCAAATAGTGGTATTTATAATCTGATATCTGTAATACACACTCTGAAACTGTTTGGGATATAATTTGAGTTTTTTATTGTCCTTATTAATGTGCAGTTTACCATGTTTTACCTAAGGGATCATGTCAAAACTTCAGTGAAGCCAAAAGGTTAATTCTGTTTTGTTTATTAACATAATTACTGTATCATTATTTAAGCTTATAAACTGCTTTTTACTTTTCTGTTCTGTTTTAGTAAATTGATTGCACAATATGCTTTGAAGGCTTATGTGATTGTGACTGTGTTTTCTTGCTTTTTGATCAAAGATTTTTACATAAACTTCCAAATGAATTTTAAAGATGGTTGACCATAGCAGCAAAGCAGTAGGAAAGCCTGAAGTGACGCTGGTCTGTTTTTATGAAAAACCTGTTCTGACAAGTATAGTGCTGACAGGCCTAGTGAGTGAGTGGTTTTACGCCGCTAGTACCAATATTCCAGCAATATCACGGCGGGGGACACCAGAAATGGGCTTCGCACATTGTACCCATGTGGGGAATCGAACCCGGGACTTCAGTGTGACGAGCAAATGCTTTAACCACTAGGCTACCCCACCGTCCCGACAGGCCTAGAATCGTATTTTGGGTGGTCTGAGATTTGAATGTATGATCATAGGTTCCTGGAGTCCACCAGGGAAGCAACTCTGCACAGTGAATAGCAGCACATAAGACAACTGCTTTCTTATGTCAACAGTATTTTCCAGTGACATTCTTTGTTATGAAACTGTAGTGCTATGAACTCATCCAGGGTAGCTTTAGCGTTGGCTCGTCACGCCGAAGACCCAGGTTCGAATCCCCACATGGGCACAATGTGTGAAGCCCATTTCTGGTGTCCCCCGCCGTGATGTTGCGGGAATATTGCTAAAAGCGGCGTAAAACCAAACTCAGTCAGTCCAGGGTAGCTTAGTGGTTGAAGCATTTGCTCATCACACTGAGCCCATTTCTGGTGTTCCTCTCCAAGATATTGCTGGAGTATTGCTAAAAGTGATGTAAAACCATACTCACTCACTCACTTACTCACTCCTCGACACCCATTCCACATCTTGTGTGGTTCATTTGTATACAATCTTTGTATTTCCAGCTTCAGTTTATTATGAAATATATTGTTTGACAGTGGTTTACACAATATTTATGATTTATTTATTGAACAAAATAGAAATGTCAAAAAGTTACCTCAACAAAATCTCAACGCAGTCTTTAGCCAGACAGTACTCAAAACACCATGTATATCACATGGCAACTGTTGTCAGATGACAATCCTCTTTATCAATGACTACCTTTGGCATCTGTGATCTTTCTTGTCATAAGTTTTGTTATTTCTGAACAAGACACCACCCTAATACTGCTGCAATATTTCTGAAAGACATATCACCTGATGTTTATGGCATGTCAGGTGAATTTTTTGTCATCAAACAAACATATTTTTTCATCTGTGCAGCTTATTGTATGTACATTGTATTTCTGTCAACTCAGTGGTTTGTTTCTCATGGAATAAATATTATTTCTTTCCACATTTTATTTTTACTTCCAGGGACAAATAAATCAGAACAATTGCAGATGCTCACTTGCTAGTCATGTCAGTAATTAAGTGTAGGTAGATCTGAGATTTAGTGCAGTGAGACTTTAACATACTCTTTGATATACAGTTTGTTGATTGTGCTGTATTTTTAGATTGCTTTTGCACAAAGACAATTATATAAAATGTATAGCTGAAATGGATAGAATTTGCCTAAAAATTCTGCATGTTATCAAAAACTTACGGTCCACTTTAAGTTAGTAGCAGCCCATATTCTAGGAATAATGGGTTACTATTAAAGTATTGTTATGTGACATCATAATGAGACAGTGCTATGTTTGTTTCTGTATGTTATGTTCTATGACATTGCTGTTCTAATGTTCTAAGTATCAATGATCTCAGTTTGGAGGTGTTTATTATTTTCACTAAACTGATGCTATTGTTATTTGTCAATTCTTAGCTTCAAATTCTGTCCATTTTAGCTGTAATAGAGGGTAACATTTCATTCAGGGTATTGTTATATGCTGAAGCCCTCTGTCTCTACTGACCTCCATTGTGGTGCAGTTAATGGCAGACCTCAGGCATCTGGAAATGATATTGCTCTGCAACATATCATTATTCATAATACATATACGTATAATTATATAGGTATCTTGTTTCAAAACTCTGTTTAACAATGTCAACTTAGACTATAAACCCTTTTAAATGAGTTGACACTGTATTGTATAACAACAAATGAATCAAAGCTATTTTATTACATATGCTGTACATTTTTAATGCTGTAAGTGTTTTTTTTCTGGTAATGTTTACTCACTACTGTTGAATCTCTAGTCACCATTAACAGCATGCCATCTGTGACCAAATGAACAATGCAAGTGTAGACATACAGTTAACATCCTGAATGCTGGGAATGCTTTTATTGCAAAGTGTGAAGTATTGTCAATTACTGCTTGTCTGAACCAGACTAGATTCACAGCTGGGATGTAGATAGCTTTAACAGCTGTCACCTCCCTTGATCACTTGTTGAATACCTGATGATAAATGAGTTTTGATCATTGCATGGTTGCCCATTGCCAGTTTTGTATTTTTAATATGAACTATTTTGCTCAGAAACCATGGGTCCACAGAAGTTTATATTGGCATGCTTGTTCCATGGCATACACTCAAAATATTTTTGTGTACACCCAAACTTATTCCAAAGGTTTTTGAATCTTATTTTCAATAGGTCAGCCATAGCAGCAATACTGAAAACTAGGTTTATAGACATGACTCAGACATATTCCTCTGAATGTAACGGAATTTGGTATATGTATGTTCATAGTAGCACTCAACACAAACAAGTTGACATCAGGCATGTGCCTTTGACTATACAGTTTAAATCTTAGAATACATTCTTAGAAAACGTCTTTTGTCAGAAAATGAAGTAGTGATGCAGCTGAAATTTGTATTTTTCAAATAAATGATCAAATTTGTATTGGAGGGAAATATTCACACACGTTTGTATATTTTGTATTTCTGTCATTGTCATCTTATACAATAAACAGTCTTTCTGTAAAGCTGATTTGTCTTTACTAAACATGATGTGCTGATCAAGGCTTCAATCAGCATTCCTTATTATCTCTGTAGATTGAAGTACATGAGAGTTAGGGACTGCCTGTAACATGAGAGTTAGGGACTGCCTGTAACATGAGAGTTAGGGACTGTCAGTAAGAACAGGTCACCTGTAATCCATGCCTATTGCAAGAGGCTACTAAATGAATTGTCGGGCTGTGACTTGACTGATTGTGAGGCATTGTACACCAACGGGGTGCTCACAATATTGATCACTGGACTTGCTTGTCCATACTGAATCATTGACAGGCCGTTGACATATAGCTGGAATCTTTCTCAGAGTGGCATTTAACAAATCAGAAAGGTAAGACGGCGGTCTTTATATGATTGAGTCCAGATAATCCAGTGATCAACATCATGCGCATCGATCTACGCAGTTGTGATACGATGACATGTGTCAAACAAGTCAGCGAGTCTTACCAACCGATCCCGTTAGCCGCCTCAGACGACAAACATGAGTTGCTGAAGATCGATTCTTACCCAGATCTTCACGGGTGTTTTGCTTGTCACAAAGAATATCACACCAAAATTTGATTCGGTAAACGACTGGCCATTACAACTCAAAGGGACAACTAATTTTAGTTTATAACAGTAGTTCGTTTTACGCATTTCGAAGCCCCAAGAGGCCGGGAGCATAAAGGCAGATATATTTACTATAAGTTCGTTATTGTCGACTGTATGTTTCACCATCAAATGTTAAAACTTTCCCCCAAATATGTTCGAACGAGAAGAGCATCACAGAAAAGCCAATCAGAATGTGTTACTTGATCTGAGGGTATAGTAGAAAACACTTATACGATACATTTTGAGTTATTTATGATTGGAGATGAAATTAACATCAACGAATTATGACGAGTCTTTACAGAGCTGCTTACAAAGACAATTGACTTGTCCGGTATGTCAGCATTCCAGTCAATATTAATATATTGAAATAGTTTATTAATTTGTTTTTGAAAAACTGCTTAAATATTCATAGAAAATTTCAGTTTTTGTAATATTGTAAATCATAAGGTGTATCTATAATTGGAGGTCCGTATTACATAGCTCCTTTTAAACGTCAATTCACGTACATAAAAATCTCTGTCACTCTTTCACGTCGATCCTTCGAAATATTAATTTATTTGTATTGCCAGTTAAAAAGTGATATCATAGATATTTTGAAACTGATACTATATATCGCTTCTAAAATTATCGATAGACATCAGCATTAATACTTCCAACTTCCTTCCAAAGTCTTAATGAAATATTAAGTGACGCTTATAATGTATGAACTTTTCTAGCTGGTACTATTCTATTTCTATTCCATTTTCTAATTGTATCTGGGGGCGGTGGGGTAGCCTAGTGGTTAAAGCGTTGGCTCGTCACACTGAAGTCCCGGGTTCGATTCCCCACATGGGTACAATGTGTGAAGCCCATTTCTGGTGTCCCCCGCCGTGATGTTGTTGGAATATTGCTAAAAGCGGCGTAAAACCGAACTCAGTCAGTCAGTCAGTCTAAATGTATCTTTATATTAATTTGTCATTTCATGTTACAGTGTGATATAAAACAAGTTAAACTAACCTTATTATCTCCCTTTAGTCTGTTTTTTATTAGTCCATAAGAACACAAACCATTTGATTTTCCGAAAATGGCTTCATCATACAAAATATTGCTGAATGAAGCCAGTGAACGCTACTTGCCTCACTACATCTATGCCTGCAATGTCCATGTTATTTCTAAACACATGAAGCCTCTTTGAAGCGTCCCATATATATCTATACACATCAAGCATGAACAAAGTCAGATATAACCAGCGTTTATAAGTAATTGCGTTTTACATGTTCACCACCCGCAGACCCTTTGTGTGTCTTTCGACAAAAATATTCTCTTCAGTAGAACTGAACGTTTCAGGACGTTCGTTCTCGCCCTCAACTCCAGCATACAGATCTCCACATATTGGAATACGACACCACACAAACAACCGGGTCCAAGTAATAACCTTTCTCCTATTTGTTGTAGACTAACAACTAGTCTCTGAAATGAACATATTTTACTGAAAAAAAATATTGTTAAAAAAAAAATATAATGAAAAGGAGCCCTGAGACTTTCTTCATTTTCAGAAGTTGAGGAAATCTAGACTTGCCACATTTTCTAGTATTGCGTGGTCTTTCTTGGATTTATTTGCTTCAGGGTCTGTATGACAGACTACTATTTGTTGTAACAAGTGAACATTTCCACAGTTTAGTCATGGAACATCAAATTAGTTTCAAGACTCTTACAGTTTATTACCAAAATAGGCTAAAACCTCTTTCTCTCACGACAGAAATTCATACATAGCGTTTCGGTAAACGCTTCTCCGTTGAAGCACTGTAAAATAACTTGACTTGTGGTGGAAGAGAAGGGTGTTCATGTTAAACTGAAAATGTCATATCTAGTTTAATCAAACATCCAAATGCGATACCACAATTCATCTCAGATATTTCTATTTTTATTTCTTATACCGATGACAATGACACAAGTCTGGTTAACATGTAACGACTGACTGACAGACTGAGTTCGGTTTTACGCCGTTTTTAGCAATATTCCAGCAATATCACGGCGGGGGACACCAGAAATGGGCTTCACACATTGTACCCATGTGGGGATTCGAACCCGGGTCTTCGGCGTGACGAGCCAACGCTTTAACCACTAGGCTACCCCACCGCCCCAACATGTAAGGAATCAGTGAGGAATGTTCAGGTCTTGTTAGTGTTATGAGGCAATGAGCAGGCTTGTCAACAGACAACAGTATAAGGATTAACACCGAAATGCTGAATAACTATTAAATACAAATGTCATCCTCAGCGTATCTTGCCTTTTCTGTTACTGCCCAACTTTAAAGAAATGCCAAACAGTTCACACATAATTTGTTGAAATGGATGTGCCCGAAACTGAAGATAATACCATCGCAAAAACTGAATGAACGCCCGGCGTGTCCAGTGGTACGAGTGTTCAAATCACATATATATATCAATCAGCTTGAGGCCATGATGGAATGACCAACAGAAGCTGAGGCCATGAGACAGACAGACAGACAGACAGACAGACAGACAGATAATTTATTTGAGTCTCACCTCAACATCATACATATGTACATAGAAGGGAATAATAAAACGTTGAGCCAATCTTTACAGACTTATGAGAGACTATATCATATAAAATACAAAACTAAAAGAATATAGGATATATAATATATATTTACAGTACGAAGTTAAGAGTATAAAAGGTCATGACGACGCCGAATGATAAGAAAGCAGGTTTTGGCTGTATTAAAAGACACCTGTGGATTGGACAGTAAAAATCGGATCTTATCAAAGTCACTTAAAGACAAAAAGCTCACAATAAGCTGCTCACATTTACTAAAAAGGACATCTCTTTCAAAAGAATAAAGTGGACAGTGCAGTAAAACATGACATTCATCTTCAATAAAATCATTACAGTAAAAACATGTTCTTTCCTTTAGAGGAGTACAATTATAACGTCCAGTTTCAACTCTTAGAGGAGCAATACCACATCTAAAAAGTGCTAAAGCACGTCTATAAGAGCGAGGCATGTGGCTAAATAAATAAAATTCAGGATGATATTCATCCTTAAAGGTAGCATATGTTCTTAACTTATTACCTCCATTGCTGAGAGAACGACCAACAGAATCACCACACATGGAGGTGCCTTCATAATACGTTAACTGTTAAAATGAGTGAGTGAGTTTAGTTTTACCTTGCACTCAGCCGTATCCAAGCCATATGGCGGCGGTCTGGAAATAATCGAGCTTGAACCGAACAATCCAGTGATCAACAGTATGGGCATCGATCTATGCAACTGGGATACGATGACATGTGTCAGCCAAGTCAGCGAGCCAGACCACCCGATCCCTTTAGTCGCCTCTTACGACAAGCATGGGTTACTGAAGATCAATTCTAACCCGGATCTTCATGCGTTAACTGTTTAAAACATCATGGGTACATATCTCAAAGATTACAAGCTGACTGAAAGACTACTTGATAACTCCCCCAAATATCTTTCCGCTTTACGAAAAAGCAATTATGTGCGTACATCTGAAAAGAAGGAACAAGGAAAATTCAGTCAAGAAGGTGCGTTGAACACTTTCTGTAGATATTTGTTGAGTTGACTTTCACAATTTCAATTAATAAACAGTGTGGTAAGTGACCTGTGACAATCAGTATGTGTTGTAAAATTGAATTTGTTGATGTCGTGGCAATAAAAGCCCCTCGTTCATTGACCCGGAACACTACCAGGTATACAAACAAAATGGACTTTTAGAAGAAGATATTATTAGGTTGATACCAAGAATGGGCTTCACTCATTGTACCGAAGAGGGGAATCAAACACGGGTCTTCGACGTGACGAGCAAACGCTTTAACCACAAGGCTACCCCACTGCCCCTTGTAATGAAACCCATTGGTTTTGATATCAAAAGGTTAGTTACCAACGTACTACTGCCTGTCAGGGGCGGATACAGCTTTTTAAGAAATTGTGTGTGTGCGTGCGTGCGTGCGCGCACAGTTTAGAAAGGGGGTGCACAGTTCATTTTCACTCGTTTTCACGAGTTTCAAAGGACATTTAATAAATTTTCAGGACGAAAGAGGGGGTGCGCACCCCTCCAAACACACACACACCCCACTCCCCCGGGGGCTATGTATCAATACACTACGCTCTGTGGAAGAACATGCACCTCTATTTAAACTAATGATAATAACTGAATAGGAAATTAACATTGTGTCATCAAAAATGACATGTAATGTTCAGGTAGGTATTGTGACAAGCATGGGTTTCCCCTCACGCCGCTGTGCTGTTCGTTGGGAAAGTGATGACGTCGACGGGAATGCCCCAGGCTTCTTTTGTCAGTCAGTGACGTCACGTGGGTAAGCCCATCCTTGTTCATGATAGTGACACTTACGTACATCCTTTATTTTAGATTAATATGTAGCATAGGTAATCCTCAAACAAAAATTCAAAAACAAAACCCCCCAATCAATTCTGCATGCTGAATAAGCTTTTGACCTGTAACTACTCTGATATGGAGGCTTTGCTACATTTTACCCCACACCTGTCAGTGATACTTCAGACTATATACACCATCGTCCCACAGTCAGAGCGCTGGCAGCCTCGTAACCACTGTACGGCATGTACAACTACAAAAGCAATACACGAGGACGATAGATGGTGACGGTTGGACGGTCCAGCAGTTTCCGGGTTATTCCGCTCGTTAATTGATAACGGCATGACATTTATAGCTGTAAGCTGTAGTCTGTCGTCAACAACACACAAACATCAGCCGTGAGGAACACCAGACTGTCACACACACACTCATATACTTGAAACAAAGGCCATTGACGGGTCTATCGTAACAGAGAGCCTTCAGCAGACAAACGAAAAATGTTATCAATTCTTCTATTGACAATCTTTGCTGTGCTGGTGAGTACATATTGTTTATATATTTACATTAACTTAATTCACATTATATTAGGCGATCGATGAGTATATGAATAAATACGTATTGGGAAAATGAACATAATATAAGAATGTATTGTTAGGTCAGCCTTTCAGAGAACATGTGGTGTCATCGATATTTGATTGTGAATGATAAACACGTGCTGTAGCTATAGACAGGATCCAACAATCGATTCTGTTGTTAGCAGAGAATAGTTATGCTCATGATTTTGGACATGTATTTGTCGCTTTTATTTGACAAACTACCGATAGAATATATCTTTTGTTTAGGTTCCAAATGTGTTTTTTGCTAGGAGGTTATTAAAGTATTAACTTAAGAACAATCCAGCATTGTAATCAGTACATTGAACTATATTATCGGTTGACAGAGGTACATGACATTATGAAACGTCTGCTTGATAACACAAACACATCTGTATGAGTCATGATATATAACTTTGCCAGTTGTTCTCGGAACTGCTGGTGACGCATCGTTCCTTGTATCTCCGTCATTGAAACACAACGATGTGTACGTTCATTGTTTTGATAATGGTTCAGTTAAGGATGTGAATTAGTTTGCTGAAATATTTTCATGTAGCAAAACTGTAATGGAATTAAAGAATGTATGGTTCATGTGACATGTGAAAATTAACAAAGGCATTATATTTCCCAGTGTCTGCTTCAGGTACATGGAGAGAAGTTATCGTCAGTACACAGAAACCAAACACTGATAGTGTCGTCTGCTCCGGATCAAAACGTGTCTGTAGCATCAGAGCAAACGACAAGCGTTGTCACCTCTCTGAGTGACAGATCTGCCACAGATACAACACCTGACCTTGTCCACACTACTGCCGCAGTAACATCTACAACATCAGGCGGTACCACCACCGCGGCAGTGACAACGTCGTTGTTACAAAATGTGGCGAAAACAGACGTAAATGAAACATTCAGTCATAATATTATCTCTACAAACCGATCAAGCGTGACAACCAAAGAAGGCGAACAAGACGATAATGGACAAACAGACTCACACAGTGGCATCAGCACCAGTGAATCTAGCACTGGTCCTGTTACCGAGTCCTGTATAGGTGAAGGGTGTGCATATAGACTCATAAAGCGTATCCCTCTACCCCAAACTGTAGGGGGAAGCACTGTTTCCAGTCTCCTTACAATACCGACTTCTCCTGCACTGGAGACACGCCAAAGCGTAGTACCATCTACAGCAAAACCAACAAGTGTTATAAGAACGACTACTACTGATCCATCGGTAAACCTTGACCATCAAGTGCCTGTTTCATCTTCAAGCATTGGAAGCAATGTTGGGGGTTATGAAACGACTACTTCGATGTCATCTAACGTCGAACACGTTGGTCAGGTTTCGGGGGATGTTGGCATGGTAAACCATGACCATCAAGAACCTATTTCATCTTCAAGCATTGGAAGCAATGTCGGAGGTAATGAAGCGACAACATTAATGTCTTTCAACGACAAAACAGATGATTTAAAACTTGGACACAGTGCCTCATCCAAAGATGCTAATCTGAAACACGAAGCTGTTTCTGACAGAAATGAAATGTCGAAGACATTATTTGAACATCCACAATCTGGTTTTTCTCATCTGTCTCTGACTGACGTGTCCATCCTCGGTGTCTTCGTAGGCTTTGCCGTAGCTGTGCTGGTCGTGGTTATTGTCGTCGTTCTCAAGCGACAGGGAGAGCGTGGGGAGAAGAAAATGACCAGTTTGAACAAGGAAACAAGGAGAATTGACATGCGAGCATTGAGGCGAAACACAATAAACGACGTGAAGGCTTCCCTGGTAGGAATACCGTCCAATGGTGATATTTGGTTGGAGATGAACAGCGATTCATCCATTGTTGTGTAACGGACTACTTGCTGAAGATGAACAGAGACTCATCCGTTGTTGTGTAACGCACAAATGGTTGGAGATGAACAGGGACCATCCGTTGTTGTGTAACGCACAAATGGTTGGAGATGAACAGAGACTCATCCATTGTTGTACTACAGACACTTGGGAGATGTGCTGAGACCAATCCACTTCAGAGTGAAAGACATTGTCTTATTTACTTACAACCTTGGATGGTGTGTAGCTTCTGTCATTTTGCGGTATGGTGCTTGGATAATCTTGTATGATATTATTTTATCGATGTTGATAAGTTCTTTGTCTTGAGTACATGGAACACCGACCTTCCACAAACGCGAACAGTTTCATCAAATTCATGTACCTTCCGGTTTGCGATATGCTTTAAGGAAAATAGTTTCGTCACTTTAGCAAATATAAGACGTTTCAAGCAGTCTTCATACAGATACAAAAAGGCAAAAGGTAAACGTAAAATAACAGCTCATCGTATAACAACAAGATTCATTTTGGATCTATGTTCTCAAAAAAAAGGTTGTGAAACAAATTCCATCCAACCAACGTAAGTTGATGTCTCATCCAAACTATTCATATCTTTATTGTTTGTATATTTTGACTATTATATTTTGGATATGATTTTTTCATTCCAGTTTACACAAGTATTACTGAATTACTTTGTACTTTTATAATGATATTTGTAATAAAACCATAAACTTTGAGATAGATACTTCAAGAGTTTTTAAAGTTACAGAATGTTATTTTTATAAAGGTATCGTATCCAAGGCTTGAATCCAGGTTATCCTTGGTCAGTATTGTGTTTGTCTGCACTTCCCCGGTATTCGTGGGTTTACCCATGTTGTACACGTATAAATCAGTGTAGAAAGCCGTATCGGGCTTCCCTCACATATCAAGCTTCACCAAACTCACTCACTGTAACAAAACTAAATATTAATACATCTGATAAAATATGGTTTATATGACAGGGACAAATAGGTCACATTGACTATAATCAGTCCGAATAACTATGTCAGTAGACCATGGATATCTACGTCATTGGCACACTGGCCCAGTTCAATTCATCAACCTGGATCTGTATACACGGTTAATACAACCCAAGGGCATTGGTATGGGTTAGAGATGCGTTAGCGAAATAGTGGTGAAATCTGTATCAAGAAGACCACTGGAAATCAGTGATGACTTTAGGTGATATTGTACACAACAAATAGCAACAATTAATACAATTAAAGGTTCGGTCCGGTGCCCGAGTCGTACCTTAATACTTCAAAGAGTGGTACTGGTTGTAATCCTGGCTTCAAGACCATCCGTATATTTCATGCGTTTCTCTTCTTTAACGCCCAAAGTGTAAAGAATCGAATCTGGAATTGACAACCCAGTGATCAACAGCATGAGCATCGAACTACTCAACGATACGATGACATTTTGTCAACCAAGTCAGCGGGCCTGTCGACCCGATCCCGATCTTACTACAAACATGTGTTGCTGAAGATCAGTTCTAACCCAGATGTTCTTGGGTCTGTGAGAAAAGGGAAAGAAGAGTTTTAGCATCACATCCAATTTATTATTACACGTTTTTCAAACTCGTGTAGTGAGAAAACGCACACGCATTTAACCCATATTTTGCCATATACTTGAAGCATTATATGTTCTCTGAAGTCACCTTGAATAACATTAAACATACATCAAGAAACTAAGGAGGTATTTGTGTTCGCATCAATCTCGAACTCTCTCTCAAGCTGGAGATATGATGTAACTGATCAGAACGGAATATTCAGTCTGGGAATCAGTAATTCCACCATCAACGTCAACACAGACAACACAACACCTCCCCCAACGACCACGATGGCTCCAAGTAAATCTTCAGTTGTTATAGCTTCCACCAAACCCTGCACCTCACAAGTCCTGTTATGATACCGGTAACTCTTCCGTCTCTCAAATATCTTCTGTAACATTCCTGACGCAACGAGGTAACCCATGCTAAAACAAACACACAAACATACACCTCACTGGCTAAGTCGGAAATTTACCCTTATAATTGACAAAGATAATGTATGGATTTCGAATATCTCTTTACAACTTTCGAGTCAACATTATTCAGGTCATTGTTAAATATGTCTCATACGGAATCTGTATATAAAAATTGTAACCGTCATTTGGTAGAAGATGAGTACCATGTCTTTTATATATGTAAGAAATATACTCACTTGAGAAAAAGTTTTCTTACCTCGTTACAGAAACATTATAACGGTAGAATTATGTTCTGTTCTGTCATGTTAATGTACTACGCTCGATAGCTTTATATTCATATAAGTTATTTAAAATGAGATCGACAGAGATGTAACACTGGGTATGGGACCTAAATATACTTTATCTTACAAATGTACTATGGGCCATGTGGCTCATACAACTTTATGGATGACAATTTCTTGTTTATTGCATAGAGCGACGTTTCGATGTAGATTCTAACATCGTTTTCAAGCTTTTTTATGTAGATACTTACATGTCGCTCTATGCAATAAACAAATTGTCATCCATAAAGATGTATGTTTCATTTTTGACTCACCAACTTCTAAAATGCCGATCAAACAATTCATTGATTGAGTGATGAACAAAACCCCTGGTTGAGCAGTATGGGGAACGTACACACATATTAATGTTATATTAAACCAATGCCCGTGAACATCACATCGTAATTCTTAAGTGTGTGGAAGGCTCCTTTCCCTTCCTCCATACTTACACATTCTCCAGGTCATCCTTCAGCGGTGAATGTAATGGAACACCGAATGCGCTTTGTTGCCAACTGATCCTTTCCCCAAGTGCAGCCAATCTGCAGTCTTCATCTGTGTATGTCTTTATTTGGTGACTGTACATAAACACAGCATGTTTGTCTGTCTGGACTCTTCTGTAATGCGCATCATAGTCAGTGGACATTATGAACGGGTTTGTTTCATTTTCTTTCTTCATTCTTGCCCAGGCCTGTCGTACATCCTTCCTGGGGGAGGTCTGGTGAAGCATTATCAGAGGACAAATACATGAAACGCTGTGTCATAATTTCTTGGCATATAATATCTCCAGGCATTTAAACTTTAGCAAGCCCCACTTTGAACCAAAAGGATTAAGTTTTAGAAAGCCCAACTGTGAAACAAACGGACTAAGCTCTGGCAAGCACCACCTTTAACCAACAGCAGTAGTACCAACTATAATGACGAACTGACTTTAAGTAACATTGAGTTTGATCAATTCAGACACATAATTTCCCACCACCTGATCTAAGAGTTAACGGGGGCGGTTGGGTAGCCTAGTGGTTAAAGCGTTCGCTCGTCACGCCGAAGATCCGGGTTCGATCCTCCACATGGGTACATGTGTGAAGCCCATTTCTGGAGTCACTCGTCGTGAAATTGCTAAAATATTGCTAAAAGCGGCGTAAAACCATATTCACTCACTCACTAATTATGAGTATATTGCAGTGTTGGCATACAGCTGGAATACCGCTGAGTGCGGCGTTAAGCACCAACCCAACCAACCAACATAGAAGTGTACGTGTAATAACAATGTTTATCAGAAGTTAGGTATCGCAATTAAAACCCTTTATATGAAACCTTTCAGCAAATTTCAAGCATATTATCTATCAGACAATTGCCTAATGCTATGAATACTAACCTTAAATAGTTCGTAATTAACGCCTTCAATAGGCATTCCCAAAGTGTAGTCCTGCCTCTCTACCAGCTCCATAAGGTTTCAAAATGGCGGCTTCTGTTTTGTCACTGATAGTCCGGCTGCGAGATTTGCAGAATAAATGGACACTGTGACAATTAGAAATAGCCACCAGAACGCTATGAGCACTTTACTGCCACACGATTGCGGGGTCAGTTTTGGATGTGTCATGGACAAATCTGACAAGAAAATGTGATACATAATAAAACATATACACCCAAAATTAATAATTGAAATGGACAAACTGAAAACAACATCAGACGTGGATGCAGGTGACGATGAAGAAATCTGAAATCACAAATTTGTGTAAATGTGCATATTTTGAAGCTTTTAAAAATCGGTAAACAACATAAACTCTGTCAAAAAAGAAACGCAACCCCCTGTATTTTAGAGATTTTGATCTGAAGTTTTAAGACGACACAGCATTGTTATTATTTAAGACAGAAGTCTGAAATTTGGCAGAATAATAACCAAGATGGGCATGTTTAAAATTGTCATTTCAAAAGTCATCTCACAGACACCAGTTTGTCACCAGGGGGGCGTCTTTCTCAGTATCTCGTATGAGCACCACGAGCTGCAATCACTGCACGGCATCTCCTTGGACAAGAACGGATAAGACGCCGGATTCTTTCCTGGGGGGAATGGCTCTCCACTCCTCCTGCAGTGCAACGCCGAGCTGTTGCAGCGTCTGTGGCGGCGGCTGACGTTGACGTACGCGTCGACCCAGAGTATCCCACAGGTGTTCAATAGGGTTGAGGTCTGGTGATTTAGAGGGGCTATGGCAAGACATTGACGTTGGAATTCTGCAGAAAGTTCATTGTTGCACGTGCAGTATGAGGCCGGGCGTTGTCTGGTTGAAAAATCTGTGTCTGTTGGTCAATAATCGGGAGAAGGTGAGGCTGTAATACGTGGTTGATGTAACGTTGGGCTGTCAGGTTCCCTTCAACGATCACCAAGTCTGATTTCTGGTTGTATGAGATGGATCCCCAAACCATAACGCTTTCTCCGCCAAATCTGTCACCCTGTCGGACGCAGATGGGCGCAAAACGTTCATGACGTCTCCTATACACGTTTTTCTTCCGTCGTGATGTTGCAAAAGAAAACAGGATTCATCAGAAAACCAGATGCGCCTCCAGTTTTGTAAAGTCCATATCCTTACGTTGTTGCACCACCTGAGTCGTCGGCGGAGATGTAGGGGCGTAGTACAGGTCCAACAACTGGTCTACAGGCACGTAAACCCGCTTCTTTCAGACGGTTCCTAATCGTTTGAGCTGACACTCTCCTCAAACCTGGTATTTGTGTGGCAGTCACGGTTGGTAGGGCATGCCGATTACGCAGGTGATGGACGGATGTACCGATCTTGAAGGGGTCGTGATTCTTGGCCTTCCACTTCTCGGGCGATCGTTGGTCAAATTGAAGTTGTTGTAGCGGCTCCAAAGTCGGGATATCGTTGTTTTGTGAACATTTAGGTGCCGTGCAACAGTTCCAAAACTTTCTCCGGCGAACACGACCAATGGCGATATTTCGGTCGGCAGCACTCAATCGTGGCATTTTTCACACAGCTTTTCGGCGACAAATGAATGAATATAATACGAAAGCACATGGGCTTTTATACACTTCATTAACTGCCATTTTCATGATTTGCATGTGTTTTTTGTGCGAAGTCACCATGAGGGTCATTTCATGCGTTGTGACGGAATAAGCAATAAAATATTCGAATAATTATAATAATCAAATAATCTCAGGGGTTGCGTTTCTTTTTCTTTAATTATCTCTATCTATACAATCATATCTATCTACATATGTATATAGAGGCGGCGGGGTAGCCTAGTTGTTAAAGCTTGTGCTTCTCACGCCGAAGACCCAGGTTCAATTCCCCACATGGGTACAATGTATGAAACCCATTTCTGGTGTCCCCCGCCGTGATATTGCTGGACTATTGCTAAAAGCGGCGTAAAACTAAACTCACTCACTCACTCTGGCGTCC